ACTCTATCGACTTGCTACATGTCTGAGCAATTGATAGGTAACACCAGCTTTTATGGTTGTTAGAAATGCATGATGTAGTTATTTCATTCGGTCATGCACTTCTAAAGTAATATAATTTCTGTATAGGAAGATAGATTTTATCGCAAACAAAGTACAAGTTTTTAAAAATATCGTTCATTAAATGCACAATGATTGCATCTCGATGTAAGGGCTATCAATCCCTGCCAGCTTACAAATAAACAAGATGCACATCTTGCGCTTTTTGAGGACTAATGATGAAAGAAAAATTCCTACTTTTGAGTTATTTCGGAATCAAAAATACATTCAAATACTGCTTGGAAAGCGACCAAACATTTTTATATGCCTCCGCTTATCTTAAGTAAATAGACGGCAAAAGCTAAAAAGCAACCACTACGTTGGCAACAAAGCCATACGCGAAGGATATCCCACCACGCAGTTCAGAGACTGAAGTATTCTGGAAGGGAAATAGGCGCCCATTCTCGGGTTTTGCGTGCGTGTGGCCAAAAGTACAATCCTTTGACAAAAACGTTTTACGAGTTTGCTAAGAATATGCTTGATTAATCAAAGTATTCCATTACCTCTGTAGCTCGCCGAGACTTCCCAGAAGCCGAAAGAAGACACAACACTATAAAAGAATATGTATTATTGGAGGATCTACTGGCATAGACCGGAGGCCATCACTTTCAATGGAAGTACAAAGGTGGGGCCTTAAGTCCTTGAGGAACCAAAATGAAGGGCTAAATAAACGACCAAAGTGTTACAGCCTCTAACACTTATCGTAAATGCAGGGGGCAACTAGTTTTGTTCCAATGTAAATATACAGGAAAGGATGAACCCTTGAGGAGAAGTTTGTAAACACTTCTATAAATGAGGTGGTGACTAAATTTTTTGCCACCAAAAGTGCTGCTAAGTCTGGACATGATTAGCCCCTGCAACATTTTATTGTGGGCCTAGACTAGAGACTTGGTCCTTACCGAAAAGGTTGCATCTGAATATCATCGCCTTGTAATAGGTAAGTCCCTTAACTTAGCGCAGATGAGGCGATAAGCGTTAAAACACAACAAAGGTTGATTTAAGACAGGGATATGAAATAGGGGTGCATTTGGAAAATTATTATAAAAAAAGCCCATTTTTGTCCATTCAAGCATTATAAATTAGTTTAACAAATAAAAGTTTCTAAAAAATCATTTTCTTGAGCCTGACGACTGGATTTACTGTTAAATTGCTAGACGGATCTAAAAGTGCGGTTTTCTTAGGAATTCCCCACTTTTTGAAAGCTGAAACCACCAAATTCATTATTGTAAGGGTATAAATTACTGCAGCCCAAATGAATCAAAATAAGTGTCGTGACACCACTCCCTTCACATTCTGACTTACTACCCAGGCATGTTGTTTCAATAAAGGGAGATTCTCCATTTAGATTTTTGTATAAGTCCTTTCCCACTAACGTAAAAAATAAAAAAGTAGAACGAAATGGAGTCCTTGTCAGGGTTTAATTGAAAAATACACAAAGGATCTCATTCTCGTCGACCTCAATATTTTTAATGGAACTTGAGGGCATTTCCAAATGCGTTTGTCTACCACACCTCTCCCTCTTTGATATGAGGAGGGAAAGTAGCTTGCATGTAAATCCAATGTCCACTTTGCGGAGGAATGCAAAAAATCAGTTGCGGAAGTGGAATTAGCTATGATAAGCCTGGTCAGCCTACTAACCAGGCACAACGGTACGTGGACTACAAGAAAGTGGCTACCTGCATTGTCCTCCATATTCTTTACAAAGAATAAAATGAACAATTTGGAGTTTTACAAAGGTATTCCTTGGTTAATGTAGAATAGAACATTTTATGACATTCAAATAGTGTGATGATAAAGGCCAAATAAGCTATAGTTGGCACGCATCTGTAAAAACAAGTCCAATCTAAGATGAAAGGGTTAAAAGTAGGCTACCTTCATCATTTGGAATAAATAAATAAAAATTGCAGTTCGTAAGATCTTTCAATCCAAACTGCACATGAAATAACAAAGTGAGATAGGAGAAGTTCATTAAACTGTTAGCAGAACCAAAACCTTTTGCAGCTTCCGATTCCTTTTATTTACTCACTCTTATGACGAAAACCAAAAAAAAACAGTTGTAAAAGACGCTTTTCCATGCAATTTGTATACTTTTAGGTGAATGACCATTTTTGTCAGGAATGGTGAAGGCACGCCTTGCTGGAATTTCGTCCTTAACAAAGGGCATGCATTCATTGTAGGTAGTTAAGGAAGTGGTCATTATTCTCGAGGTCTCGATTTAATCTCTGGAACTTTCATCTATATATGGTACGAAAGTTGGGCGGATTCAAAGTAACTTCTAAAATCTCCCACGGCGTTGCACCTACTTGGAAAGATGAACACTCACTTTTTTAACCAATAGAGCTACTCAGTGGCTGTCCGACTCACCCCACTCACTTTGCAAGCCAACGATGAAAAAATGGTGAAGGGGAGTGGGATGGCAATTTTAAATTGTCGACTTTGAAGACGCCACAAAAGCATTGTGAGTTGGGTCAATGGTGGCTTGAATGGGCAAGATGATTTTATCAAACCACTGCAATAAACCCATAGCATTATTTTGTTAAACATGCCCATTTTTCAACGCCATTACGGAACTTGTGGGCGGAAAATCTGCAGTCAGGCGTTCCCCAGAACATTCCAAGCAAGGAGAGAAAAGGGTTCTGCAGACAAAGTGCACGAGATTTTCCCTTTCCGCCTACCTTGCTTTCACATTCTGGGCAAATCTTTACGCCCACATATCGGCCGCGTTTATGCGCCATGAGATGAACACTTCGATAATTTATAGGCGAAAGAGGCAAAGGAAAGCACTTAATTTTATTGGAGAGTCATTTGTGCGTTAAACTTGCAAAATGTCAAGTTTCAGGGCTCACTCATTGGGAAAATCAAACGCACTGGTTTGTGAAATCATAAAATGCATTTAATTGGTGTCACTTCAAAGCGGGGACTTGTTAACGCTCTGAATCTGAGCTATTTCAACGTGAGCTAGTGTAAATTATTAATGCATAGAAGGTTTGGGCGGATTTAAATATGGATTACGTGCAGAGTCACCAAGGTATTCAGCGTAATCTAAGTGTTACTGTCTGCGCTTCTTGTGGTTGCTTCTCCTGTGACTTGTAATAGAGGATACAACAAGGGCTTGGATGATACGATAATTTTACACAGTAAGGAATATGTTCCCAGTTTTGTTATTGCTACAGTGTGCCGTAAAGTGAATCGGAGTTTTCAATTACCTTGCCTCTCTACTAGACTAACGGCATCGGAAGTGGAACGATTTAAGAGATGACGCCGAAACTTGCACAACGATCTACACTACTCTTACTCTAATCGTCGGTCGTTTCTATCAGGGACGTTGGACCCGAAATACATAATAGCTGTGTTTATAGTACAATAGTGCGCATCCAACCCCGATCTCGTTTGCCTAATGAGGGATAGATTTTAGAACACTGGAGTGAAGTGATTTTCGAAGAAAAAACTTAAGGGACTAGGTGGCATACAACCAAAAACGCTTACTGCTACAGAAAATTAATTGCGTTAACAGAATTTTTTATTTCACCATTGAATGAAACATGCGTTTTGCTTTGTCAAATTAATGAAACATGCTCTTGCCAAGTCATTTACAACCCTGCAACAGTGTGGGCAAAATCACTTAGGGTCAATTCAAAATGTACAAATTCACCTTTAAACTAAGTATTAAGTATTTATCTATTGGAAAATGCAGAATAGCCATTGAAGGTGAAACATTTATGTTTAAGCAGTGGCCAACTCAGAAGCCATGAACGTGTTTCTACTGGACCTATAAAACCAAGCAGGATTGTGGAAAACACAAATCCTTATGATTGTAGCCATTAGCTCTGGGTTTTGGTCGTTGGTGCATACCTCTGGCACATTAATGTACCCACACGCCAGTCCATTTCAAGCACCCAACTTGCCAAAGTGGCTTTTCGCCTTCAGTACTTGACTGCTCTTGTTGCGAGATTTCTACCACACATAAAATATTAAGGAGTAAAAACTCTTCCTACACCACAAAATACTCTCCGGAAGATGGAATTTCTCTTGAGAAATGTGCGCCTTTTTACTGTTCTACTGAACCTTCGAGTCGTAAAAAGTGACAGCATTTTCAACTCCCTCAATTAAATCCGGACTGGCTAGAAGTGAGGAATTTGGCATTGCATTACATCCAACTATATTTTCTCACCATTTTATGGGCATGAATAAAATGATTTATATACTTGTTCCCACTTATTGACAGGTTGACCGTGTGAGATGATTCCAAAATGTGGAAGTGATGAGGGTAGGAACTGTTCCTGTCATAAATATTGATAGTAAATACATTTCTTGATACAAGTCGCCCCCAAAAAATGCACCTTAGAGATTAAAATAACCTCTTCATTTCCAAATAATACAAGAATACTTAAGGTAACAACCCGGCATTTTAATGAACATCCTTGTCAAGCACTACCTTGGAGAAGACCCTCATGAAAGGGCTAACTTCAGCCCCGCCGAGACTGCTTCATACAAGTGATGACCACTGAATCCACAAAACTGTTTAGTCACTACGCCGCGATGGAACATTCCAACGAAATTTTCGTGATGGGCGCTCACCTTTCCGTTTTGCCACCATTCCTATATCCTTACGTCTTTATTACCAGAATTGTTAGATTTGAAAGAAAATTAACCCCCCGCTACCTAACTTTTTAGTGCTATTTTCAAGAGGCTTTACGTTTTAACTCCCTCAATAAAATAGTAGGACTGCGAGGCACCCACCAGATGAAAACGAATCCGATTAATCCAGGCGGGACTTCTGGAGAAATGAGTTGATATAATAGACCATTGTTATCTCTTCCAAAAGACCTTTCTTTTAAATGAAGAGCTAGTAATGAAAAGCGGGGGAGAAGAATGATCATTGTTTTTGTGAGGCATCACAATGACTAATTTTTGTCAACGCTGGAATTCCTGTGTTTCCACCGGGTCAAACGAGACCACGTGCCACCGTGGTTACCACTCTCCCCGGATTCTTTGCGCCTCAGTGAACCGCCTCTTGGCAGAGTCCAGGTTTTGTGAGATCCTGGAATCAAAATTGTCATTGTAAAGCACTGATGACTGAGGAGGGTATCTCTGGCAAGTGGTTTCAACAACATAAACTATGTCTTAAATGGTCATCCTCACATGAATTTTAACCCTATCACTTAGCCGCATGAATTATTCGACCGCAAAGTTAAGATAGCATTTGCAAGTTAAACGAATAGCTACGGGTTCATGTGACGTCGGAACGTTGCGATTGCCTACTGGCCACACCTCTGTCACCTCCTTCCTTTCGGTATGCACATTTTTTATAAATATCAGCTAGTATGAACTATATTTGGTCGAGGTGCAGCGCCGCCCAACATCAACTCCACCGCACATGGACAGAACCTTGATTGCCCATAAAGTTGGTGTAGCTGCCGCCGATTGCCGCCTCCCCTACCACCCACCCACTCACTCTATCGTCCCATCACATTCCCGTCGGATCCAGTGGGGAAATTAAAAATGTTCCACCGGCTACACTGCACACTGACGGTGCCATTAAGTCCAGTGCGACGCTATTTCTGATCACATTGCGTTACTAGGGTATTTTATCGCCTGATTTCAAGGGTGACTGCAACCATCAGGAGGCCTATCTACACTGACACACGGTGGGGGGTTAAGCAGTGTGCGGCAAAATTCAAGTTGGGTATTTACCGCTATCACGGGAAGAAGGAGGAGGCTGACTCAGATCGCTTGAGTTCCTCGATACATTATTGTTTGAATAGCCTAACGCTAAAATGAAAAAAAGAAGAAGAAGCAATAAGTAAATAGGCTATTCGAGACGTTTTTTAAATGCTTGGACAAGAATGTAAGCAACACTTTTCCTCTAATGTTTACTTTACCGTAGGTTGTATAGTTACTCCAAGATAATTATATTATTTATACCACTATAAAGGCAAATAATTAAATCAGGGGAAGAAATAATAGGATTAGGAGCGGAACAATGCGTTGCCCTTATCGGCTGGGGAAAAAAATTAGAGAAAGTGCATTTCTAATTTGGTGTCCGAGTTACCATCCGTAATGTAACAGCATTCACCGCCTCCGATTTTGAAAAGACTTTAAGTATTTTCTTATGGAGATTCCGTCTTCTAATGTTTTGCTGGGGCTACCAAATACAAAGAATTGGAACCCCCCATAAACAATAAATCATTGTTGACATTTCAGGAGGCAAAAAGATAACCAGAAAGTCAATTAACACATTTGCTCTCGGTGTCACTTTTATGAGCTCTAACTTTCCTAACTCAGCTCGATGTCATAAATACGTGACTTGTGTTTTTTATCAATTTTCAAAGCGGGTTTCAAAATGCTTGAAGCTAACACAATAAAATGGGTGTAGATGGCTTCTTGGTGGAGAAAAATTACATTTCTTAGGTATCATACAGAAGATGAATGTGTCAGAAAAGTTAACGACAACTAGTGGAAGCGAAGCGTACGCTGTTTGCGAATGCATTTCGATGTCGATTACACTTGTCTTTTCATATCACAATCACTCTTTCCGAGGCATTGCTTAAAATTCAGAATTCTAATTGAACATTTAATTGCTGTGGACTTAATAAGCCCTAGGGCTTTCAATATTGGTATGTCATTTTTTGTTCCTCATGAATAAACTTCAACTCTGCCTAATATGATAGACTAGAAATGGAAAAGACCTATTCACTCTGCATCCACATGTTTTCGATGTCTGGACTTATGATTATAGGAGTAAGGCCTACAAGGTAGTCACTAGTGAATATTCTCCAGCAAGAATCCAGTGGAAGTAATTTCCAGGACTTACAGGATGCAGACCTTAGGCAATCGTACCACCGATTGTAATTGTCCAGCGTGTTGGCAGCCAGAAGGATCTCCGTGCCATCTTCCAGTTTCATCTGCATGACGTGGGCGTGGGTTTTGCTTGTCTTGGGTAGACAGTGTGAAACTACAGCGCCTTGTACATTGAAGACAGCCAGTGGGGCGGTTCCAATTGTAGGGGCTAGAAAACAAGGAACAGATTGAATATTCAGATAGATTTACTTAATGTTTGAGTGTCAGTTTATATGTAATCAAGTACTTCAATTGCTCCTTAAAAGTGACGCAAGTTAAGGAAATTGTTGATGAAATTCCAGGGTCTTAAAACACCCCCCAATCAGGTGAGGCATCAAAGTGACTATGACTGAGGTGCTATTTGCCTGATAGAACAAAGAGTTTGGTTATCTTCCAATGAATTTTATTTGCACTAGAACAACAATAGACTGACAGTCACATGGATTTGGTGAAAAGAATGAGTCAAAAAATAATAAAGTGATGAGCATTTAGCTGGTTCAATTCTTGTTGACCTCAAGAAATTGAAAATTTGTAATATATTCTTCAAAAAAGAGTGAATTTCTTTCAAAATAGACACACCGAGTGATGACTTTGGGTAAATGGCTTAAACAAACTCTTGGATGTAAAAACTAGAAGCTCTGTGTTATCCTGATAGAATGAATTATTTACTCTACTCCATAAAGAACAGATAAGAGCAGATAATATCTTACCATCTGGCATGTACTGCAACTCAGAGTAATTAATGCTTTTATCTACCTCTTCTGAGAGCACATTCAGTGAATTCTTAAACGACCTCGTGCGAGACTAATGAACGTAATGTCACCCAATTTGTCAAAGTCACCGGCAATCCTATTTATTAAGCACTCAATACACTCACTACTAGATTTCACAGCCCTTAAAATGGTCTTCATTTAAATTCTTTTTACTTAAAAGTACGGTAAATGCGATTCTCTTCAGCAGAATACATGTCACATATTTGTGACCCAGAGTCTTGAAAGAAAAACAAGGCATCAGATATGGGTGGAGTTCCCAATAATCGTATCGAAATTGAGTACCAAGGACTAGAGACAGCTATTTGTTTAATATGAAACAATTTTTATTACGGGATAAGATAGTGGGGCTTGATTACGAAGAATTATATCAATGACACCCAGACATTTCAATAGCTGGTTTCTACCTAGAAAGCAGAAATTGTATTTTTTAAAAATAAATTCTCATTCCTACTTATGCTGATGAACTCCAATAATATAATGTGTAAATTAGTATACAAACGCAAATAATCGTAGGTATTAACGTGGAGCAAACATTCTAGGAAGTGGCTCTGCTCATTGTTGGCTTAGCAACCATTAATTCTGATGGCCAATTCATTTCGGTCACCTAGAGTGGCCACCACCGATGCGCAAACGCACAAAACAGCATCCAGCTCATGTTCATTGCTCACGGGAATCATACCTCCTTCATTCTCATAAAAGCTTAATCGACTGCCCTCCAGAACAGCCCAATTATAGCCAGCCGTTTGTTCATGAGGCAACCACTTTTTGGTGATACCGCGGTAAGATTTAGGCGCGGCAACAATTTTTCGCGCTAGAGACCCCGTCAAACTGGCTTTCGGTGAGTTCTCGCCTTGCCTAAGAGACACAGAAGGTGGCCTATTTGCGGAAGCGGCTCCGGAGTGGTCGGAGGTGAGATTTAACTTCATCTCGTTCACCGGGGTGGAGGATAGATCGCCGGGCGACCAGATGTCGCTTTCGCGAAATGCTGTGCTGTTGGGCGCTTTCGGAGGCAGATCGGTGGCTCTTTCGCGCGTCTGAAGGAGAAGCGAATAGGTTAGCTCAAATGCAACATGATGTGAGGTATTCTCCGTAATTTCGACCCGCCCAACTGACAGGCGCGCTGGATAAATTATACTTTTGCCTAGAAAGCCATAACTTAGAAATACACGGTAGTCGATTCTAGTCTTACATGCGTCGAACGTCTACGTCAAGAAAGGATAGCCAGTGTTTAAAACCGTTCTACCTGAGTAAAACAGGGTCATTCGGGCCGTTTTATTAATAAGATACAACTAGGATCTCGTCCCATTTTTTCACTCTTGATTGAATCCACAGTAAATGTTGAAAGCGATAAGTGCGCAGTTAAAAATAGGGAATCCCCAAGGGCTCATGCAAGACCGAAAAAACTGTGGCAGAGTTTTAATCTGCAAACTTTGGTTTACCACCTGAAAACTCGCTGCTGCTCTAAAAATTCCTGTTACAACATAATACAAGCATAAAGCCATTACCCGACGAATTTATCATGTTTTACCATTGGAAGTCCGCGTGACAAATGAAAAACAAACATATTTCATAAGTTAACTGCTAATCTGAGCAGGCTTCAGCAGATTTATCCTCTTGGTAAAGGAGAAGATGACTACAAGATCAGTCTCGTCCAAAGGTGATATAAAACGCCCACCCAGGTCACATTTTGAATGGACTTATAAGCCATCCCAGTTTTCCATAGCAATATCATTTTGACACTGGGTGCATCACTAAGCAACTCGACTGGAATTCGGAACTATGGTCATAAGGAATGGACTTTAAAGTATATTACTTCTTAAATTTCCATAGTCACATTGAATGTGACTTAATGCAGTCTGAGAAACGAGTTTGCATCAGAAACCACCCAAAATTGCCAAAGCAGCAGATGTCAAAGAGAGTTTTGACCGAATGAGAAGCAGGCTTTGCTTGCGCCCCGAGGAGGCTGAAACACCTTTTTTTGTTAATAGATTGAAACTATAGGAGTTTAATAATATTCGTCAGGGTTACAATAAAATCTCGCATTCTTACACAATTCATAACAAGGCAGTTCTCCTCATGACCTATTCCCCGCCTTATACTACACCCTTCACAAAGGCATTAATTACGGTCTAGTTCAAGCTACTACGGCCAGTTATCTGGCTACACAACAATAGCCGCAGCTCGTGGGGTAATTTTAGCGTCCCTCCTCGCCCCCCTTTGAAAGCATAAATCGTAAGAAAATCACAGCTGCGTATTTTCTCACGTACTGATTTACTGAATCAAGTGAAATATAGTTAGGATATCTTACAACGCAAACACAAGAGATGACGGTTCATCGCCCTTCAGCTATGCCACTCGATTTATGCTTTACCGAGTATAAGGCTTTAGTGAGGCATCAATCCACCCTAACACACTTACGACCAGCACCTGAAGGTCTTAAAGTAGGGAAGGGTGGAAGATAAAAAAGTGTGGGATGTCACTATAAGCTTATTTGGCTGCTCTCTCTTTGATATTACCACAACCTGATTTTTCTTGTTTATTTTTTCCTGGTCAAGAAACACATCAAAATTCCAACAGTACAAAAGGCTTGAAAATTACAAAATAAGAACAGGACGAATTGTAATTTATGATTTTTAGCCCTAAAAATTGGACAATGTAAGCCAAACTTGTCAATTAGCAGACACAAATGTTTTAAAGCGTTTTACAATCGTGGCAGGTATCTATCAAAAAAGGCGTGACTGCGGTGTCGAAATCGTCCCAATGGCAATATATGGAGAAGTGATATTTTTGTCGCTCTCGGGTAGCAGGGATTCCGGATGTTCGAATGCATTGCAGAACGCATCCGTGATTTACAGACTACCTTTACAATTCATACCTGATCAAATTTTACCTAAGACTTACTTTAAGTAAGATCACAATGCAATCGCATAATGGCTGACCTTGGATAGTCAGCCGCATTAGTAGCTCGGTTGGAGTCAAAATCAGCATCTTCCATTAAGCAGTAGATGCTTTTATATCATGCCCATAAGAAATCTTCCAAACTGTTTAAAACAAACGAAGGGCGGAGGGCATAGCCCCAACTTAGAGGCTTCGAGGAAAACTTGAGAAAGTAAGGTAGCTTTCCTCAGAAAATGAGGCATGTCACTTTTGAGAGAGCGAAAATGACCATTCAACTCAAAAATGAATGGAAATACTTTAACCATGGGGCCTTTTTTATGCCAGGAATTTAATTTGAACCAAAATATTTTAGATTGAGAAATATGATTTCTTTGCTAATTTTAACTAGACGAGTCGTCTGCTGCCATAAATTGCGCTTCTGAATGGTTTTTGATCTCGCTAACACCCACTTCTCTAAAAAACATTACAATATTTTATTCAACACTAAATAAAATTATCTCACCGCAAATGACGGTTTGGCTGACAAGACAGTATCATTTATAAAGTAATGGATCAAAATAAGGGAATTTAGTCATGGAGATCGTGCCTGCCAAACAAAATCATGGTAAAGAAAACCTCCTTTGTCAGTGGAGAATCCGTAATTCCGATTCCGATATCAAACGCTTACGTTCAAATGGAACCGGTAAATGGTATTTGTGTAAAAACACCGACGTCTTTTGACACTGAAACACACGCTGCACATCAACCACGGAAGGATGAAATTGAATGCGTCTCTAATCATATTTCTAGCTATTCAGTTTAAATCTTGGAAGAGTCTGTCACACGCAACCAGTAAACTATCAGTTTTTATACAAAATCAAATCAAGCATCGCCTGAACTTTCAGAACAACTTTTGTAAAGAAAACTGAAGCAACTACTCCGATCTATGGCAATATTTCATCCCTCATTATCAGAAGGTGGAGTTACTAACTCTATACCTCTTGTTTCACAACAAAGATTTGGATTTACCGCGAAGTCGGGGAATGATGCAAGTAAAACACGCAAATTTATCTGCTGTTTGTCATTCTGGGTACAAAGGCGGATGATGAATTGCAAAAGTAGGTTTCATCCGTACTTATAATTAAACCTTCATTTAGCATTCAGGCAGGAACTACAATTCGAGCTCTATATTGAATAGTCAAAGATTTAGTTGCGATGTTTTTTGGCAGAAATCGAAAGAAAATCTGCCAAATATTTTCACTAACGTCATTACTACTACCGGTACATAAATAAGCCCTATCGAAGGTCTCGGTAGTTTGATGAAGGCAGCCAACTTACGCTAGCTGCGGAGCGACTGTTATAATCGGCCTGTACTGAACTCTTTGCATCAAGCACCAATGGCGGTGGTTTTGAAATGACTCTGGTTGGAACAGGTGAAAGGGAGGATGATATGGAGACTACTCGTTCCATCTTGGGTGTTTCGGTAGTTGAAGGAGCTGGAGAGTCCAAGGTTTCGTTTCCTCTCCTCTTCGAGAAGATTTTTGAACCCCAGCGCTGTGGGGTCCCGACCCGTGGTTCTGGACTAGTGATGGTGGGCGTGACGGCGGAAGCAGAAGAGGCGATAGACTCATTTGTGGACTGCCTGAATAAATTTATTAGCTTAGAGTTGCTCTTCTGACTGGGCGATCGAAGGAGCGGACTGCGGTGTTCCCTTGGCGGCATCGTTGGCTTTATATCCACTACTCTGGAAACAGGCAGGCTGTCAATATCGCTGGAATCGCTGCCCCTACGCACAAAGTGCGCGTTTGTCATGCCAAAGGAGTCATTTTGACTTGAGGCTGGAGGAATTACTGGCATGGGAGGCGCGGCGTGTTGCACACTTTGCTCGACATTTGCTTCTATTGGAGCAAGACTGCCGAAGATGGCTTGAAGATGTTCCTGATTCACTTGCTCAGCTGGGTTTACCGTGGATGTCGGGTGTTTCGAGCTAGAACTGTAGAATGTAGGTTAAGTCTCCGATAAATGGCTCGTTGGCATTTGCTTGAGACTTTTTATCCTGTCCTAAGGTATGGCTTTGGCTTTGCTTCTATTTCTTTGAGTAAATAAATTACGCTAGCGAATTAACCGTCTACCCTAGTGTACTAAGAAGTTAAGCGGAAATGAAACTGGTAAAGGTAATGCCTGCTGTAGATGCTTAAGTGGAATGCTAAAGGGGAAAGAGCAAAATAACATCTCGTAGAAGAAAATGCAGCACAAAAAGACGTCTAACAGTTGTTCTCTAATTGCCTGCTTTTCTATTTAATGATGTCTTGGCACCTCGATTTAGATGTCCTAACGCAATAAATTCCCTCATGTATTGGTAATAAATGACAAGAGACTTGGCTCAAAGACGCCGGCATCGAATTTCACCGTAATTAAGTCATCCTTGGTCATCATAAATTGCGGGAAGTTCTAGGAGCTTTGTCAGAAATAGCTGAGAGATCGGTTAATCATAATGTTTGTGGTCAATTTATTTCAAACAGTGATTAGTTCCACAAAATTCTCCTGGATCCACATATGGAAACAGTACTGCTGACATCTATGCTGATTGCTGCTGTGGCGCGTACCTTGTTTGGATGGCCACACAAAATGTCATCTGGTCCGATGATCATAATTGGACCAAACAGACTAATTAGGCACAAATACGGAGATTTGTGACAGTAAAATACTACATTGGGATTAAGTTGGGTGGCATGATAGTCGTCTTCGAATAATATCGCGATGGTAGGTCTAATGAACTCCTAATACGCTTAACAATACCGAACTAATCAGCTAACTTCGAGTGAAGTCAACGTTTAAGATGTCTGCGAGTCCTCAACCCACCATCGGTGGTCTTACACGCAGTCATTTCGTTCATGCACGAAGTAAGATTGCAAATCATGCGGTTAAAGTTTAAGTAGATTGGTCAGTACACGTTCCGTGAGCCACCGGGCGCGTGACAGGAACAACGTGACAAACTGACAAACGCGATGCCTACGGCACTAAACCTGCAACTGCGATGCATCAATGTATATCTTAACTGTGTATTTAACCATGAGAGCTTCTAATTCTACCATGTGCTTTGCGTGCCGATAGTTTTCCAACACTTGCACAATCAGTTCCAGGTTCACATGATTCATAACATCTTCGGGGGCGTCTTTTATCTGCTGTGAATAAATAAACCTCCAGAGACCCACTACAGAATGGACATTAAAACTGTTTCAATATTATAGATGGTGCTGATATAGGCCGTACCGATTACGATTGAGCTTGGATGTCTCGCGTCGCTGAATTTCAGCAATGCGCGCATTGGAGAAGGGTTGATCACCAACTCTGCTGCCCTCATTGCGTTTAGTCATGAATTTGAGAAACTCGAATTTGAGTGTTTCCACCTGAGTCTGCCGTTTAATCGCATCAAAGCGCTGTTTTGCATCCTCAACCGCCTTCTCAATGTCCGCATGATTGGCAATTGCTTGATCAACATTTATAGCCGAGGTGTCTCCCGTAATGATGTTGGTTGTACGCTCCAGGCGTTGCTCCTGCTCGTCCAACCACGCGTCCAGTTCCGCCATCTCCTCATAGAGTTTCTAGAAGCGGAGATAAGAAGACGTATATTAACGATTGACTAGACAATGCCACAATAAAACGATAATTATTTAAACACGCACTTAACTAATACAGAGTCTTCAGTTTCCGCAGGTTTTATCACCACCTTAGACGCACGATCATTCCTACTGCCTCTATCGGAATGAATCAGATCGCCACAACATATGCTACTCATATTTATGGTTGATTTCTTAGGTCTAATGCCAAGGTCGTACTAAACCGCTTTCTTACTTTCGGATAAGCCATCATATGTCCATCCGTTTTAAAAATCATGATCATTTCCTCTAAGAGCCACCTAATTTATCACTCCTCAAATTATCGTCATATCACTTCCTGCACGAAGGTTTTAACTTAGCTCGTCAAAAAAATCCCGCAGATCCGGATAAGATAGTGTCATAAGCAATAATTTGGCGGTGGGAAAAGATTTAGGCTAATTTTTTTAGGTCACATAAAGTAATACCAAAAACTGAGAGATATTTAAGGGCAGGAATGGAAATTACGTGCCCTCATTACTTCCGAGGTTTAATTTAATATTAGATGTTCTCGATGCCAGTTATTTACCAAATCTTAGAATAGCTACTTCCTGCTATGTCCAGAGCATATTTTGAAGGGAGGTGGAGACAAATTCAAGCAACAGCAGTAAGCATTTTGAAAGCAGTCGGCTAAGCTATCCTTAATTCTTACTAAAGAGCGCCATTTGTGTATCTTTAAAGTGGTAATTAGGGACCTATCAGCACTCCAGAGTTCCAACACATCCTTGAAGAGGTAACAGGGGATAAAAATGGAGACGGCGGATGGAGGTTGGATTCCTACCGTGCTATTTTTAGCCCCAGTACCACAACAGACGATCCCAAATGAATTGTTGGGTAAGTAGAGCATCAAGACAAGTCCGGTTCTGATAAAATCAACATTTGTCGGAAAAGAGAGACGTTGACTGCCATATCTTCATCTAAGGGAAATAGGGAAGACTCACAAATACCACCTAATTTTTGTGTTCGGGCGTATTCCACCTCCAAAAATAAACCCATAGATTAACTGGGATGATTCTCGAGAACTCTAGCAGGAGATTAAAGAAATTTTGTTAAATAGGGATTATCTTTCGATTTTTACATAGCCCAGCCGAGCGACACAACCTTCCACTCGATAACACATTATGCCTTTATCCTGCCTCATTCACTAAAACTACTTCAGCATTCTGCATAAATATTTCTGTCTTAGGCATTGATTTTCGGAACGGCCCTCTCTTCGACTGGTTTGTTTTGTCAACATATGCGTTGTCGTTTGAATCCCATTTCACGGATGAATGATCCAACCTATAACTAACTGAGCTTTGCCTAACAACTTTCCCCTGCCCTCGTCTGTTTACGCGATCTAGGACAAAGGACGGGATGGGAGATTTAAAACTACATCTGGAAGAGCATGGTATTGACGAACCACTTCCATAACACGAAGTGCACGCCAACAGTAGGCAAACAAGAGAGTGATTCAAACATCCCACCCCATCAATTATGTCACGTGGATCATGCATGCCAATGCATCTGCCTTCATGGCTTCTATGGGACTCCAGTTTCCTTCTTTACTAGCCCTTCGAAAGAATCACTGTGTCACGGGACAAAACGTAAATATATTGTAAATTGCAAATAAAACGATTTCCAAGCTGGCTTGCAGTGCGTTCAAATAAACTTTACAGGTGGAATGGTCCCATATTTAAGAGACTGATTTGACACTTAAAGCAATTCGAATTGTATTAAGATCATTGCAAAATTTTCATGCTCACTTTGCAGAGATTTTATAAAAAGTCAAAGGGAAAAATACCGTACTCTGAGATCCAGGTTCTTTTCGTAGAGACTGTTTCTTGAACCCCACAAGGACTGCATTTGAGACCACGCGGTTTCCAGTTTCTCTGTCGACTTTTGAATGACTATCTTTGAGGAAGGAATAGAGTTGGAAAGGTCCTGTCCTGCTCTAAAGAAAATGAGGAAGTGAAACAGGAAATAGGTTGCATTACTGCACCAAGGCAATATAAACATAGGTTACAAAAAACGAACAAATAAGTGAAAGAACTCGGGTAAGGCTATCTTCCCACCTGTTTCGTCAATTTATGTACCAAGATCGGTCAGACAAAACTAAAAGGTTTCCCAAACTCCTCAGTAGGCACCATAAACTCCTTTACTTTAAATGAAATCAGAAGAACTTGTTTTTATTTTACGTATTTACTCCCTTTCACTAACACTGTTTTCGAGCAAGTCCTACAGTCAAAAATGGGGTTTTATGTTTCTTCCATGAACAAGGTTGGTCGTGTTCTTCTATTGTATCTATCTAAAATAATATCCCTTTTCATACAAAACCTTGAAAAGTTGAAAAGCCTCCAGAGTTCATGCGCCAACTTTGAAAGGTTGTATTCCCTGGCGGCAGTCTCCCCGCTTGCGACACATAGTGGAGACGGTATGCGTGACGCAAACATGGAAATAAAGCGCCTACCGAAAGGTAGCAGTGGCAGTGCAATTGGAAGACTTAAAGCAGTGTCCCCCTTTTTGACGTTCCATTCAACAAAAAGGGAGGAACGAATTTACTCGGATCGATTCGTCCCTTGCTCATGGGCAGATAATTGCAACTGATGTCTAAGGACAAGGCATTGAAGAGCTTCATAAATAGAGTCCAATGGTAATTGGCTTGCGGTTAGGGATAATGAGCCATACAAAGTAAAGCCAAGTAGGCACTGAGCAGTAGTGGTTGATAATAATAATGTTTCCTTTCGTCAGTTGAGTGGACAGGGAACATTTTCCTGCAAAATTATCCCCTATATTGTTGCATTCAAAAGTAGGTCATTCCGATCAAGGCGCGCTCTGGAAATGAAACATACTAACATTTAACTTCCTCTTCCCCATTAAAGTTGTGAGAAACAAAAACCAGACAAATTTAGACCGCATTTGCCGTTCGAAAACTCAAATACTAGAGTGTGAAGAAGTAGCAACAGCGCCATTGACCACTTGAAATCCAAGAGATAAATGGAATTGGCAGACTGTTTCGTCATCTAGAAACATTTTCACGTGTTTATAAGGTGGTACTAATATCCAGTCTGTTTTAACTGATTATGAATCTGATTTTAACTGAAAAAAAAATAAATACAAACAGGTTGTCCGCTGCAATACGTTTATTGTTTGTTTAAATCTTGGTTTTGGTAAGGGGCCACGTAGGGGCTCCGCTACCACATCCGCAGGGCTGCTTGGCCTCCAGCTCTTCTGTATGTAGAAAATACATATTCTCTCCGAGTACTGTGGCTTCATTTGTCTTCAGGGAACTCTCGGAGTATCTCACCTACTGGTATGTGCTTCACTTATGCAAACTTTAGATAATGAGAAACTGCATTCTTTAAGTGGCTTATGAAACATACACCCGGTCTATTTGAAACTAAAAAGGTTTAAGGTGGTTTAAAAGTGGATAAATGTAAGTTGTTTATTGGTCGGTGGGTACTGAAACGAGACAACAGCAAAAACGTCCTAAAGTTACGAGCATTGAAACTGAGTCAGTTTGTTAATTACAGCTTACGAGAACGTCATAAATTTTGTCATCCAAATTGTTGAAAAAATGAAATATGCCTTCAACTATTGCCTACGTATTGAGGCATATGGAACAGAAATTAATAAGAGAGAAGCCTTTAAGCTTAAGCGCATGGATTAGGCAGATATGTCATCGTGACAGAGCTATACGGGGTGGTAAGCCCTCATTGATTATAGCCGGAGTACAGTCAGACATTGTTAGTCAGAATGGCCTGCATCTGTCACAATGAACGGGTGCGTCTGTGGTTTTATGGAATCTTTGTGCCGCTTATACTGTGATGGCAAGCCCAGTGGCACTGTCTAGACACTTGAACGGTATCGGCATTTAACCTGCGGCTGCTCAACCGTGCATCAGTGAGGATCCCAGTTCACAGTCCCGACAGTCAGGCGTGCGGAACTCCTAGGTCTTGACGTTAGATCGACGCCTAACTCACGCGGAGAAATTGTACACGAAAGGCACGTCTCCGTAAAAATGTTGAACATGGTGAATCATTTACCAGCATGCATGCTGCATATTAAGAGGGCTATTCGCTTTTGATAATCGCATAAGTGGTGAATGCTGCAATTAATTAAAAATCCAGAACTCCCAATCTCATCATTATTGTTAATGAAGTGTGGGTTCCTAAAAGAACTCTCTCTAAAGTCACGATTTTAGTAACGATGACAAAGTATAGTGCACTTTCGTAAGGTGGTTTATTTGTGCTACCCAAACTCTTACTCTGAAGCTAACGAGAGGAATATGTGGTATAATAGAGGCGGTTTATACTCCTTAAAGTGTGTGCTTCTCTTGCATTGATTCAAAATCCTGTTTGACTTTAACGTCCCTCATAAAAAAGGTAGTATGGCAGCAATCGTCACCTGATAATCTCTTCCCTCTCTGGCGTGCGCTTGGTGATTTGTAAGCGTATCTGTCTGTGGGTATCGAGGAGGCTATGGGCCTCGCTGAGGTCAATGGGAATCTCCTGGACAGCCAACATTGCAAGGCGTTGTTTGTCAGCCCAGCCACAGAGGAGGTCGCATCGTGACTGCCACTGGGTCACTTTCTGAGCCTCTGAGAGTCGCTGTCGCTCTCCACCCACTGCTATCTGTAGCGAGTTCCAAGCAGTCTCAAGGCGCTTCCATTGTTTTTCCACCTCTGGTGCGCGGTCTGGACAGTCCTGTTTCAGGCGGTCGCACTCTCTGTGGACAGGAAAATCATTTGACGGGTTCTCACACACGGTGGATAATGAGGAAGTACCCAAATATGTCATTATTCTAGACACTAAGAAAACAGTAGAGAATAATAACCTGTTTAAGAAAGGGTACCTACTTCTAGCCTTTTGATTTGGCCAAAACACAATAGAGGTAGGCATTAACTTCCCAGACTCCTAAAATTTTAAACCCCTTCTTTGGCAATCTTGTGCTTAGAAGGGTTCAGATGCGATTTCTTTGTAGTTGGTAAAAAACTCGTGGAAAAGTTTAGTGTGCTTTTGTCTGAATTGAAATGTGTATTGATAAATAATTCACAGCCTACTAAGTAGACGGAGGAAGTCTGCGGTTTTTTGCGTGATTCGCTACATTGACTTCTTTCATCTTGCAGGGACTTGTAAAATATACTAGTTTTTATGCGTTATGAAGCATTGCTGGTCTATCGCTCCTTTTCGATGTACTTTATATTACTCTACTCCCTTTCTGTACTCCACATAAGAGAACATAAAATCCCTGTTGATCTACCATCCATACAGTACCTCCAAGACCCCACTCTATCCCCAGATGATTATCCTTCCTTTGCGAGCAATGAATTGCACAGCGAAAATTCCCTTTGAGGTAGATTTACTCGATGCAATACGACTTGAGGGTTTGCGAGAAGAACGTCTCCCTCTGGAACAGCTGAAATTGGTCGGGCAGTTGGAAAAAATATTCCTAGCTTTACATGAAAACGCAAGAACTCATGCCAAACACTACGAAAAAGTACTCGAAAGAAGACAATCGGGATGAAGGAAGGAATGTCACACTTCTTCTTGGCACTGGCATTAGGTGATCACATGATTACATGCGAAAGAGAACAGACTGCTGTGAAATAAAAGCGAGATAGAAACGGAGGCGGCTAGCGCTAGGCTGTTTGTTTTTAGCGACAAAGTCTTCCGCGAAAGTGTCCTTCGCAGTCAGCCTCTCATTAAAAAAGCCCTGTAGATTGCAATAGTGATAATTCCAATGAATAAAAAGTATCAGACGCTTTCACCTGTTGACTTTTGTTTGACTCAAATTTAAAACCAAATCATTAGTCCAAATGTTTTAAACTAGTGTTTAAATTGTTTTTATGCTGCCACGACGAGATTTAAAGCTAGTAGTGATGTCAAGGCAACGAGAGCTGGAACTCTTACATAAAAGAACATTAGGATGGACAAAATAGCATGCTTGTGCTCAAAATATTTATAACTTAAGCAGCTCAAATTCACTTAATACTAGAAAACCTCTAGCTTATGCCACTTGGAAAATGGCTGGGGCATAAAAGAGATGCATTTTCAAGCCCTAGTAACTGCTACCATTTCGCCATTTCCACCAATACTCGAATAGAGGATGTCTAACTTGTGATTGGAATGCTGGCCAGGTTATGAGTACAAACAGCACATAGACGCTGATTCCAACTACTGTTGAAGTAACTTTTTTATTACTAATCTGTCCACTGATTTCACACCAATGGCTCTTGTGTCTTTCATTCCTTTCATGTGCACTTGTTTATAGTGTCCTTCAAAACGATTATAAGGATTTGGATTTTTATCGTAAATGGTATTTGTGTTAAACGACCCAGAATTCCGCAGAAAAATGTTGCATTTACGTTTTTACTATAAACATAGCCAGAGATTAAAATGACCTATTATTAACTTTTAAAGAAATAAATACTCATTCTGCATTAGTGGGTGTTAATACATGCACTTTTTTTCTAGTTAGTTAAATTGTACATCCAACTTACTGTTCCTGTTTTTCGACTTGTTTCTTCATAGCATTAACTTCTCGTCGCAGTTTCTCTTGCTCATTGAGAGCCCTTTCAAGGCCAGTGGAGGTCTGAGGATTTATCTCAGGTCGTGTGGCTTTCAGACTGGAAATACGACCGAGTAGAGCGGCACTCTTCTTATTGTCACGAGCTTCGGGCGACTTGTCTACAATCCACTCAAGCAGATCGTCCACATCGGACATGTAAACATGTATTCGCATTGCGGATTGAAGATTCTACAAGATCCTCATTGTTAAATGGTTCATGCGCCAAAAAGGGGAAAAGAAAGTCGGTTCGACTTACCTCCCTCCTTCGTTTCATGCAAGTACGCACAGAGGCCCACCTTTGTGTTAGTTCAACCTGTCTCTCCTGTACGGTTTTCATGTCGAGTTGAACATCACTACGTAGATTGAGAAGCTCCTGCGGTACAGATGTCCATCCATCCGACTCTTGCATCCGTGACTTCTTTACTCTTTGCTCTTCCGTATCAACTTTGCCCATCAGGTCGTCAGCAGTTTCTGTGAGCTGTTTGGCGCGGTTAGTCAGATTTGTTAAATGGGAGGTGCCCGAATTGGAAGTGCTCTAAGTGCGTAAAATACTTGTCAAAGCACTTTTTACTTATTAGCAGAATAAGTAGTCTCTAATTCAAGGCCGCCCTTACTTCCATCCGCTCAGTAAATTTGGCCAAGAGAGTTTCACATTCGTCCAGATCCACACCGTAGTCTCTGCTTTCTATGTCAGCGTCAAAGCTGGATAAAAATTGGTTGAATTCATCGCCTTGTGTGTTGTACGCATTTATTTTTATCCTCAGTTTTAGACGAACTTCAATTAGCTCCAGGTATGCTGATAGGACATCAAAATTGGTTAGGAGATTCGCCTTCAATAGTAAAAAAATTATTTGCATCAATTGCACTTAGATATGATTCCAACTTTGACAAAAATTGCATTCTTGTGTATAAGGGCGCTAAAGCTTTCTGGAGGTGTCAGGCAGGAAATCTGTCCGATTGTTAAATTTAGCTGGTTCAGACGAGATCTTGACTTTGATTTAAGCTTGCCTTTTACTATTAATATTTAATACCTAAATTAAAAATATCTTTAGAATGCTATAAAAGATAATGGAACCTTAGTACCTTGAAGAAAACTATTAATCGTCAAAATCAAGTAACAAAGAAGGCCAAAACTAACCATTTCTCTATTCAGGTTTGCCTGCATGTCCTTTTGATTTGGATTTTTAGTGCTACCTTGGTGCTTCTCAACAAGTTTGCGCAGATCGTCGCTCACGATTGCCTGGGTTCTCTCCTCAGGTGGCACAAAGTTGTTGACGTTTGCGTCGTCTGTGAAAGAACGCTGCTGCAATCGCGCTGAGAGCTGACCAATCGTGCTTCGTCTAAAGGCTGAAACATCATCACGTAGACGGGAGACATTCTGCAGGGCCGCTTTAGTGCCACTGGAATCTGTCATTGGTGCTAGCTTGGAAACTGGATAAAGATGGGCCTTAATCCACTCCTGTGCTTCTTGAATGTCATGGACATGCTACCGTGGAAAAAAAAACAAATTAAACACCTCCACGCAATGAAGGTTTGGCCTTCATAAACGCGTCCATACCTGAAGATACATATGCTCGGTGATCAGACATGTACCCACAGCACCGACTCGTGACTCCAATTCGGATTTCTGGTTCATGAGTTGATTGGCTAAATGGGAAGCCTCCTGAAGAGTCCCAAGGTCGCTTAGAAGGGATTTGGTCTTCCGAGAATCGTCGTTGGTCAGTTTATTTACTTTTTCTACAATCTCGTCAATTTTGGGACTTTGGGCTGCCAGACAAGAAGCCAACTCGGATAGCGATTTCAGTTGTCTCGTCGCAGTGTTTTGATCAAGATTTTGCAACTTAATGTACATTCAAAAGGAAAAAAAATTGTTAAGGTTGAAGACATTGTTAAGATCGTTTTCTTGCAAGTACCAAGGGATAGCAAAGGATGTAGACACGTAGCTACTTATACATTTGACCATCATCATCTGTGCCTCTTTCATGGTGTAAGAGAGAACATAAACCGACTACTTTCTCGTCAGGAGCCTTGGCCGCTCTCCCTGGGCGGTTTTGTAAGAGTAGAAGGCTGACCCAATTCTTTGCATATTTGAAGGAATAATTCCTGCACATTAACACTAAATTACTATTCTGCAGGAATGAATAGGTAAACGGAAGTAACAGGAATGCTCCAGCGATTTGACAACGCCATGGTAGACCTGTCTATAGTACCTACATGAAGGTATGTAGGTACCTACTGCACAATTTCGGTAGCTGGATGAATCAAGGAAAGATGAGTAGGTGTCATTTGAATAAGAGGAGGAGGAGGAGGAGGCGGAGGCGGAAATGATACAGTAGATGGCTTTGCTTCCGGACATGTATTCCAACGAGAAGCGATTGCTAATAGGAATACTACGGCAACAGTTTAAAGCTAGGTACTTTTCTTCACTGCAATTCACAACGGAATTAAAACTCCTAGTACTTTGGAATTGACGAGATGTTCCACCAACGCCTAAATCAAGTCATTTTTTCTTCATACTAATTCAATCGCTGACGTTTCTGACTTATATGTGGCTCTTGAAGCACAGATCGCATTATGATACTGGAAGTGGGATAGGGACCAAGAGGAGCAGCGTGGACGACGTTAAAGTGAATGGGGATGTGCAGTGGCATTATGCTACTCCTCCAGAACGGACAGGAAAGACTCGGGGTGCTAGAGTTATGTTTTTTGTGTAACAATGAAAAAAAAGTGACCGACAGTTAGCAGTTTACAGACTTTAAAGAAAAATAAGAGTAATTGCTGTCTTATAGTGTTTACTGAAATTTATTATTTAATCATGTGCTGACGGAACGTCTTTATCTCAACTCGAAATTAATGGCAATGATCCGAGATAGAGACTCAACGTTGTCAAATATACAAAAAATGTACAAAGTGGATATAACGGTAGATCCATGCTACTCCATTAGTCTTGGGTGTCATCCATAAAATGAGTCAAATAATTTTATTTTAGACTGGAACACCCTAATTTTAAAAATATTTAACATTGTCATCATAAATCAAATATTATGCAGTCCTCAATAAAATACGTTGCAATTTTCTGGATTATTTTAAAAGCTGGACTGACGCTGAATGATTTTACGAAGTCAAGACGCACAGAGAGTCAACCGAAAAGCATTATATGCACGGCACTAATTCGAAAAAAAGAGTTCAGCAAGGGGTTTAGACGTCTTATTCAGAAAAATCAACTTAACCTACTCACACAGGATCGTAAAATTGGAAAATTTTGCTCACGCTTGCATTGTGGAGCCGCAAATATTTTTAAAAATCACTGCTAATTAAGCTTTAAGAGTGAGATGGTTAAAATTTGATGGCAGACTCACGGCAGATGATTGAATGTCGAGAAGGGGACTGTTGAGCTGCTCCTTGAGCCAGTCATTTTCTACTCGCAAATCCTTTTCCAGTCGACGCCAGGTAATCATAAGTTGTATGGCATCCAAACGAGCCTGCGCCAACTGCGGCAGTGTAACCTCCACGGTGTTGGTTAACTCCTTCGCCTCATTGACCATCCTTGCACCCGCGAAGTGACCTTTCTTCTCCGCCTCAGTAGCTGTCTTCAAGAGACTCTTCGCTCGAGCCCTCTGAGTCTCCTGAATGTCACGAGCTATTACCTAGAAGAAATCCGTCGCATTACTTTATCTATTAATGCAGAAGACAACCTAATTTTGAAGATTCTAACTTAGTAAGGATTTTTCAACCCTCGAATAAGAATTTTGACACTTGTTCTTGCCAACTTTGCTAGTTAACTAATTGAGAAGAAGATAGATCAGCCCATCAGTGTATACAAGTATATTCACGTCTAAGAGGACAATGGTAAACGTAGCAGTAAGTATATGTTCAAATAATTTTTCCATTTCATTTCCATTTCATTCATTTTCATGCTACAGTGACAGAAATCATTGCCTGTCTTGCAGAATAGAACAAGAATAATACTCGGATTTGTTCTAAAAAATTTAAGAATATAGCCTTTTTAAGAGCTCACCTCATGTTTGTCTAGCAACCGCTTCAGTCCATTCTCGCCTCTATGGTAGTCATCGGACATCAACTGGGCCTCAGCATGTTTGGCTGCCTCTAAGGCCTCATCCATGAGCTGGCCCCACTTCACCAACTCGTTGGCCTCGTTCAGTCGCAATGCGCGCTCCGCACAGGTACTGCGAAGTTGCGTGGCCGCTGCTTGCAACTGCCCTACCATTTGACTCACCTTGGTCGCCTTCTTGGGATTCAAGCGAACCAATTGCTCGCCCTGTTCGCACAATCGGTCGACCATTTCTAGACCGATGTCAATCTGAGTGTAGAAAAGTCACATACTTCATTAATATTGACCTCATTATTAATGAACATGTATTTATAAATCATTTAAGTCAGTTAGCAAAAAAGTGCTACACGAGCAATCGTTCTGTCAACCTGATTAAAAAAAAACTGTTTTAAATAGCCGTGCTTCCAAGTACTTGTAGGGAGAGGATGTTACTACAGCGTGAATTTCTAGAAAAATACCTAGGAACCTCAAACTAGTTTGAGGTGTGAGATATTAGCTTACGTCGACATTGAAGCGCCGATGCGCAGCCATCTTCCTGGCCATTCCATTCGACCCTTTGGGCCCACATGTTTGGTCATTCTCAGAGCCGGGAACGTTTTCCCCAAATCTTTTGAGTACAACACGCCAGTCATAGGTAATGGCAGCCAGCGATTGGTTTTCTTTCATCCACTTTAGACTTTCGTTGGCCGACACGAACCAGTTGTCACACTCCGTACGAGTCTCCACTTGTTCACGCATTTTTGCGATCATCTGACTTATCATTAATGCCCTAGCTTGAGTCTTGTCGAGTAGCTGTTTATCCTCCTTCACCTTGTCTGGTGTATAAATCTAAAAAGGGTATTTATTACATATAAATGGAGCATACAACCAAAGCCTACCTCTTTAGCTTCTTTGGAAGTCGTATGACACTGCTGGAGTTCATCAAATTGTTTTTTCATTGTATTTCGGTCTTCTAGACTCGAAGCCAAGGAATCGAGCATCGCCAGACAAGCTTGCGGTGATATTTCAGAGGGAGGAGCAGCATACTGCTGTATACCGTTCGTAGATGCTACAATCATTGGCTGGTCCGTCTAGAGAAACACAAAATTGACGTGTGAGATTGTGAACAAACAAGCGAACTCACCTCATCGTCACTGTTATCAGAATCTGTTGCAAGACCGCGAAAAGCACTTTTAACAGCTTGTTGAGCTTGGCTTTGCACTGATTCTATCCAACGGTCCTCCTGTTTACCAGTAGTTGCAAAAGCCTGAAGTGAAGATGAATCCTCCATTAGATAACCCATAACCTTGGTCTATGTTCTACCTCTTTTGTGTGTCTATAGGGATGATTAGAACACGACATGTTCAAAAAGATAGGGACGAGTGAGAGATGTTATCTCAGAGAAACTGGGTCTTACCCTCCCAAAAAAGAAGCAATCTAACATAAAAAACCATAGCGATTACCAAATGGATCACAAACCTGCCGCTTCTCCTCAATATCAACTTGAATCTCCAGACGAGCAAGAATATCGGCAGCCCTCTTGAGTGCCTCATCTGCCTGTTTTATTTCACCCGGTACGGCCTTTCTCTCCATTGTTTCAGACTTCAACTGTTGCGCCTGTGACTGTAGTCGCGTCAGTTGCTGCTGTCGCAGTGGCAGTTCTGACTGGCAGTCGGTGAGACGTCGGCGCATGCGCACGATAAAGGCCCGCCGTTTCTCCCCACTTTCTCCGTCCGTCGTAGCTGATTTTCCCACCTTTAGCATGGCCAGCTTGCCTACTAGTCCTACCATTGCTGTGCCCACAATATGCGGCTTCAGCTCTTTCTCGACTCCATTTGACCAGTCGACAAGTTGGCGGCAGCCCTGAAGAGAGATATCCACAGGTCACCTTATTAGTGGAAGCGGGTCATTTTGGCTCCTTGGGTATCGGATAACAAACTGATGATATGAAACGAATGGTATACTCTAGCCAAAACTTGATTAGATCGGTGGAACTTCACGAAGACAGGACCACTTTTACATTTGAACATATCAAATTCAGCAGTGACAGGGGATAGTAATAACTTATTTGGTGTCAGTTCTCATATATCACCGCCAACTCACCTCCAATATGCGTTGTGCAGCTAGCTTTGATTCAAGCAACTCACGGCGTTCCTTCTGAAGCACCTTTGTTTCCCTTGTTACGGCTTCCAAATAACTCTGTAGCAAAAAAATAAAGGAGTTTAAGAAAGGCAAAGAAAGACTGTGAAATTGCTCCCGGCTTACCATCTTGCTGTTTATTTGTTGAATTAAAGCAGATGTCTGCGTCTTGGGAACATTCGAGGCAAATGATTCAACCGCATTCTTTGCTTCTTCTTCAACTTTCTTCGTCTGTGCTTCAATAGCAGCAACATCCCGTTCGTTTGTCTGTAACTCTCGTAAAAGAGCTTCCAATTCACTGACGGTCAACATTTTCCCCAGGTCGTCCCTTACGGAGGCCTAAAAGACAAATCCATTCAAATATGTTGGCGGCATAAAAAGCTAAAATATAATTTTCTTGTTAAAATTGGATTGTTCTCTCACCTTTGACTTACGATTACTGATTTGGATAAGGAGACCGTCAACCTTGCTTATAACCTCGTGGATGGTTGCAGCGAGTTCCAACAGTTTGGCATATCTACTAAGACTTTCCTGGACACGACTCCAGCGGTCGCAAATGTCGGCGGTACGTCCATCCACATAGTCAGAAGTTTGCTTGTTCAAAACCACAATGGAATTATGCGTTCCCATTGGGGACTTGCGAAGTGACTGCAAAATTCTGTCGGAAAGCGATCGGAAGTCGCGGATTGTGGCATCGTTCACCTTAATAGTGAAGTGAATATGCTGAAAACCACCATCTATATCAACTAACAATAAGAGGAAGAGGATAAAACTCACGATTTTTCCAGCGGCGGGTTCGCTGATTTTGTCCTTCAGAGATACGCAATGATCATAGTCAGATCCAAAATCACCCTTGGCTAGGAGGATATCCTTTTCACGAAGCCATCCTTCCAAAGCATCCGCCTGAATGTAAAAAGGAGCTTTAGACCCGATACAACGAAGTTGATCATACCTCATTTTGATAGCGCGAAAGATCCCGGGACGCCTCCAATGCGGAAGACGAAGATGCAAGTGAATCTCTGAGCTTTTTCCAACGTCGGCTGATATTTGTACAGCGACTGTTGATATCTTGGCCATTAGTGCTACCTTCTCTAGCAGGAATTTTCCCCTCCACTTCTACCAGTTTTGCTCCACGTGTCAGAATCTCATCAATGTGATCCTTGTTGCCCAAAATTGATGTCTGAAAAAAGACGGATCCATTTGCCAACTTTCCACAGCAATTTTATGTTGCCCTGTTCTGATTGATTGAGACACTTGCCTGGAACTTATCTTGTCTTTGCAGCATCTCAAGCTGAGTCCTCACAGCAGCCACCTCTTCAATGAACGAGCTCCTCTTCGAAATTGACTGACTCCGGTGCAGAGCCTTCGGTGTCATCATGATGTTCAACTCACTTTCCCGTTCTGTGAGCCACGCCTCAGTATCACTAGCATCTTCCTCCCACACGACTTGTTCAAGACGTCGATTGAGGCTCTCCAGATGATCAGCACAGATCTGATTTTAAGCGTTGCAAATAGTGCAGTGAAAATTTTAACACTAAATCATATTCAATTGTATAACCAGTCCCCAGATCCCCAAATATAAGCTGTTTGAACGATCCTGTATCAGTTTCTCAAAAAACAGCAATCACTGTAAGGGACGATTTCTATTTAAACTGAGACTTCTAACTTTAAGTCCCCGCTAGGCATGCTGACGTGGCAGTACGTGCCAAGAGTGTTCATGTGTAGAGCAGTCCCGACCCCATTGATCAAGATAGTGTGCAACAGTGGTGGCGTGGACATTGATTAATCAGTAGTGTAAAATCCAGATCCGCGAGCATTAAGCAATACAGAAGACTTCAAGCACAGTTTGTACTGAGGTGCGACACCAAGATTCGCAGCAGTAGGTCACTTAAGTAATGTCAGCGTATACAATGTTGCTCCACGTCTGTGTCATTAACTATCCGTACCAAAGTAGATCCCTGCTTTCAGTTCACAGTCTCGGAATTCATATTTATGATCCCCCTTAGCCGGATAAAACGGACAGACGTTCCGTATCGCACTTACAATTACCATAGCAATCGGGCTGTGGACAGGGACATTCAGGCTTGACAAGTTTAATCGAGCTAGGGAGTTTTGGTTTGGGTACTTACCTGTCCAACAGAGACCCGGGCTATCTGCATTCTGTTGATCACTTCATGAATTTGTGTCGAGGCATAATGCTTCTTCTGTATCATGAGGTTCGCCGAGGACACCAGAGAGGCAACTTTATCATCGTTCGCTTTCATGACCTTTACTATGTTTTCTGTCCGCTGTATCATACTCTTCACCTACAAAAAAGTTGGACCAGACGAAGTTATGGGGACAATTATAGGGATGCTTTTAATGGCATCTTGAACCATCAAAAGCTTAGTGTGCAACTCACATCAAGGCTTGAATGAAGCTTATTACAACTGGCATATTTGGGAGCAGTTTGAACGCTGCTGCATTCCTCCATTATCGCGTCAATTCGGGCGCGTTGAATTACGGTTTGGCTGGAGAATTTGGAAATTTCGCGTTTCAGCAGAAGTAAATCAAGGAGTTGTAGAATCCACCGATTGTAATTCTTCAAACCATCCTCGATTGATCGCTGCGCTATTACCATCTGATCCACCTTATTTTTCAGCTAGAAGGTAATTTATGGCCACGGATATGACGCAATTCACGCAGTTATACGAGGTCATGTAGAGAAGGCATACTCACATCACTGGCTGCAAAGTGATTTGCATCAATCATGGACTCCGCCTCAGCTACAAGCTGTATCGAAATCGGTTTCCAGCGTTGCTGAAGCTCGTCAGACATGCGGAAGCAGTTTGCCTGCAGGAGTTCCGCCTGACTGCAGTCTATTGATTCAGGAACCCTGGAGTTGTTATTAGCTTGACCAGTGGAAAACTTCTGATCCATCATGGCGAAGGCTTCAGCGGCTGTTTTGGCAATCGGTTCGATTGTGACGATCTCTTGTTCCGCTTCATTGCACCAGAATAGGACATCTCGCACCTACCGAAAGCAGTAACGAGGATTTAATGCTATTAAATGGCAAAACTCCCTTTAAAAGACCTACTTTACAATAAACTGCGCCCCACTGATCCTTTCATAGGGCATAATACTGCAGTATTACGTGTTAGGTGAAAATAGCGTGCATTGAACAATCCAGACACCGTTAGTCAAGCTAGCGGGAGTAGATGCATCCAAGTGTATCTCCAGAGCGTCCTAATAACCCCAACTCACGGCTATGGACCAATACAGAAGACTTAAAGCACCGTTTGAGCTCTGATAGGACACTCACTTATATTGTCGAAGCAAATAAATGGTATTGCCTTATCATAAGCGGTCGCTCGAGTGTACATCAGTGAGGATCCCAGCCAAAGTGGTTCCGCTTTCAACCCATGGTCTAGAGCATAATTTCTGTGGATATGCATACATGACCATAAATCGGAAAAAAGGATGCAGACCTTTTCAGAGAATTGGAGATATCGACTCCAATGATTGAGCTGTTTGCGTCTATCGACCATTTTGGCTTCGAGATCCTTCAAAGCATCTAGAAGGCGCTGACTGCGGTCCGAAATAAGGGTTTCTGTCTTGGAATTTCGCCTTCCACCATGCGGTTTTGATTCTCGTAGAATTGAGAGCAGCTCCTGTCCTTTGCTAATCACATCATCAACCTTGATCAGAAAACAACAAATATTATCAGATTATCAGTCATCCAGAAACCATGCATAGTCTAGAGTGAGCCATTCATAAGCCAATGAAATAGAAACCTTGGCATTTTGGCATGAGATTTGTCATCCCATTTCAAAGAAGGCAACGATACAAATGCACTCTATATCAGTAAAGGCAGTGTTCGGTTTCAGGCTGGTGGTAGGCAAAACGTCTACAGTAAATGGAGATTCCCCATAGCTGTCTTTAATTCGAGGATTAAAGATATCTAAATGATCAGAATTAAAGGTCCAAAACTGGCTGCATCAATGTAATAGACGGTTAGCTGTGACCATGGATTCGAGAACCGAAGTAAAAACTCTGGAACAGAGTAATTACGTAGAATAAGGATGCAATTGGGTCAAAAGTAGGGTTTCAAATAACAGGCAGCTTAAAAGTCCGAATCCCAAATGCGAGTGCATAAGTGGGAGCGTTAAATCATGACAAAATCACCTGTTGCTGAATAGAGACAAATTCGGTCTCCAAGGCCTCGTGCTTCTTCACCTGTGCTGCCAGTGTTGAGGTACTCTTGGGTGTTACTGCACTCAAAGCGGTCAGATGAGCACTTCGGTTTCGTATCAACTCCATTAAATCTGCCCATGCCTGACTGAAGCTATAGCGATGAAAACGGTGTTTAAGGTAGTGTTGGAAGGACTTAATAACAGGATGATGACAAAAGCGTACTGTGATATATCCCCAGTGCGATCGATCCGGCTCTGAACAAGGCGGACCTGTTCCTGAAGAAGACCCTTATCTCTAGCAAGACATTCCACCTGTGAGCGGACCTGATCGGCACCCGCTCGCACTGACTGCTCGTTGCAGAAGGGGTAAGTCGACTGCGGCTGTGTGGCCATCTGGTTGATGGTTAGACCGAAAGCGGTGGGGCTGGGTACTGTTGCTGTCTGTGCTGCTTGTCTCATTTTGGGATTTATCAATGTGTCCAGATCATCCGACAACCTCCGACCCTCTATCAGGCAGCTGTCCACGCCATTTACCAACTTGGGGAGATTGGTAATGAATGTCTGCCATCGATTTCTGATTTTCTGATAGAAAAAAGTATAATCCTGGTAATTGTTAAAGTTTGTAGAGCTCATATCTTGTACGTAAAGAGCCAGTGACCGACTCTAGCTACGAGAAGGTTAAGCATGGATTAAAGGTATTTCGTAAAATAGCTTAACACATCTTTTGAATAGAAATTCCCTCTCATGCGACTTAGTGTCGAAACGTACCTCGATTTGCTCTGGGTCATCACCGATTTCAGTAGCGCTGATAAAAGCAAGAGCATTTGTGATGCCTTGCTGCTGGTCATCTACCTTCTCATCGAACGCGTTAATTCGCCTTTGAAAGGAGAGACTTCTCCTACGAGTCAAAATACCATCATTATCTGATTACGGTTACGAGGTGACTACCGAAATGAGAAAAAAAGCGCACTTTGCTGAATTCACTTTATCCTTCAGATCTCCTAGTGAACCCTCCAACTCAACAATACCGTTTTTTAATGGTTTCGCCAAATTTGGTTCGATGCTGGAAGCAGACAATACCCTGCTCACTCGATTTCCAAGGTTCGTTACCTTTGGCTCCGTCTCTTTCGTGTACTTCTCAACCTCCTGCAAGTCAAAAATGTAGACAGTGTAGGGAAATCTAGACCCTTAAGATAAAAATGAGGCATTTTCAACGATACTTCAGCTAGTTAGATCCTTGGGAGTCACGCCTCTAATGGCAAAACTCAGCTTTACTTCACAGAACGAGTTATCATGGTTGAACTATGTGATCAACGTGGTTTACTGAAGAATCACTGATCCAAACCGGGTTCAAGAATGAAGATTTTTTAAGGTGTGGTTAACGTACAAGTATCTTCTTCGTCGCCAAGTCGTCATTCTGATTCGACTTTCCATTTACCAGCCTATCGACATCAGCCGCTTTGGCGTTGAGAGCCTTCGTCAGATCAGCCATTTCACTAAGGAGGTTCATGGTGGACATTGCATCATCCAGCTGTTGAGATCGCGCATCGACAACCGACTGAAGGTTTGCCCAACTGCGTTGGAGATTTAGACGAACTTCTTTGGCAAGCTCATCGTCTGCCAGACAGGCTGGAATTGGTCGCCGTTTGACGTCCAACAACTGTTGAACGCGTGGATATTTGCGCTTCATCTCGTCTCGAAGCCGCTAATGTGGACAACCGTAGGCAACTCAAGTAAATGCACCCACCATATGCTAGAAATTTTTCAGTTAAAAAGAACTCCACTGGTACAGATAAAAGGATTCGCAGATCTCAGCTTAACAGAGTGGAGGATTCTGCTTGCGTGCACTTACCTCATGGCTTTTGCGTTGAGTTGCATGTTCCTGCGGTGTCCGAAAGCTAGCGTTTCTTCTCATGTGACCGCGTTCCTGTCCGCCCTGATCATCTGCCCAGTCTTTAAGCATATTCATCTCATCTACCGTCTTATACCAAACAACCAAATCCCTATTTCGCTTCTCTTTATTGTCCAAATCGTCTAATTGCTTTTGGAGCCTAGAAGTAACAAAAATTTCTCGTGCGTAGGAAAATCGAGAAGAAAATATGTAAAGCTGATAGAAGACTCACGTTTCCTTCTTTTGCTTTATTTGGGCCGCCAATTCTGGAGTCCAGGCACCAGCCTTCTTCGCCTTCTTCTCTAAGTCATCCAATTTTGCTAGATCACCCATAACTTTCTGCCTATTCCTCTACAAACGAAAAAGCCATAAACAAGCACAGAATAAAATAAAATTCACCTATTCATTTAACATTTGCAATTTTATGTTAAAGTAGGGCAGACGAAAAACCTACGGTCTACCTTACTACCTCCACAATCTCACTTCTACTGGTAATCATTTCAGTAGCAAAAGGCAAACTTAATAGTTAACGGGATAATCTATCTTCCTTCGTTTCAACTGAAGACAATGACAACCTTCGGCTCTTTATGTGTAGGACACGGGCTCTGCAAACCCAAAGTTGCCTTAGTTTTTGACGCGTGGCTCCAGAATGCCGCAATTATGGGAAAAGTGATCCTTCTCGGTCGACGAAAACTGGTAACGCCAAACAATAGGAGCTAGGGTTAAAACAAAGTAGACTTGGAACAACCTTTTCTAACTTTGAGCAGTATAATCACAGTAGGGCAAAAACACATTTGGATCAAAATTTCTCCTGAAACATTAGTAGCGAAAGTGCTGATTTAGTGATATTTTAAGCTCATCCGCAAGATTACCATTGCTGAATAGATATGCAGGGCGCCCAAAAAATTTCGGAACATTCGCATTTACAGAATAGAAAGTTTACAAACCTCAGTTTCATTCAACGCATTGACAGCTTCAGCATAGTTCCGAGGCAATTGAGAGGGTCGAATTACTTTTTCAGCAAGATCTCCAGGAACAGCAGCGAGTTGAGGAGCGACTACGGAGGCTTTGATGATTTGATCTGCATCGCTATTAAATTGAGCTGCGGATTCGGCGTTGGTCAGATCTCTCACCTTGGTACCGATGGATTTATGCAGATCCAATAGACGATCATTCAAGTCTTGAACCCGCTTCTGGGGGTTAGGGAAGTTTTTAGCGTCTACACAGCTTGAAAGACGATGAGATCGATTCTGAAGTTCATCTAAGGCCTAGGAATTAAAAAAATTCATCTGCACTCACAGACTGGTCTACAGATTAAATATTCTGGTAAGGCAACTTTTCAACCTTCTGATTTGCAGCCAGTTCGGATTCAATGTCACCGAGTTTCTTGATTCGCGCTCGAGTTTGACGCAGATTCTCCATGGGACTACTGCCAGTCGCTAACGTCGGAACGCTCTGAACTGAGGCCTTCTTCTCTTCCAGCCATTCTTCTACATCATTTGCGTCGTTATGGAAATTCACATGGGCCATGACCTTTTCCAATTCATTGCCACGTGCCTCTGCTCTCTTCAGCACTATGCCAGCAGCATTCCGGATGGATTTGCTTTTGGAAAGCAGAGGATTCGTAAGATCCCTGCAAAGACAAAGTTATGCCAATCAGATTGAGAGTATGGGGAGCGCTACAATGCTTGTTGTTAGCGTCAATCAAAGCCATTAATAAGCTGATATCTTACTTGGGAAGTTTTGCAGCTTTGATACGTTCCTCATTTACGGTGACAGCTGTAATGTTTTTCAGTAACTCAATCTTCAGTCCGTCAATCCGACGCTTTTCCCTATCCACGTCGGTGAGAGAGGTCTGTCGGAGGAAAGCACTTAGACTGGAGCATGCATGAGATTCATTGATAAGGGAAAATAATTAGAATAAAAATTCTCACCAGCGGCTCAGTCATCTGTAGACGCGTGTCTAGCTCCTTTATGTTGCCTTCTATTGAGCCCAGAGCGGAAGCAAAGTTCTACAAGGAATTAAGGTGTGAATAAATAGCGTAGGAGATATTAATGGACGGAAACTAGAGTCTTATATTCACAGTTGTAGAGCGGCTGATGCTGTCGCTGTGTAAAACTTGAAGGAAGGTTTTACCACGAATATGAAGCACGAAATTTAATGCAATTCACGGAGAGCAGCATATTTTCTAATCTACACTCCGCTGTTTGATTGAATTCCATCCCACTACTCCATTAACTTTCGTTGAGAGGAGGATTCAGTTTGCCAAATGCAACGAATTTCTCCTGAGATTAGCTTTACAAGTCCAGTAGATTCCTCCTGTCATTTAATCTGTTAGGGGATTCAAATAGTCCCCACCTTCGACAGACTTTTACTTAAAATTTTTACACCGATAGGGTCAGAAACTTTTGGTACTACCAAAATTCAATTGTGGGACAATGCTGACCGTAATTGAGTGGACTAATGTTCAGATACATTGCATAGTCGATTGTGCGGGCCTCTTCATTCTCCCACAATCTGATCACTATCCTGGCGATAAGCCACTAGATTCCCAAACCCCCAATAATTAAACTACTTCTGCCCTTACACACCTTATGAGATTTCAAACAGTATGCCTAAATTGCAATGATGATTTTAGATTTCGCCTACCTGTGCCTTGACAGCACTGCTGAGATTGTCCTTCTTGGCCCCGAGTTTTCGTTTAAGCTCCTCATTTTTCAAAGCAAGTGCATCGGTGGCTGAACCCAGCTTATCCTTTGATGTACTACTCCCTGGCAGTCTTCGTGCCTCATCGCACAGCTCCGCCGCGCTAAAACCATGACCGAAGTAGAATTTGTAAATGGGGCGGCGTGTGCATGGACAACGCAAACCATGCATTATAAACTTGGCCAAAAAGTGGGCAAACAATACTTCATGCAGTAAACACAGAAGTTACTATAGAACCATTTCCTCCGGAGAGGTACCTGTAGGTAAAATTATAGAAATGACTATGAAATGAATGTTCGTTAGAGAGATCAAACTGCCCTAAATACGAATAAAAGATGAGCCTCTAAAGTATCACTGCTGATTGTACAAAAACTCACGCAGCATCGTAAAGATTTAGATCGTCATCCAGCTCATCAGCTTTTTGTAGCCTCTGGTGGAGCGTGGCTGGTGGGAGAAGGGACTGGAAAAGTGAATGGCTGGAGACGATCTCACCGGTGGGTTCCAGCGTGTCAATCTGTTCTTCCGCATAATTCAACTTCCCCTCCAAGTTCTTCATTTTCTCTCTCAAAGAGAAGTCTGCAGCGGCTAAACTGTAGGCCTCTTCCCTGCGTTTTAGAAGATCCTGATCGGGGAAAAGGAGATGTGGGTGTCACAAACACAACATTCTATGGAACCACAGTGCATTAGGTGGGGTTCAGGTATCCCATTTATGGGTATTACCAAAAGATCTGGCTTTATTAAAATAAACCACGGCCATAGCGTAAAATAATGAAAACTAAGGCAATACTCTTTGAATTTTTATTCCCGTTATCATTGGAGGAGACCCCGAAATCTTACTTGCAGTCGGTACCAAAGACGCTCGATTGCCTGAAGACGAGATTTTACAGCAGGGGCATCATCGGGATAAGTTTGTGCGACACTAGGGGAAAAAGAAAAAGTGAAAATTGTGAAGGAAGAGCATTTTTGTGGCGTTCGAGATAGCGCTCAGCAATTCAAAGGGCAAATCTTATAACTACCTGTTGCTCATTGACCGCAAACGGGACATCTTTTCACCGAGCAAGGGTTTCTCCACCTTGATTTCCTGAAGCAATAACAAACGCATCTTGCATTTATTAACAGGTCATTGAACACCGACTTTTAGAAGCAGTTTTTATGTAACAAAGGGAAGACATATATTTAACCAAAATGGGCATCATTTCAGCTCATGGATAATTAAATATGCCAAAAAACTAACTTTTACTCGCCGCAGGAGTTCAGTGTTGGTCTCTGCGTTGGAAGCCGTATTCGGCATGGTCTCAAGTTGGGCAGTGCGATCGCCGAGCAGAATTTCCATTGTCTCAGCCAACTTTTCGAACTGTCCCAAGCTGAGAATACAAATAAAAGTTAACGTCGTCTATGTGAATTCAGAAGTTTGGTTTAATTACACTTCACTAATAAGCTGTAATACTTTTACGCCATCTTATATTAACCTACAGGACATGTTCATATTTCTTTGAAAAAAATATACCAACCCATACATAGGTTGAATATTGTATTATATTTCAGATTTAGATGCTGTGAATTTTCGCTGATCAAAGATTGAGGCAAAAAAAAGCGATGTGCAAGATTTATACAAATTGTTTTCACCCGCTCGAGCTCGTTAAAGAGGCCTCCAAAGATGTCTTGCGTTTATTCAAAGTGTCCCACCTAGGGGAGTAAAAGGAATTTTAGAATTAAGAACATAACAAAAGAAAAATCAAAGTGTGCTTAGCCTACTGGATTCGAATGTCTTTCATCCTTCTTTCGACCGGTTTCTTGTAGAACAGTTCACTGAAGACAGAAAAAATCTTTCACTTATCAAAATAAAGTAGTCTTAAAGTTGTACCAAATTGAAGTTAAAAGGCATGGAAAAGCCTTATTTTATCGAGCATACCCCAGTATGCTCGATAAAAGGCAAGAAAGGGGTTTATTATATGAAAAGTCAGTATCAATACCTTGGAATAACTATGTGATTATGGCGTAGGCGGAAAAACTAGTGCTTCCAATCTAAACCATCCTACCAATTCTTGCCTTCATGAAAAACACACTACATAGGTCATTTTTCATGTTTCTGGTTCTTTTTTAAGCTCAGAAACACGCATACTACGTGTCTATGGAGTATTTTAATATTTTGCCAACCTACCCGCTACCTCGTTTGTAAAGCAAACGCTCCGAAGGTTTCACGACTCCAGTCAAAATATCTGCAAGCTCATTTATCTCAGCTAGCAAAGAAGTTCCCTTCGAGATCTCCTCAATTGTTGTCTATATTGTGAAGAATAGTCAGATGTCGGATACAATCACGAGGTGCTCAAAATGATTTGATTTCATAAGAACTTGCCTCAGTGTGTGTACTACTGGGACCATGGCTTTTCATGTTGCGACTATCGCGTTGAAGCTGGTCAATCTCAAAGCATAAAATCCAACATTGAATAGGCAATTTTAGTTATGCAACGAGTTGTCAGCTAATCACTAAATTCACCTTTTGCTTCATCCACGTCTCAAAATTGTTGCTTTTCATCGTAAAGTCGTGCCATGCCAATGTGTCCTCCAGGCAGTTATCTCTCGCCTACCAAATAATGTATTAGACAAGTCGATTAATAAGAAGCATTACCCAAGCTATCAGAGCGACCCACCTTGACACATTTCTGAAGCTGACTTAATTCAGCATTCACTTTCTGCTCACATTTCTGGATGTTCTCCCTATCGAAATGGAGCTCATTACTGCTTCGTGCTGCAGACAAGGAAATAAGACGGTGGAAGAGTAAATGTAAATACCATGTGTGTGCATATTCGTGAAACTAACCAGAAGGTGCCTTGCGAATGGTGAGGCCTCTTGAAACCTCTCGTTTGACAGCCTTAAGTGCATCGGCCTTAGAACCCTGCCTCCCTGCAACCGGTGCTTGCAAAAGTCGCAGACGATTGGCGGGCACAAAACCCTCCTTTTGTTGGCCCCTCACATTTTTCCGCACGTGCCACCAGTCTGCGTTGGTGCAGGCCACCACCAGGACCATCTACAATGCACACAAAACCACAACGTCGCCTGACTTTATCACCCTTCATAAACGTGAATACGTGAGCAAATACCTCCATTTAAGTACATACCTCACCCTCCTCTAGGTCAATATCTCTTCCAGCTGGATCTTTGGCGGTGTAGCGCCCAGTAGCCTGAGCACGGCCTTCAATATTCTTTGGGAAAGCATAGCTTCCGCTCACAGATGTCTCAACATCACTGTCAATGCCCGAACTTCCATCGGCGTCATTTGGTACAAGCAATTCTGTTCTCAGCTTCAAGAAAAACACATTGCTGCATAAGTCAGCTCTATAAACGTGGTTTTTCTAGGATGAGTTTAAAATCACTTACCGGTCTAGCATCCATTGGATTACGTAGGATTGTGGAGAAGTATTTCAGACGTTGCATGTCGTTAGATTGGAAGGCTTGCATCTCAGTCTCCAGATTAGTCAGGCGTCTTTTTTGTGCCTAAAACAGAACTTTATTACCTCTTTTTGCGGATCCTGATGGAACTAACGAGGTTCAAAATTAGATTATCAACAAGTTCTCCGACAGCAGATCTTTCACACATCACAAGTAGAGGCTTAAAAGTGCCATAACTTTAAAACCAAACATAGGACTCCAGTTAGTCAAAAATTAGTATAGTCAATTTCTGAAATCCTGAAAGCTTCAAAGATGCCTACCATCGTTGAACTCGAATCCACTCCACACATTTTGATCGCCTCATTCAATTCCTGTTCACTCTCAACGGGATGAGAGAGAATTCCGGCTGCCTCAACGAGATAGATCTTCTCCCTAATCCACCTCGAGGCCTCGTCAGCATCGGCATAGAACTGTGCGGACTCAAGGCACTCATTCAGTGCATTTTCACGTATCTTCATCTCCTCTCGAAATTGGCTCCATGCAGAGGTGATCGCCGCTATTTGTGAGCGCGCTGATTGGCGCGTGTCGGCCAGCGGATCTTCGGCCACATTGCTGCCTCCAGTTCGCACGTTCAAAAAGGACTCCGCTAAACGTTTTAAGTCATCCCAGCTTGGCTCATGTGCGGCAACTTCACTTTCCATCGCCTAGATTTTTAAACGAACGGAATAATACGGAAAGACCTCAATTTCATTATATGCCATTTGAGATGAGCAGGGCCATTCAAACAATCGGCTGCGGTGATGCTACCTCTTTTTTCACACCAATGTAATAACATCTCCTTCAGTTCGTGAATATTTTACTCTAACGCTCTTTACTAGTCGTGATGAGTAAGGATCTGCTTTGCATTAGCCAAGAGCTACTTCGCTTGTGGTTCCCGTCACCTCACTTTTTTATAGCCCAAGATTTCATGAGATTTCGAAACTTGAGCACATACCCTAAAACTCCTCAATTTCCTTACTAGTGAGTCTTTGGGAAAATTTGTGCCCAAACCTGTTTTAATGACATTTCAAGCACCTAAGCTTAACGCTTGCCGATGAAGTATTTACCAACTGGACGAAATAATGAGCTAAAAATATGCCTTCGTAATTGACTATCGGCATGGGTACTACAGAATTCAGTGCTGTTATTCAAATGTGTTTTATAACATTAGATACGTGTGATCCCTTTCTCAGTCTTTTAGAGGTAGTTTAATCCTGATGAAATGCACAGCTGTTGCCTCAGTAGGAGGTGAGCTGTGAGGATACCTGGTGTTTTTTGCACAGACGCTGAGCCAACTGTAGATCACGTGCGTTTCTGGGATCCTTGGTCACTCCCACGGTGGATGCTAGGAAGTCTTTCTTCCCGGTAACCCAATTGAGTTCATTTGCAAGGCTGACAAAGAGGCCATAGGTTGAGTTGATACCCTCCAGTTTAGCCTTGCGCTTACGGCTTTCGTCTGCCACTCTGTTCCACAGTTGGACAGCAGCCTGACACTCCTGGAAGTCACTAGCCTTCTCTACATCTACAAATGTTATGTAGAAAGTAATTAATCCAATTTTGGCATGTTTTATCGACTGCAGAATCGACAATTTTGCTTATGGCACCACAAACCGTTTATCCATAAGTGAGGTAGATTAAGACGGTTTTCATTGAATATTACCTGCATTTGGCATAGGAGCCGCATTGGTCCACATAGCCTCCGCGGTATTGCGAATTTGGTAAATTTTCCTTTCCAAGGGCAGAAACTCCGCCTCGGCAATTCGGTGACGGTCCAGAGCGGCCTGGATTACTTCAAGCGGCAAAGTTTTATCATCACTCTTCCTAGCCTCTGTCTCTCCTTTTGTTGGCTGGGTAAGTTGCTTCTACAGAATCAGGTAAATGTCACATTAGTGTATAGTCGTAGGTTGGTGAAAATGGAATTCGTCAGAAGGAAATTGTTATGAAAGAAGACACATTTACCTTTAATCAGGATAAAAGAGTGAACAGGGAGCTTAGTCAAGTATGAAAGTTCTGAATTCTATTGACGCTTAGCATTCTTCCAACAATTTTGATGAATCGCAAGCACAGGTTATGATTGGCACCCACCTTTAAAACAATAGATTTTTACAAGGCCATTAAAACTTAGTTGTCTTTTTTAAGACTTAAACTAAATGAAGGTAGCTTTTAACTTAATTACCTATGCATCGACGCGTCAGGTGAGGCACCTACGCTAAATTGAAACTGCTATGACACAATATTATGAAGTTTGAGGCAAGAGACAGTTGCAATTTAGGAGTATTAGACTAGTCAGTCTACTGAGCAGGTATATCACCTCTAACTCCTGAATCTTGCTCGTAACAATTTTGAGCTGTTCCATCAGGTCCGCTCGCGTCTGAGGAAATGCGATACGCGCTAAAAGAGCACGCATTTTGGCGCCACTCAGTGCAGACCAACGCGACTGCAGTGCTGCATTGCGTTGCTGCACACTGCTGCCTTGCGGGTACTCCCCGTACTTTATAATCTTCAAGGCCAAATCATCCAAATTCTTGAAACGCTTCTCGTTGCTCTCAATCTTCAACTTCAGTGCTTCCGCCTTCTTTGCTGCACCAGCCTGGGTTCCCGGCAGCTTTTGAAGCCATTCAGCTTGATCTTCCATGTCTGTTAACCAGCCTTCTCTTATCGCTGCCTTGTGCTCGAATTGACGCACCATCCGCTCGTACTTTTCAAGCCTGTTAGGTTAGAAACATCCTACTTGGTTATTTGAGTAGTAAAATCGTGATAAGCTACATAAGTTTCATGCTAAAACAGGCTGGATTAGAATGCTAAACTTTGGCACACGTTCTATGAACAAAATATAGGCGCCAATTTTTAAAAAATTATGTCTAGTTTTTACCATATTGCTGCAGATTTATTTTGCTACAGTTGGTTTTTTTAAAAAAGGCGTCACGATTCGCTAAAAAGCCAGCTAATTCATTAGTGTTGCATTTATGCGGCTCATTAATGCAAGCCACTACAACGGATTGGAAAAATTAAATTAGGCCTTTTGACACCAACGATCTCAATGAAGTGGATTAACTTGGTGGAAAAATCAGTGAGTAAACTATGCTAATTAGTGCATACTAATGCCTGTGCGCTCAAGCTCGCTAAAAAGGAGTTGAAATGGAATCCATTCCACTAAATTGTGGCGACAATTTAAGGCCGCTAACAACGAAAAGGGGGTAGTTTGTTATTCAAAGTGTTGTGTGGCCTCACGACACTGCATGTGACTGTTTTTGGCCCATTCTCGCTACTCTCCACATTACCAAGCCACTAGATTCGCGAGACTTGCGTCACTAAGTGGATTCTATTGACAATGACTGGCATGCTAACAGGCCTAATGCAATAAGAATTCGTCAGGGATTGCTCGTTTGAACTTCGGGAACTTCACCGTATTTGTGATGAAGTGGCTTTCGGTCTGACAAGTTTCCACATTGCTTAGTCCCACTGGACAGAGAGTACAGGTTATTCTTGTGGTCAAAAAACAGCGGCTGACAACAACATGGCTTTTTAAGACTATTTGTCTCCTAAACTAAGAGCTGTATAAATTTGATAGGCAAAATCTATAAGATCAGTTCATTGATGTGAGACGTTATTTAGTCTATTTTAGAAGCCTTCTTGTAAAGGTCATTTGCTCGGTCGATGCCCTACAAGACTAATGCATTCTCAACTCCGCCAATAGGAAATTTGGTGTCACGAGTCATCCATGGAAAAAACCGAGTCTTGTGAATCCCTAAGCATACGTCCCATTTATATCCAAGTGCAATAAAGTTGTTGCGCTGACATCACCCCTTAGTACCACTATCATTCCCTAATGGGAGAGAAAAAATGGACCTAGACTAAGTATCAAACTTGCCAACGCCTGAGACATAATCTTTATGCATCTAATACATCAGCCAGCTTGACATTGATGTGCTGTCCGGCATAAAAATACAAGTCACAATTTAGGGTATGAGTAATACTTTTGTCAAGGATGGCCTTTGACAACCAAATATCAGCAATGAATAATTTAGTAGAAACAAAGTTCAGACTGAAGAAGAGAGTGTGTGTCTGCGGCTTTGCAGGTAGCAACTAGCCCGACAATCTAAACTACCTCAGGGCGCTACCCATACGTCGAGTGTGCTCCACCCGTGTGGTATGGAGCCTGAGCCCACTTGACGGCCCTATTAAAGTCACCCTGTGAGTCAATTGACGACTTGGTAGTTAATTGTACTACTTTCAGTTTTCGCTTAGGTCAAATCAGTCAAGAGGCTCTTTTTGAACACATCGGGGGATAGGTAGTTGAAAAAAGTGAGTTCAGTGTTAAAAAATAATAAAAAGTGTTACCTCAGATAGGCTTTCCGAATCGCTTCTTCAAAGTCGCTTTCAGCATTTTCAAGTTCTTCCCAAGCTTTGCCAATTGCGGCTATTTTGAGCTGTGGATCTGTCTGTGTGTAGGGCCTTGCACGGAGCTCCTTGGTGAGCAAGGAAATGCTGAATAAGACTTCCTGCAGTTCTATCCATTCTTCGTACCTGTAAAGTCCAAGTTGATGCTTAGTATCGCCACTCAATGCATGCATGATCTCCTATCAAGCCTCAAGATTTAGATCGATGTTGACACAAAATTTAGTATACCCAGACACTGATGAGGGTCACAGGAGTTACTGTTTATAATAGTGCATGCCTTTAACGGTCAAATTACTTTGAATTAGGTTTATTTAATCCACCACGTCAACCACCATATTCAAATGAGCTTGGTGGAGGATCTGTGCTAGAAATAAACGGAGTATGATACCACTGAAAAAGGGACCTAAGAAATGCCCTTGTCAAGCCGCAGTTAAGCGCCTATCGCCCGCAAGCACGCATGTATCAAACGCCAGTGGTTGCGCAATGCTAAATAAGCTGGGTGCCAAATTTCGTTACTTGTAGGAACATTTCAACCGTGGAAAAGTGATGCCTATCCTGCTAGAAACATGTCAAATGTCGCTCCTGAGGAGTGCATGGGTGGGTGATGCAAAGACGTTGGACAGCAATTCAAGTGACTCTCTCATGATTGAGTCAGAGAGCTGACGAAACTCAAATGGAGTTGCATAATCCTTTACTCTGCACTTTGTAGGCCAGAATGATGTCCCACTTTACCTTCCTGAGCCAATGCGTTACATGACTAGAATGAGATCAAGCAGTTGACGTTTAGATTGCGGTGACTACTGGTCTTCCCAATCATTGGCAGCAAACGTAATAGTTCAAAAGCTGCATTGAGATAGTCAGGGAATAACTTACTTCTGCGACTTTTCTGCACGTCTATACTGGGTGAAATTGAAAAGAGCCATTTTGACCTCATCGAGATTTACTGGTAGACTTTGAACTGATTTCCGGAAAAATGCGGTCTTGTCCCGAATCCACTGCAGCAAACTCCGGATGCCCACCTCATACCAGTTGATTTTACTTCTCAAATCAATTGCCTGATTAATTGTCTGCGTAAAAAGACAAATGTGGAATATTTAATGCGCGAACTCTTACAAACAAGCGGTTAGATAGTCGCAAAGACCAGGTGAAGAAGACAGACCCTGATCTATCGTTATACCAATTCTGTTTATGGGCTCCACTCACCGTGCCTACCTCGAGTACAAAGCTAGGCTACCTCCATATTCCCCCGAATTAAGGCATTCTGCATCATCAAATGAATTTAAAGATTACTTTGAGATGGCTTGCTTAATAGCCAAGAAAATGGTCCCGTATTGTCTCTCCAGAATCTCCAGAATCGGTGGATGGCGCTTTACACGTGAGCCTTGGGAGAATGGAATGTTTTACGAGTAAATGAAGACAAGAATAACATCCTCGTGTTTGGATTACAGATGTGCGAATAGTCAGAAGCTCCAGCTAACAAGTCAATGTGCCGCCTTCACATTTCAGTAATGCAGTCAGCCCAATGGCTTTAACTGTACAACTAGATTAGGAGAGCGTTAAATTTGAAAAGTTAATCCAACGAATAATCGCCTTTTCATTTTACTTCATTTGGCGATGATCAACAGGTTTGGGTGAGGTGTTCTCTATGCTGCTTATATTCTCCGTTTATCTCTAAATAGAGCTATGCGTGTGGTGTACTCCTGCTTTCCCTTTTTCTCCTCCTCCTTCTTCTGTTGCTTCACATTCGTCTTTTTCACATCCGGAGGCAATCAATCTTCTCAGGAGCATTTGGGTGTGCTAATATCTCCGTGTGTGCACGAGTGTATGTTGTGGCCTTTGAGTTACGGATGACAGCCGACAGCAACTTCTCTACATCGTGCTTGCATAAATAGGCCGAGGAAGAGAAGGCTATTCGAGAAAGTTGGATTAAGGTCCTATAAATTGTAAATGAAAATATTCTCACGGATCACAACTCTCTCCCCCGTTAATCAACCCCTACCAGCCCGGTGAGAATTTTTCACAGGGATACATTTAACTAGCCAACCACAGAATTGATTGTAATCACCACGAAGCCATATTTCAGGAAATGGGAGGTTATCGTGCTACTAAGGCACCGTCTATTGCAGGATCTGACTCTTACCTTTCCAACCCTATTGGCGTTTTTGTTTTTGTTTCGATGTTTGTTCAACATTTGGTACATCGAAGCCACGTAGGTCATGACGGATCTTTCATCCGGCTTGGGAACATTTACATCTGCGTAGATGAAAAAATATAAATTGAATGCATTTAAAAGATAAATGTATGAAACACATTTCCCAGTTCCCAGTTTATCACTTTAATGCCCTGACCGGGACTACAGATAATCAAGAGGCAACGCACTTGTGACGCATCAGAACTAAAATACAACTTGAACAACTATAGCGAATACAACACAAGTTGGCAAGGCTGTTAAGAGTGCAGAAATTCATGGTGTAGAGTGTGAGTGTTAAGGAGGTTTCCAAACTGACTTGAATCACTCCTCTACTTTCAATTGCGGGAGCTTGCGTGCGGCTAGCGATTGCACGCCTTGTGTGCAGAACTGTGTGCCCCACAAAACCTGAGAATGAGTTATTGTAATGGGAATAGAGGGTGGAAGAGATGAGGTAATCACGACGTCAATGTCGCCCTCATTTAATATGCACTTGGTGGAGGTCAGTATTCCTATATCTCTTGGTGTGAATGTGTGAACCACATTTTCGTAACTTAAAAGATGTTGGTGCGTCAGAGACTGCTGCGCTCTCAGACACACAAGTCATCCGCCGTTGGTGGACTCTGAGGAAACCGCCATTTGAGCGTTTGAATTTAATCTTTAGAAAAAACGGAGATCCTGAGATATTTTGTCAGGTTCAAACAAAAGAAGAGATGTGTATGTGAAAAAATAAATATCAGCTCCGACAATCAAGTTTCATATAGAAAGGCTAAAGTCCGTCTCCACCTTGTCTAAGACTGGTCCTTCAATGTCGAATTAAAGGTATTAATGAATATGCAAATCAGTCGGTAAGGTCAAACTGATTTATTTAAAGAATCACACTACAAAAGTTCTCAGGCTAGGTTCGTGCTTAAAGAGTGTGGAGTACTCATGTACTAGACACGCCAAATGGTGAAAGAAAATATGCGAAAATTGTGTGATGGCGATAGCAGAAGCCCTCTCCATGTATTGGAAGCAGAGACAATTAACTGCATCTGATACCAGTGTTTTCATGCTTCTAAATTGATGCGTTTTTCAGGATGTCTTACTAGTCAAGCTCTGCTGTCACCCCGAAAATAAAAAAAAATCAGCTTGTGAATGATCACGGCCCTTCAAATGATAGTCACCCAAGTAGCTTTTTTTTTCTTAAGTGGAGCTAGTAGGCCCAATTTGAACCACCAATGCCGGAGAAAATATCCACATTGCCCTAGTTTCTCTTGCACAGACGTTACAAGATTTTGAAATCCCAGAGAGCAAAGCAAAGGTATCGGAGTACAGCCCAGCGTGTGCTGCGAGTCTTTTATGCAGTTCACTCCAAAATCTTGTGGTATAGGTGTACAAATTCGTGAAATGGGATTCAGGATAGGCTTATGGACTAGCAAACACGAAAATTGATGATCCGTTGGCATAAAAAGGTGACTGGTTAATTGTCAAATTTTACAGTTAATTTCACTGTATTAATGAACTATGACCAATACCCAAAAATTAATGTAGTTCTACCCAGACTTATTGACCTTACAGCACCCTCAAGGAGGACTCTAGCGTCACACATCGCTCTGATGCAGTGTGTTAGACGTACCTTGAGGGTCAAGCATTTGCGGGACTTCGAAGCATTGCTCGGCTGTCTTGAATGCGATGGTGAGATTCTCCATGGGCTTATCAAGTCGCATCTTTGACATGTCGATCGCTTCAGGATCGTGACTGTGGAGAAGGGCTCCGAAGGCCAGTCCATCACGCCAGGAGGTTGTAAAATCTTTCACATCCACATTTGCATGGCCCCGAGTTTTGTTCTGACACCACAGCAATAGTGCTTCCTTTGCCGAACGCTGAGAGCCGTTTAGTTGTGGTTCCTTGAAGAGGTGTAAGGGTAGGGTATGTGTGTGTTTGTGTGTACCGTTGTCTGTGTTTCACTTCACCAGTCCGACCGCGGTGTCACAGCCAGAAGATGAGTTCGCGTGACCCAAAAAACTGACATTTTTTGAGGGATGCATGTGTGTTCTTACTTTTCGCTCCATGAGTGGATATGTGAAAAATTTTCCGAAATTCAAATGCATTAGGAGACAGTTGAGTCATGATTTGAAAGGCACGAAATTTTATCCAAATACAATCAGGCAGTTCTGTTTAATTACTACAATTCTAAGCGTAATAATTGTTTGGCACTGTTAATACAGCCAACGGAAATTATAACCACACTTTGCAAAGCAGAAACAGGCCTGTCCAAGCATATGATAAAAAATCACATATAAGCGAAACTATTTGTTGTACCTTATTAAAGTATAAAATCACTATAGTCCTGTAGAAACAAGCAACGCCATATGAAAAGTGATTAAAACGCAATATTAGTTCTAATCATTTAAATCAAGGAGTAAACTTGCAATTTGAAGCATGGCTTCTTCAATTTGGAAGCGCAAAATAATCGTCCATATTAAACCGAGAATGAGGGTAGGGTTGCCATCTACGATATCCTCCGCACCTATGTTTTCCAGATGCACCTGAAAAAGCATATTTGTATATAATTTCCTAGAATTTCAAAAGAAAAAGAATTGTTTGTAAATGCTATTAGAAAATGGAAATTAAGGGAATTGTTTTGCAAGTCAGGGCTAAAGAGTACAAGCCAGCATTGCATTAATAAGTATGAGTAGTTCTATATTGCAGAAATAAAAAATTACCTTTGTTTTAATAAACTCCAGGGCCCTACCAACATTTTCAATCTTCTGTACACGCAGAACACCCATGTTGGGTCTACCTAATTTAGCGTTAGAAATGACCTCGAGCAGTTTCATGAGGCGCTTTCCATCACTTAAATCAGTGTAGAGATTCGTCACTTCCATATTGCACTAAAATATGTCATGAAGTTCATAAATATATCGCGTACGGGCTTAAGATAAAAGTTGATCCACGTAGTGAAGGCCTTTTTTTGGACTCGAGCAGCACCAGCATGAAGGCGGTTGATAGTATTTTGTTCATATTGCACGGATTCAATACCATGCCTTAAAATATGAATAAAGTTTAAAATCACCTTAAAAAGATCTGTCAGGTCTATAAAGCTCAACCAGTCATTTAAATTACTATTAGGTAAATTAAATTTAAGCAATTTAAACCTTAAAAAACAGAGTTATAAGCACTATTTAGCCAAAAATGGCTCTATAGTGCGTTTTAATCACAATATCTTTCAGCAAGTCATTTTAGAACGTGCAAAAAATAGTTGCATTAAGCAGCGCAAAATCAGGCCAAACAATTTTTACTTTAAGCAGGCATGTTAAGGCAGATTCGGTAGAAACTTTACTTAGCAGAACTAGAAGACCAAGTGGTCCTCATGAGAGGCAAATCACGCACAAAACAAGAATAAAAACGCCGCGGTAACTGGTTTCATGAACTTTTTGTTAGAGCACACAATCACAGAATTGTTAAAAGTGATAATCAGTAACTGATGTTATTTTGTCCGATTCGACATAGACGGAGTTATAACTTGATACAATAATTCAAACCACAGGCGCCAAAAATGCGACGTAACCAGGTAAAAATATGCCAAAACTTCCTAAATTTACACTTTTTTTTGTTGAAATGATAGTAAAGTTATGGACTATATCAAATATCTAAACACCATTCACCCGATGCTGTCCAGGTAAGCTGATGTCGCCATTTTCAAAAAGTGTACGAGCAACCTTGAAAAATATACCCTTAGTCTTCAAAATTAAAACCAAATTTGTATGCACATTTAAAAACAAACCCCATGCGTCTGCGATTGGATTTAAACACTAATGTCAAATAAAAAGGTAGATAAAGGCTTATAATGTTTGCAAAGTCTTTAATTCTTAAATACCCGAAAAGTGGGATACGCCTTTAGTTAGAGTAGTGTTTTGGGTAAGCATTCCAGGTCCAATTATTACTTTTTTGTTTCCGTAATTTTATGATAAATTGGGCCTTTTAACAAAGACACCCTTCTTCCGGTAAAGCTGTTACCACGATGAGGCTGCATTCAACCACTACGATGCATTTCCGCCCTATAACGTGGGTTTCGGGCCATGCTAGTAGCCCTCCAGCCCTTCACAGTAATCAAATGCGCCATACTAAAGCCGCTAATGGCAACCCACTCCATTTTGGACGAATCCATACGACAGACTTCGGGAACGTGCGTCTAATGCTCCCCCCCTCTTCTCCCCCCCCCCCCCCATTTTCACGGCCCCCTATCGGCCATCTGCGCACGAACAACCTGTAATCCCGGCCACGCATTACTACCTTTAAACCATGCAGCGCCGGGAGCACCATTTCCAATCATTCGTCAATCAGAAACCCGACCTCGGTAAAAATGAAGCTGGATTAGGTATTGCTATCTATTAAGAAGACTGAGTGACGCAGACGCAAAACATGGGCCATGGATCCTGATTTAAGCACCCAGCCTCTCACCAAAAAATCTCAAATTTTTGTGATGTGAAGTCTACAAAAAATGATCTAGTGTTAGAATCGGCATTGATTCCATCTTCTCGTATAGGTACTCCACTTTCTTACCTGAGCTTCCCCAAGAAGTGTCACAATTTGAAAAATGTAAATTATTTCAAGAAGGATGACTCAAAGCAGGAAAAAATGATGTCTTGTCGAAACAACAAAATCTCAGGCCGGCGGTGATTGATTATCCCTCTGATGCTGGCAGCGTATGCATCAACAGTAAGGATGTTGCTAAACCTAACAACATCTATAAGAATTAAACATACCATAGGGAGCTTGAGTAACATTTATTTCACCGACCACGGGGAAAAGAGATAAATTTAAGGCTTCTTTGTTGGAAGTTGGCTCGAGGACTCCACCGAGATGCTGCTGGGGTCAAACGGCTGTCCTTTGAAGGGAGAACCGTCCTTGTTCCAGGCGTCTTTTAGTATATCTTGAATGCGCTGCAGAAATAGAAGGCAAAAACGCCCACCAAACGGGCTCATGTTTAACCTAGTTTGCATTATTTCTGGACTATAAGCAAGTACAAAAATGATAATTTAGAGAAGCAATAAAATCCCAAAAGTTTAGTTGAGAAACTTGAAAAAAGTAGAATGACAAAAAGTGTGGGACTTCAAGAGCAGTCGCAGCACATGATATCACATTAAGACTGAAAGACGGGAGAATGGACAGCATACGCGGTTCAAGCAAGAGTCGGGGAAAATAGAAGTGTTAACAAACTTCATATCATCTGAGCAAATATGCTTCAGAAAGTCGTTTAAACCTCACTTCTACTAAATTAATTTATTAGAGCAATCCGCTAGGTAGGAAGTGCCAAATGGATCCCACTAATAACACTGCTAAATGAACTGGGAACTCTCTGAATGGATTGCGGCCTTTACCATTCCACTTTTGTTCCCTAGCATGCGATTCACTAGAGATACCTCTTAAGGTGTAAAATGGGAATAGGCAGTAAAGTGGAGTTTTACATGCGTTGTCATAGCATCCTGTTTAGGTTTCTGGTGTCTCAGCTCCTCTATAGGCTAATAATAAAAGGACTTCTAGACTGCCATGCCTTACTAGTGCTACAGTGGTGAATATGATTGGGATATGTGTGCAATTCCTGCATTACAAACTGACCTGTTCCTCAGTAGTGGGAAGGCCGCGGCGCTTCTGCTCCTGATCGAAGATCAGTTGGGCGATTTTGCCCTGTGCCTCCTCGTCCAGCTCGTGGATAGGACGGGAACAATCGATCTCCTGCACGTTGATTTTCTCCTCTCCCACAAATGCCGCCTCCCACCAGTACTCATCCACCTTGTCCAACGACAATGTCAGCTAGGAGTGAACAAAAAAGAGTAAAAAAATGGCGAAATTACCAGTAGCTGCAGTTTCCTTACTCAGTTTTAGTATTGAAAAACCATAACAAGAAATTAGTTAGGTAATAGACTACAAAGGAGGCTGATTATCGATACGTTATGGGAATTTTATCTTAAAAATGCAATTTCAAATAACGATGAATGAGTAACAGGTTCATAAAGTTAAATTGGTTAGATGGTGAAGTCACATAGGATAATGAGCAAGTACTACGATATGAAGTCAAGCAAGCACCAACTTTTTGAAAAGTGCAAGGTGAATTTAACCATGAATTCTCTTCTCGAGAGTTCAGACACTTGGCGGTAATGGGGAAATAGTACTGGCACCAGCTTTTACCGTACGCTCATCAGAGAAAGGATAGGAGTGCAGGACAAGTGAGAGGAAATCTCGGCAAAATGCGTCCCAAGAAAAAAGGGTTCGCAGATGAATTGCATTACATCAGGTTTTCTCAATTAGAGTGGACTGGATGGAACCAGAGTAATAGCATTTATAGCAAATATTCAACTGAGCGATTAGAAGAATAAAAGCTATATGCATGCATCACTTAGTACCAAAAAAACCACTTAATTTTTTAAAAGTTGGAAATTTGTCGGTAGAACCAGACCAACAGCATCTTTTGGCTCTCGCTTTGTCAAATAGTGGTTCTTCAGCAATGCTTAAAAAAGTAGAAATAAGGGACACCTATTCTCTAAATAACAATTTAGCACAACTGAAAAGTTAATGGCATTTCTGAAGCAGATAGTACTCTTATATTAAGTGATAAAAATGAGAGCAGGTGAGTCAAAATTTCGAAACAACCCTGCTCAGGCAAACTAACTAAATGACTTTGATGTACTAAGCACAGATACTTTTTTGTATGAGAATAACCAACCAACCAAGTGTTCATCAACTTCAAAAGACCACTGCGCCGATTCGGTTTTGATTTCTTTGAAGAGGTCAAGATCGAGTATAGGTTCTGTGGAACCCTTCTCCGCAATTAAAATGTGCTTGCGATTGATTTTGACATTGAGCTGGCGAGCAGTTTTAATCCTTTCTGGTATCTTAAAAAAATGAGGAACTAAAGGATTGACTAAAGTACTTTCACATGGATATCTATTTCGAGAATTTTTTGACTCCATGAGTACAAATCACGTCGAGCACCATTATAGCAGTCAGGGTCAGCTTCGTAAATTCTTTCGCCGTTTTCGTCTTTTTTGAAGTAAGAACCAGAACCAGATTTCTCCGTTTTAACTTCAGATTTTGAGGCCTTATCGTTTAGGTCGGCCTTAGAAGTCGGCCTAGAATCCGATGAAATTGTCTGCCGTTCTGTATTCTCCAAACTAGAAGTAGGTTCTTGAGTAATTTGCAATAAAAATGACAAAATGACCACCTTACCATTTGCAGCGGCTTCTTGAACCGATGATTCCTGCTTTGTTTGCTCCTCCTGGTATCTCCTAAAGATTGTATCGTATTTGTCAAAAGCCTAAAAAATAAAGGAGTTATTGAAACTACCTTAAGCACCATTTTCAAAGCGTATCCGGGGGGAAAGCCTAAATTTTTCCCGGGCTTATGCTCATAAAAGAAATCAGTCCTAAAGTGTCAGTAGGATTTCGTCACACCTTCGCATTAGGAATCCAAACATGACCTCAAGATACTTTTCCAGACTGCCCTCATTTTGAAGAATTCCAATCAGAGCACTATCATACCGTGGATCCATCACTCGATGGCATTTACTACCGGTAACTACAGTGAAGTATTGGGCTAGTGGCCGTAGGACCTGACAGATGTAATGGAATATCACATGTGGGTATCTACTGTTTAGTTTCCGAATCAATGGAAAATAAACTAGTCGCATTCACTGTTGTTTTCTTAAAAAGGGTCCCATGCATTATGCTTACATATGTTAAAGACTTAAAAGTAAAGTCTACCAAAGAAGCCTGTCCATTAAGATAAAAGCACGTGACACAAAAAGAATTGTTGGGCTCCAAAACAAAGTAACAACAGTAGAAATATTATTTTTATTTGCGTTTATAACAAACCAGCCTAAAGTAACAAAAATTTTTCCTTTTTTGCATTTTACCTTTTTACGTGCTGCTTAATCCGCATTTAAGGTCTCTTTGGTAGCAGTTATGTAGACCTATGTAAATATAGAGCCACTATTAAGCATTCCTTGTATATATGATCAAAGCACTCCAAATATAGGTTATTTATTATATTCGCAGTCTTCTTACATTTGGTACGTTTAAAAAAGTAAACAGCAAAGCTCTTGCGAATTTTACCTATCGTTCTAATTTTTAGCGGTGTGTATCCTGTGTGTCCTGATTTTTACACATTAAAGGAAATGTTACATTACCAATACTGACCTTTAGTTATAGCGCGACCAAACAAAAGCGGCAATTCGGATGCTCTTTTTCCTACTCTGTTTTGTTTACAGTTTGTCATGACGGGGAGTAATTCCGGATCAGATGATAGCAATGAGTCACGAAAACGCCATTCTGACGATCACTTTGAATCAGGGTGTAGCTCAAAACGACCAAACTGCGGAGGTGCTGTGATAATTTTTTCTGTGAATTCACGAATGGCTGTAATCTTATAGTCTCAATTAGCCCTGTAGCGTTAGCTTTTTAGTTGGAATTGTTTTGGTTTTATGATGTTGTAAATAATAGCATTTTTGTGGCCCGTGTAGCTTAGTTTTGTTCTAGCCTTGCTTTGATCTATTTGTAATTATGAGTTAAACAGGATAATGTATGACGTTTGCGCTCTCTTTGTGCGCATTTATTTTTTTTACCTATATAAGGTTGTTTTAAGTGTATGGTTAAGTATACAATTCACTTGTTTTAGGTGTTGTTTATTTTACATATGGTGGTGTATACACATTTTTCACTTATCGTCAGTATTTGTATTTTTTGTATTTTTTTGTTTAAAGACTTGATTTTTGCGTTTATTATTGCTTTCTTTACTTTAGCATCAGCAGTTCACCTAAAGGTGCTGATTCCCTCGATTGCTGCCGGTGCTGTCATAGGAAAAGACGGGGAAGCAATTGAGCGAATACAAAAAGAAAGTGGAGCCAAGGTGAAAATATCTAAACGGAATGATTTCTACCCAGGTAAAGATTTTTCGTATATTTTTCGATTTCCATCGACAGTGTTTTTCAGTTTGACTTTTCCAAATACTTGCATCTTGATCTAGTAGTGTGTCCAGTGTTTCCTTTAAGACTTCTTTTATTTCGAGAATTGTATACCACGAAATCATAGTTCAGTTAAATTTAATTAAGACGTCTATTCTACGGCTGTTTTTTTTTTAAATTTATATTGCTTTATCTATAAAATTTAGTGTTCTATCCCAAATGACGTATATAAAGATACACACGTCAATCATTGCATTTAAAGGTAGTTAACCAAAGGAAGCGCAGCTAAACTGCGTTGCTCACATATATTTTATGTAGATTTTAGATGCTTTTTGGTCTATTTTCCACTAAATGGCTTTCACAATAGACCCTCACTTCCGAGGAAATACATATACCACCAGCCCACCTGATTCACTCTACCGGGCATTCCTTATGTCAAATTTATTCAGCATTCAGTTTTGTGAATCCCTGTTCTTCCAACCATGCGGCCGCAACTAACCCTGCTTCAGGACAGTTCCATTAGCGTTCATTTCTAGCTGCCCATCTCACCATTGACTAAGATATATATTCGCCTACATCGATAGCGAAATAAGCATGGTTTTGGTTTTGATCTATGGTGCAAAAGTCTGTTCACCTAATTACTAGCAAAACCATTTCTTAATGCCAATCAAAGTTTGTCAAACAATTAAAGGACCATTTTGGTACAGTTTGGTCTCCGTGCCTATAATGGTCTCCTCTCTCATATTTAGATCTTCCTAAACTTTTATTGTTCCGCGCAGCTTAATGAAGTTCACACGAGGATATTAAATTATAATTAAATTCAATTCTGCACACTTTTAGGCTATTTTCTCTGATTTCTTTACCCCTACACTTGTTCTGCGCATCTTAACCGAAACAGCGTACCCCGCAACCCTTGCGTTTACAATGGACCCTTGACCGCTGCATCATTCCCTATTTTTAATATCCGAGTTTGTTTGCACGTTAATCTGTTTTGTCTTCTTGTGACTGTTTTTGTATGTCCGTTACCTTAAATTTTTCTCGACCTAAGTCATAGGACTCCCGTTGACACCTTTAAGTAGAGAGGGTGGTGGCACAGGGATCTTGATACACCAATTCTCTGAAACTGCGCATTCCTTTCTCGCATTTATGAATGCTGTCAATGCTTGATATCCTATTATTGTAAATACTTTAAATGCCCACTTTTCTGTAAAAAGTATTTTTAGCTCTTTATTTAGACCCAATTTTCAATCGGATTCCAATACTGACTCAAGTAGTTTTGCTTTGCCCCATTCTTCGTTAGGAAATCTGCAGGCGCAGTTTTTTTCTTTTTTCGTAAAGGTATCCCCTCTTATTCCTAATTCCCAATCATGGTTGACTTCCTACGAGTGTTGCTGAGCACGTGGATTTTGGTCTCCGTTTGGAGCTTATTCATTTTCCATTGAAATTATTTTCTCCGACTGTGTTTTCCCACACGTCCTTCGTGTCTAGTTTTGAAAGACTGGGTGGAGATTATTTAGACAATCCTGTTTTGCTGTATTTGGTAATATCCTGATAGTACGTTCCCGTTAAGACCCAGAAGAGCTGCTTCAGTTCCCAATCAGGCTGTAATGCTAGTCACTTATCCCACTTCAATATTTCAAGTGGTTACGTTAAGTCCTTCTTTCTTATGATGTTTCGTTGGGAAAAGCATCTCAATTTATCCTGTTCACCTTGGTTATCAAAAACTTTCTGATTAAATGCATTGTTCCAGAAAATGAATTACAAGCTGTGCATTCACCGTATTTTCATTTTACCCATTCTCAATTCAATTATTAATGATAACCTTCTAGCGGTTTTCTACATTCCGCTTCCGCTACCGATGCGTAAACAATAGCCTCTTCTTTCGTTTCTGCATTTGCATCTGAGGACGAAAAGGAGGGAAATTAGGCTGAGTGCCTCATAATATTTGACCTCCATCTTTTCTCTCTCTTTATCGTCATTTCACACAACTGTTCTTATTGCCGAATTCAGTGCGCAGAGGCAAAAGTGGTGGGTTAATGGCAGGAAAAGGACACGTCTCTTTCTCTCTCGCCTTGCATTTCTCGTGTAAATGTCTTGCCTGTCAGAAAGACCAACTATCGGCTTAGCAAATCCATTTTAGGAATGCAAAATCGCCCGTTACGAGGAACAAGATCGCCCCAAACCTTGTGTAAGGACCCACTTTCCTACACCTAAGCAGTCAAGCCTGCTGGTGTGAAGGAGGTGCTGCTTTTCCCTGCTGTAGCTGTGATGCAGTTAGGCAAATGTCCGCATTGCGGGTCGACATCAGGCATTTTAAGTGCGAATTTGTTCTAATTTGGGAACTTTAAATGCTTAGCACCCTCAGATTCATCCCACCCGCTCTTCCCAAAAAAATCATCCCACTTTTACTTTTGCCATAGCCGTGGGCTAGTTCGGATGAACAAGCTTGCGCTTGATTACGGACTATGACTATGGGACGTTCCCTGGACTTCGCGATTTCCTTATTTGGTATCCCAACACTTTTGGGTCCCGATCAGTTCCTCTAGTATAGGATCTTTCTTTGAATCCTGTCTAGCTTTGTAGGAATTACTTTATATTGGATGAAATACATATGTGCACTCAATTACATTCATCACTGGCGTCACATGTATGGGACATGTGTTCTTTGTCAGTTTAGTCTGCTAAGTTATACTAGATCTTATTGCAGACATATTCACAAAGTTTAAAACATTGTGTCACGTTTGAAATCTTGTCTAGCTGTTACTTACATGTCTTTAGTTTTTGGGCAATATATTTTGAATCAGCATCAATATTTGGGATACATTAACTGATTTTCCACTGAATTCCTAGTTGTTATGAAATTTACGTTTCGAATACTAGCTAGCAAAATCTGATTCTCTGTAAGTCCTGAGTGTGAGATGGTATACTCTCCTCTCGGTTACTGCTGAAATCTTTCTGACAGGCTACATTCGTTGAAATGGTGATTCACATCTAGCCTATTGTTCTCACTAAATTCACTAATTCGAACGTATTGAGAGAGGGAAGGCTAGCCGTTACATCCTCCATTTGCACTTGGGGTGTATCATTTTAACGCCTCGGCAACCTTCCATTGTTCTCCAGAAGACTGTAGGCTTAGTCATTGAAGTGGCCCAGGAAATACTTCAGCAATTACCTATTATTTTTGCACATTTGCAATGGGTCATGAGCAGGGTTTTGATGGTTTTTTGGGAAGTAGAGCTAAACGCAATTTTATAAGCATTTAGCGCAAAATGGGCGGTCAAAACCCAACTTATGTGAGCAGAATGACGTCAAGAGGCGGATATTTAGACACTTGTTTACATTGAGAAGCGGTTTTGGTAAAGTATTTTTAGTCTGCTGTAGAATAAGTTTATTTATAAACCGGATCGCAGAAATTTACTTAACCAACAACCAAGAGGGAACTTTTAAGGCTCCAGTAAATTTGTTGTTTATACGGTAGAATACTTTATGTGATTTGGTTGTGAGTTTCCTAGTGAATTGGTCCTGACTCTTGTAGAGCTTAAATGATACACTCATTTCTCTCACAGCTGGAGGGGAAAGTATCACCCTTAACTCACAAAGTGGAATTACTGCACTTAGCTTATACTCAATTCAGAGGTATATTTTATTTGGGGTTCATAAACGGGGAAAGTAGTGAGGAGCAGTAGGATTTTTATCGCCTCTCCACAATTGGCCCATTGCAACGTCATTTGATTGCACCTGTGACTCTTAGAAACTTCGATTTCTCGTTTAAACTTTCATGTGAAAATTTCAAACTGTATGTGTGGGTGGGTGTGCACGTATGTGATGAACAAAAACGGAGATTTTTGTCATTTAATCCTTTAAAAAGTCACACATGCACACGCTTCCCTTGCTTTTCGTGTGTGCGTAGGGATGGATGCCTTCTTTGTTTACACAATTCCATCAATAAACTGGCAGCAGTGATTGACAGGGGGTGAGGAAATCAGCAAAGTGGATTTACGTTTGCCCTGAGGAAGCATGAACACGATGTGCTGCGGTGTCAGCCTCCTGCTTTATCCCCTGTTTCGATCGTCTCGGTAGGGGTACCGAAACACGGACAGGAAACCGAAATCAACAGGCTTGTTTATCTCTATGTCTGGTAGTTTCTGAACCACTCTTTCTCGATGCTTGTAATGTCATTTCATCCACTCCTACACCCGATTAAACGTCAAGTTGACAATAAGGGCAAGAAGACTTTTTAACTGTTCTGAATGGCCTTTTATAGAAATAGATTCTCCTAGAGTGCTTTATCTTTGCCATTACTGCATCCCAGCACGGTGGAATTTGTACCGATCGAATCCACTGCTGTTCACACCTTTAAGTTCCAACCTATTCATCAGCTGTTTCATGAGAAATATAATGGCATTGTCTGTTTACCAGCTAGAGGGTACATATACCTATCAACGGCCGACCTCTGCTGCCAATCTGCAAATGACAGTTGCCAGGTTGGTGTTGAATCCCGCAGATGAATATTGTCAGATCTGTGTGTTCCCATCGTATCTAAAACTCACAGTCATTTCCTAACCACAACTTGAAGTAGATCTCTAGGATTCCAGTGCTTTCTTAAATGAATATCGCTTCTGTCGTTCGTATTGTTACATTCAAAATTGTGGCAGGTGTTAAGTGCTTTATTTGAAGCGGTGACCGTGTAAGTGCACAGGCTGTCTCTGGTGCTTTCCTCTATAATGATCCCATGCTAATGGTTTCGTTGGCGGGTCTTGGCGAAAATACGCATCTTCTATCACCTTGTCGTAGCAAACATGTGTCAAACGCCTTTGACGTCGTCTGCTGCGAAATTTGAAGCAATTATGCCTGTTTTAAACAAGTGGTTTTCACCAGTATTTCCTGCAATTTTAATTTCTGCGGATTGGTTTAGACAAGTCAATGAAACATTGCGCATTGTTTTGCATTCCATTCCTTATTTTAGTTGATACAGCTAATAGATCACGACTTAAAATTTAATAGACGCTTACGTAACTTATTGGAATGACACTGCAATCCTGGGGTGGAGACCTTTGTTCCTTTGTTAAATTATGAGTAGTTTCCCACAAACTATGTCGTATATTTATAAAAAGGATTCTTCTACTATGGTAAACAGATCATAACCAAAAATGAGGTTCAGCATCCCCATTACAAGTGCCTTTAATTCGTTTGCTACTGGCGTCATGTATGCGTGACACGGGTTTTTTATTGTCCACAAGGACTGGTTGCTCCACTTTTGATTGCATGACAATAGACCAGATGTGGGATGTGCTCAGAATGATTACACTTTTGTGGTTTGAGCAGCCTAACTTTAGGTATAACTTGTCTTCTGCAGGTTGTGTTGATCGTGTGTTCTTTGAAACTCCGGTAGCGAAAAATCCTTGGAATAGTGCATTTCTGTTTTCTCTGCCGTAAAAATTCCACCCAATCGGTGAAATGTTAAGTACGAATGTCCGCACAATGCACACAGTGAGTGTCATTGTCCACTTAGGCCCCCATTCTAACAGGACTCGAGGAGAGCGGTTCGTCTTGATATCTCACCTGAAATGCGTGCCCCGTCATGGACTTCTGCAAATGCTAATTAATTCCATTCATGCATTTACACAATAGCCTGAAAAAAATGCGCACTTAAATGTGGCAGCTAGGCAGTTGTTGTCACGTCATACTCTTTTTTGCTTTCAAATGTATTTGTTTATTCTCTCGTTGGGCTGCTTCGGCATTAAAATATCATTTCATCAGGCGGGCTCTTTAGGGTCGGTTGATAGAGCTGATTAATGGGAACTGCTGGATTATTGGAAAGGCTGTATCGTTAACGAGATTTGCTTCATTAGATAGCAACGCCGTTGGATTCGGTCGTCCCGAGTGGTTTTTTACTTCTTCAGCCAGTATTGCGGAAGTAAATCATCTTCTCTCGATCCTTTGAACGGAACTGTCGGGTGCTTCTAAATGGACGATGACATTCCAAGAACATCTAACTTTTAGCAGGTATTGGATTATAACCGCAAAGTATCGTTTAATCACGATGAGGAAAGTTGTAGAAACACCGGTTGTTGATTCGGGTGCCAATTTTTATTGTCTAAAAAGTTGTGGGTCCATCCGAATGTCTACACTTTGTTACATGGGAATTAACCCTCTCTCATGCTAATCTAGAATCAGATTAACCTCTCATTTCTGCATTAAACTTGCACACATCTCACAAATAGTCTTATCAGCGTCCAAGACTTGTCTTTTTTATATGTACCTCCTACGTGGAGTCACGTTAATGCAAGTGTTAAAAGTTCTGCTGGTGACTAACGTGAGTCAATCCAAGATGGTCCTAGTAAAGCGTTCAGTTGTGAAAATGACATGGACAGGAGAGGGGCCTTACGCACAAACATGTTGTTTCGGTTTTTTGGACATTGAGTGTGGATTAGCCTCGCCCTCCACCTCCGTCTTCCCCCATCCACCATTCGTCATCGCGTAGAATGCAGAGATGTTTAACTCCTAGGAGGTAGGAGTTGACATTCTTGTCCCTTGGCCTGATGACGAATCTCACTCCCTATTCTCACCAAGAAAAAAACAGTTTGTAAAGCCTAATGAAGGACCGAGTAGTGTCCTGTTTTTCTGGTTATATTGGAAACCGCCTGGCTTCCGACTAACCGTCGAGTAAGCACCGTTTTGGCCGCTAGTAAATCCCATTATATGAGGTGAGCCAGCAAACTAAACAACGGCACTAAGCATCCCGACGATGCGAATATTTTCCTAAACACAATGACGTCAGATTTGGTGTTCATTTTCTCTACAGGCAGAACTCCCTGCACAAATTTGGAACACAAATGGGAATTTTCCTGAGTATTTCACTGATTTACTAATCACTCGGTTAGATACTCAGTTATCGGGAAATTCCTCATTGTTTGCCTTCTTAATCATGAACCGTTACGTCCAAGAATAGAGTTTGCTAAGTCAATGTCGCGTTGTTACATATCTGTTTAAATTCACACGCACGAAAAGGGCGATTTGCGAGTGTTGAAACCGGTTTTGAGTAGTGACGAACACGCCTTCACAACCGACAATACCGAGCATGCGCACTTACCTCTCCCTCCAGAACGCCAATTAGACGGTTGGTGCCGCGAGGGAGCAATTCTAAACTGCTGGGAATCATCCTAGGTGCCAGCATGCACCTAGGATGATTCCACAATGCGTGTGGTCTCATCCTACTCGGGACATGGTTACACGAGATCATTCCCATACATGAATGGGGGCAATTCTCCCCACGTTTCTGGTATGAAGAAAGGACTTGTACCGCGGAGACCGAGAAGGATTTGGGGGCGAGAGAGGAGAGGGGAGAAACTTGCGTTGCTGCAGCCGCCAACATGACCTTGAAGCAGCCAAGGTCGTGTGTGCGTGGGTATGCGCATGCGTTAAATCGGTGGCATACACACACGCACCCTTTCGTGCAGCTCCTCTACCGTCCGAATGCCCGTGTAATTAGTTTTTTTTTCTCGCTCCGCGTCCCGCGTGCGTGTGCTGGATGTTGTTTTTTTTCCAACTGCGCTCGCGTTTACTACTGGTCGATGAGAGATACAACGAGAGAGAGACGGGCGGGGGAGCGGGAGCGGAGGGTTATCGTGACGCCTTTGCGTTTCCGTATGCCATCCGCACTGCGCGAACGGACGCGCTCTCGCTAGCGCGTACGCGCTGTGAAACGCTTGTGCCTTTTTTTCTTGCTCCCTAGCTCTCTCCCCGTCATCCTGTCCGCTTGCTCGCCCGCTGTCTCCCTCTCCCTTACCCCGTCAGCCGCGCTACCTCTACCGCCGTTTCTGTTGATACTGCCTATGCTTAAAACCTTTTTGTCAACCAAATTGCCCGCAGTGTTTCTGCTTCATCTGAGTTCAGATGCATCTGCTGATATAACTAGCGTTTGCGTCTCTTCCAAACGCAACCCAATCTCTTTGGTCGTACTTTTCTCTTATGAGCTATGTTAGCTATATCTCCTTCCTAGCAATGTCGGCTGAGCTGAGGCGTTTGCTCACAACCCTGTAGTGTATGTGTGCTTTACTTCAAAAATAAAATGGTCTTGTCTGTTTTTCATTCCGCGTCGCAGGTCATAATTGAAATACACCCCAGATCTGTCTGCTGAGTTCACTTGTCTTACTGATGTACCCACGACATTTGCACCTCGTCCTCCAATGCAGTAAAGCTTCATTAGCTAAATATTTGTGTAATAATTTCCTAGGAAACTGGCTTTAAGTGGAGTGTCGAGTGAAGCCACCCTAGGAAGTGTTCATTGCGTTTATTTCAAACTGCGCAGTCGTCCCTGGTGGAGTTAAGTCTCAGTCTACTACCAATTGTGAGCCCGTCTAACAAGTTCTTGTGCTTTTGCCTCCAAAAACACCGCAATCTCTATGTTTTCTAGTTGTACTAAATCACCGCTTCAGTGTAGATTATGATCCTCTCCATCAAATGCCTATCGAGTACTATGTTGATTAATACCTTGAGTTTTATGGGAGAAAAATGTGATAATTTGCGACTTATGTTGCTAACTTTGATTAATAGCCGGTAGTTGGCAATGCCGACGTGGTAATTTTACGAAATACCAAACTTAGGGCTACTCTACACTTTTTAGAGGACTTCTGCAGTGAATGTACTTTTAATGCGCCAGTGCTCTCAATTAAATAACGTCCCTTATCAGAGGGCTAAGTTTCATCCTGTTTATATATTTGAAGGGGGCTTTATTTCTGCAAGCTTAGACAATCAAGTCTTCTGTATGCCTAAATTCGAACTAAGTATTCTTTGTTGATTCCATGTATTCAACAATTGATAAAGGGAGCTTGAAAAAAAAACGAATTTTCTCGATCAACTCACGAATCTTAGTGTATCTTCATTGTAGATGCGAAAGATTATTAATTGCCGTGATGATTAAAATCTTCCACCAAAGATGCGCAAAACTCGGAAATAATGTCAGAGTTGTTTACTTAAGAACCGTTCACATTCGTAAGGATGAAATATGCTGTGCTTTCTAGTTTAGTCGTTGAAAGGATCTACTTTTGCTTAAGATTAAGAAATACATTTTTCTATTCCATATTTTGGGTGAAATTTTCTGGCCGGAGGAGAATATGAGATGTGTCCTGGTCTTCGATTGGCTCGTCAAGGCCATTAGGTCTGGAGTTCGTGTTCTAGATTTCGGATACTGCCCATCCTCTTCACATAACCAGCATTGAGCTATCTCCCTACAGCAGGGGCAGTTTTCTTGTCTCTTGTTGTTTACGTATTTAGTATCAACTGCTGCTGATTCACCTCGCCCTGAGTATATTTTTCCGCATAAGTGTTGGCAAGGTAGGAGAAGATATACCTATGTGCTTTCAAGGTTGCTTATGATTATGTAACCACAGGCCGCGAAGATGTAATTAAGATTTAAGTAGATTACGGTAGACATCAAATTCAAGCTTGGCATCTTCGACATGATTGTCGATAGAGGGCAAAACGCTGTAGCAGCGACTCTTGAAGTTGGTACGCGATCCAAAGCCTACCGGTAGGGGTATCTGTCACATTGTTGTTTTCTTTTGGAGCCATTTCCTCAATATATAATTTGACATCGATGCTAGATATGTAAAATACGAATATCTTAATCTTAATTTTCTTGAATTGCAGTTATCGTCTCTGTCGCGTCCTTATCGAACGCGAGGTAAAGACGCCATCTCTTGACATGACTTCGCCTGTTCCCCCCATCACTGTCTATGTGGCTTTGGTTGTGAATGTGGTGAGATCTGTTGCACCATAGCACAAACTTCATTCAGTCTTCATTACGTCCTCATCTCATTTTCCCTCCAGTCTAGCGCGGCAACTTGCTAGCTTCATACCCACCTTATTCTTTGTCTCCGTCTGTAGGGTCCAAGATAGACAAACCTTCTCGATTCCACGTCGCAGCTGTACAGCAGCAAAAATAACTTTGATGGAGGCACGAAATGTGAATAGCTCCACTTAAATTGTCTGTTCGATGTTTTCACCGAATCATAAATGTATCCAAGTAGCTAACATTGTCTATCATGGTTTTATATCGTAAACTGCAAAATGGCTTTTATGTTTTTTTGTGATTTGATGCTGCTCTAACAAAGGGTAATTAGTTCTGCCCCTGCTTTCGAATGAATCCTGCGGATGGATTGGATACTACAACTGAGGAAACATGAGTTTACTTAATACAGTCCATTAATTTGGGAAAAATTTGCTCTGTTGGTTTTAAAAACCCTCAGATAACGTTTGCGATGTATTTACAATAAAATGCAGCCGTAATTGACATGAAACCACAAATGAGAATCCCAAGTGCTAACTGTTTTAAAGGGCTAGGTGTAGTTGTTAGGAAATCTACGGGATACCGAGGACTCTGACGATGAATTTCCTTCATTTTACCACTCCAAATTAAATGAAGAAATGGACTTAGAGAGTAGAAAAAATCATTCGTCGTTCAAGCCTTACTCTTTCGGCTTAATCTTACAGGAAATTAGTTACTTTTCAATCGTTTTGAAGCAGTTAAGTCATAAATTCCCTCTACTCTCAGGGCTGAATTGTATACTAAAGATAAAACGTCCAACTAATTTCTTTTGCCAAAAACTTTGACAAATAAATAATTGTTGGGCTGAAGGCTTATCAGGCAGATGTTATGTGAATTATTTACCTACCCCCTTTGTGGGGAATGTGCTTAAGAATTACAGACCGATCATTACCCTCCTATACCTGTCTCAGTGAGTTCGCTACTGTCTCTCCTTGCTTGTCCATTCCTCCCTGTCTGTCGCGTTATCTGTGTCTTGCTGACTCCTTCACGTTCTTCTTATCATATCTTAAGCATTTTTCACGGCCATATATCATTAAGCATCTACGATGTCGCCTCTATGCTATTGCCTTCTTAACCTCAGCTGCAACTGTCTAATCCTTAGTTTTTTTTCTCTCCTGATCTCCCTCTAGGCACTTTGGAGCGTGTGTGCTTGATTGTTGGAACCCTAGAAGCGGTGACCTCCACTCACACCTTCGTGATGGAAAGGATCTACGAGAAACCTGATACTACCATTCAATCCACTGATAGTCGGGTGGTTCTGGAAAGACATAAGCAGGTTAGATGACTATCCTGCAGCGTTTGATGCCGTCTTTAGTGACTGGATAAGAAAATGGGCCATTATTAGCATACAAAATTGCTGGAAAGATAAACCACTAAAAATTGCCATGTCCACATGATGGTAGATGGATTTTTGACAATTCTTTGGCATCCAGTAAAGTTAACAAGGTTAACTTCAAACTGTTGCTAAGAGTTTCTTGGGGAAAAAATTTTGACACTTCATCTGCGCAGAGGATAGCTGCCATTGGTGATGATGAACTTCCTGCTACTTTTGCCTCTTTGTTTTTACTTAGGAATGTGTTTTCTGCACTGGGTGGATAGTTTGCCCGAATAAAACCTGATCCATTTGGAGAGCCATTCAGTGCATTACTTTAGCTTTATCTTAAAGTCTCTAAGACGTAGTCAAGCATATTTTTAAAGGTAAATTCTGCCTAAAAAGGGTCCATTGCTTCTATTTGACGTTAATTTAACAAATGAAGGTAAATTGAGTGAAATCTTAAGCTTTTTGTGCTGACGTCTACTTTTAATCCTTCTCTCCTTGTGTGGACCAAGGTACAAGCACTGAGGAGCCTAGAGATTTGCAGGAGAGCCAATGCTATGTTTTTTAACAATACTTTAGGCTAAAAGTTGAGTTCTAATCTGTTTAGAAGCAAAATGTTCTAATTTATCCCCGTCGGGGCCTTTGGGGGCTAAATCTCTCTTGAGTTGAGTTACAATTTATTTGAGGTAGTTTTTATTTACCTATTTGAAGACGATATTTACATGAAGATAGGAAGTTGCGCAGCCTCCCGAGCCCTTCTTGAAAACGAGAGGCGGAATATTTATTACTGACGTACAGTAGGGCTGGGGAGCTACTAGCATTCCGCCTAGTGGAGGCATAAGGAGGGAACCTTAATTGTCCGTGCAAACAAAACGAAGAGAAACAAGTCGTCGAAGTATTGCATAGAACTCTTCCCTTTCGGGCGTCGTCCTTGGCAGCCTCGTTGGTCAACCCTCCGCGTCCGCTATCAAGGGGTCATAGGTGCTGTAAGGAAAGCACCCATTAACCAATGGCACTAGTCGTCTATTTTGTGCGTGACTGAGACGATGCTTGGATCCAACGTCACTGATCCCTTGTGACAATTTCACTGGATCTAAAGTTTCGTTTTGCTTGGGAACTGTATTGAGGGATGGGCAAATATGCAAACCATCACGTATGTTCATCGCTAGTCAAGAACATTGGGCTAAAAGCGGTTATTTAATAAAGGATAGGGTCGAGTATAATTCCTTGAGAATAGCTTTTCTCGTCAGTACTGCCCAGACGTATCCATATGGATTCTATCCAGCTAATAGAGAGGTGGGGAAGTATTGCAGATTTGATTCTGTGACATCTTTGATGGTATCGCACTAATTGTTAATAGTTTTTCTGTAGATAATGGGAACGGGGGTAATTGGCAAAGGTCGACATCATTTTCACTCTACTGTTGGGAGTCTTTATAGATCCTCGCATCAGCGGTAGATGCTCTTCTTCCGTCACGTTAAGATTTAGCGTTCGTTAGTAGAGACCAGGGTGGTTGTCATTTGACATTTGGTTCGCTTTTCGCTGCCATTAATGTAGCGCTTCGAGTCTTCCCTGGAGATAAAAAAGACGCATTCGTAGAGCAAAATACGTATTACCAACGCACAGTACTGGCTTGGCTTGGAGGCCATACCGCCCAGCGGAGGCACTATAGTGGAGCCTTATATGTCTGCGAAACCGAACCAAAGCAGTACAACTGCAAATATTTGAATTTTTTATAGACCCCATTAATTGGAGGCTATGATGGAAGACATCGTAAGCTGAAATGTCATCCGGGAGCATTCGTCATGTTTGCAGAAGAGTTGTCGAAGTTGGACACGTAGTTCTAGCCTGTCCTCGTTGATATAGATTAGCTTGGCCTAGCTGTTGAAGTAAACAATGGAGGTATTTATGCGTTTGCTGCAAATCCAAAATGTCACGCTGTTCCGTTGGAATAAAACCCTAAAAATGATGTGCGCTAATGTCTTGTCACGAACGGGTTCCATGTGATTCTATGGCACCCGTTCGGGACATTAGAGCATGTTCTACTCGTCAAAAGGGTTTAGCAAAGGTACATCAAAAACGTGATGCTTGAAATCAAAAAAAACACTGTTAGGATATGAGCAGACGGATTTGAACTACATGTTGGCTTTTCTCGGTTGCTGCATTCCTGTACATCACCTTGGGGTACGTCCACCGACTTGAATTGCCACGTCGACTCCACTCTCCTACTTCTTGTCTGCTTCCCAAACTATGTACACCTTTATTAAAAACAGTTGGACGACCTCTTCCTCCACTAAAGAGCAGCTTTTGAATGCAAAAGTTTGTACTATTACAGAGTCATACCAACCGATGATGTATTTATTTGAAACGGGTTTTGAATGCAGGTTTAATTCGTGTGTGGATACCGTAGCTATTTGCATGTACTGATGGTTTCAGTTTTCATAAGTATAACGCTGTGCAATTTTACCTTTTTATATTTCGAGCATACTGTTATTCGACGAAAAGTAAAAATGATTTAGCAATCTCAAAAGATTTGGCGTTTAGCTTTCCTTTTGTACGTGCAGTGTAATGGCTCTCACTCATCTGCCAACTTGGGTACATTTAAGTGATTAATCTCTTGGATAGTCCTTCGCATTCATCAGTACAAAAATGCCAAAAAGTGTTCTTTGGATAGTACCAAACCTGCAACAATCCGTTGTACAGCATGCGAATGGTGAGATGCTGACGTTTTGTTATCTAGGCTTCTTCCTATACCAGCAGTGGGCGCCAGGGGTAAGCCTCGTGTTAGCAGTTTTCTGACCAAATTACTCAGAAAAAGACAAGGAAATAAGTTGGCGCGTGTGACTACTGTCAAATTTTAAAATTGCCTGCAAGCACATCGCATTCCATGCTCCAAATGACAGTTGAATTCTCACGCCACCTGTGGTGGCGTTCCCTAATTTACCAGTCTTCATTCTGTTAAATCACCCCGGCATTCACTCCCGCCACTCTTGTCACCTTATCTAAGTACACTTTTATCTTTTCTTTTGCCTAATAAAGCCCTATGCAGCTTATGAAAAGTTACGATGCTTTAACAAGTTGAATTAGAGGATAACAGAGAAATCAGCCGATGTGGCTATTAATGGGGGCTAAAACAGGGGAAATTCATTACGAAAGATGAATGTTAGCTGATGAATAATCTCACTGTGGTGTTATGGTTTCAAGGTTTAGGAAATCCGTTAAGGCCCACTTGCAAAATGTTAACTGTCAGCTGACAGTACTTACTGGCCTGGCGCAACAGCGTTACTCGGGGACACGTGTTTTGGATGTATATCATTCCTTTGCCTTTGTTAGGTAAAGATTCTAGTGCCTAATAGCACTGCTGGCATGATAATCGGGAAGAATGGTACGTACATCCAGGAGATCAAAGAGCGATCAGAGGCCTACGTTCAGATCTCCCAAAAGTCTCGCGAATTCTCCCTGCCTGAAAGATGCGTAATTGTTGCAGGTACGTTGTTTCCTTCTTCTGCCCCCTTTTTTGGCTCGATCAGTCAGATTTCACGTCAATCGCATGGATGGGTTTTTCCGGTTATAACCAAGCTCCATGACTTGGGAACAGGGCCGCGGCAGTTTATCCGTAAGGTATACTCTGAAGTGCGTTTTAAATCACTAAAAAGATGCCCAAGATTTCTTTATGTTTCTCTAAAATAAAAATACTCTTTGGAATTGACATACTGCTTGATTCGCCTCCAAGAATCGCTGTGCAAGCAGGGACTTAATCCCATCCTAAATGCGCCGTTGGGCTGTCTGGATCCAAGGCAAGTATCCGAGCTGAATTGGAAAGTCGCCATTACTTTCCTCCCTGACAAGTAAATACTAAGACAATGGCATTTTCTTGCCAATTTTTTTATTGCGATATTTTTAAGTAGTTCAAATTTCATCTGCTAGAACATTAACATGAAGAAGAGCGTGCATACATTACTGTTAAAGTTACTATTTTAGTCCATTCGATGCCAAGATCCCGGTGGGCAATAGACCAATACAGCCAAGCAGATATTTCACTGTACTAATAGAGCATTAACTGCTTTTGCTGTGAGCCTCCTTTCTATTTTTTTGCCTTTTTTAATTAGTTTGGGCGTCACATATATGTGACGGAGGTGGCAAACACATTGTAGCCACTAATTCTCATTGCGGTTGCGTTCATATCTTACTTGACCTTTATGTTGGTTACTAATTTGCTAAAGAGCTCTTTTTGCCTTATAGATGCACATCGGTTAATAATTGGATACTTTATAGGAGAAAAAAAATAATCGAGCTAAGATGGGTCGTTCAGGCGTTATTGTTTAGTGAATTAAATTAAGCCAACAGATTCCGGAAAGAGGTTACAAACCCATTTATAGTCATCTTGTCACGACAAACAATTCCATCTTTCAATTAGCAATCAACTTTAACTAGCCATCAAGAGTAATTTGTTTCAGTTAAGACGAAGTGCTCGTCTTTGCCTCTGAGGTCAATTGACAGTGCTCTTTACAAGACTTTTCAGTAATCGTAGTACCTTTTTTATTACTTCTGAAAGTGAATGAAGAAATTTCAATTGCCTGTGTGTATTAAAATAGAGTCATTTCTCAATTTTTTCGACACAAAGAGTTCCGCTTGGTAGTCAAAACGATAAATGATTAATAGCCGGCAAAGTCCTCTACTGCATTGGTGTGCTAAAATTCTCCAACAGTCTACCTCAATTTGCCGGGTCGTTCGGGAGGCGGGGTAATTTTTGCTGCTTCTCACCGTCGCTGACCGCCATAAGTCGCAGAAATCGTAATTCTTCTGGTCACTTATCAAAGTGTGATTTACTGATTATCTGATGGGGCTGCGTGAGAGGGCGTATTGGTAACAGGCAGAAGTTTGCAGGGAGTAATTGTCTTAAAGAGTTTTTGGCATAATTCCCACACCTGGGATGATGATAACTCGTGGTTCCATATTTCGTAATCGAATTAGCCCCTACTCTTGTGGATTTCAAATTACCGCCTTTATAAATACCTTATTATGGAATAAAACTGACAAACAAGATCTTCATAGAACCGATGGTCAAAACGCTGTTCCAATAAGTTGGAGATATCTCAGTATTTCGTCTGATTATTTAGACAAATGTCTTCCAATTGAAAGACTTTTAAAACCTAACTCAGAGAGTATAGCCGAAAGGGATGTTCAAAGTATTTCCAGTCGACATGTATGTGGAGCCATGTCGTCAAGACGGAAATATAAACCATGGAGACTGAAGTTCACGAGGTGTCAAAGGTGCTAGTAAAAATTAATATCCTTTTGAAGAAGTTGTGATAACTAATGAAGTCAAAGGTCAAGACCACTTAATTGTAATGGCAAACCAGCTTTAAACCATATTCAATCCTGGTTTTCTGTAGCACGGCTTTTGTCAAAACCAACGTTTCAGGTGTATTTCCTTCCCCGTAGGTGAGCTGCATCAAATGCGCGCCGCAATGGATCTCATCCTCGCTGTGATTGCCTCCGATCCCCAGTCCTCTTCTTGCCCCAATCTATCCTACGCAGACGTCCGGGGTCCAGTCTCCAGCGTCTATCCCACGGGTTCGCCCTACGCCTTCCCATTCATCTCTGCGAACACGGGCAACCTCCTCCTTCGACCTGATGCTTCATCGCTAGCTACCGCTGCTACTGCTGCCGCTAACCCCTACCTTGTGGGTCCCCTCACAACTCCCCTTAACCCCATGGATGCCGCTCTCCTTCTCCAACTCGTCAACAGCGGTGATTATATAAGCGCTCTGCAACAACATCAGCAGCAACAACAACAGCAACATAACGCCGCGTTGAACGCCGTCCTCCACATGAGTGGTGGAAGTGGAGGTAGTGGCGGTAGTGGGCTGGCCTCTGCTACGGGTGCAGTCATTACAGCCAATCATCCGCAGGTTCATGCTTATCCCCATCAGCCACATCATCAACAACAACAGCATCAAGCCTCATCCGCGTCGCCATTGGCAACGGCTGCAGCAAATTCATTGGGATCTTTTTGTTCAAATCCTACCTTTTTACCAGGTGATTTGACTAATTATGTTGATCTCGGTTGTAGTTTATAAGCATGGCTTGCCCGCTTGAGTGGTTGAGCGATTCACCGCAGCAAAACTGGACATGAAATTTGTTAAAAAGTCGGTATCTACGGATTTTACGCTTTCTTTAACAAGAATCTTCGTTCCTTACTTTACGCTGTTTCATGCATGAGAGTACCACCACAGTTGCTTGTCGTCTTGATTAAGGATGACTGGATCGGACTGGCCCACGACACGTGCTTTGATTCTTACGAGCAGCAATGTGACACGCTTCCTATTGCGTGCAGTATTGTCACGACAGCATGTCGTTTCATAGATGCCAAAGTAAAAGTTCCGGTTTGTCTCAAACGCTCATTCTACATTCAGATCAGTTCCCATTAGCAATAGGCATTAATTATCTACCAAAGATGTCGAAAAGGTTGTTTGCCCCTTAGCTGCAGCAATGTTTGATTCGATCATGCCCTCAACTGCAGCAGCAGTAGCTGCGGCAGCAGGACCACAAGCGCGGATGACCTCGCAGTACCTCGGAGGACGCGGAGCAGGGGCGTTTGTCAGTGCGTCCGCCTATCCCCCGGTGGCCACAGCGGCCACAGCACAGCTCTGTCCCTTTGTGCCACTACAGACTACTGCCTTTGCAAGTCCTTCGCCTCCCTCCTCCGCCACTCCCGACGCTCCTGCGCTTCATGCTGCAGCGGCTCTCGCTGCGGTTGCTTCGGCAAACTCGCGGACCACCTCCGCTTCTACGTCTGCCGCTGCAGCCGCATCGAGCGCTGAAGCGCTGAGCATTTTCGACACCGGACAGCGCAGCGGGGGAGGCGGCAGCAGAACTGAGACAGAGGTTGCTGCAGCAGTGGTTCCACCGACTGGGCTGTGGGAGGAAAGCAAAAGTGAGGCGGGACAGCAGCCCCCCACCTACTTGACTGCTTCGGCCGCCGCTCTAATGGGACTTTACGCCAGTGCTACGGCCATGGCTAACTCTAACGCCATTGTTACCCCTACTGCCGGTGCTCAGCTACTTCGGTCCTCGGTTGGCGGGACGAGTGGACTGCTCTACACAAAGGAAATCTTGGTAAATGTTAAGGAAACCGCATCTAGCCCTTAACTTAGCTCGATTACTTTTCATGAAGTGTAGGATTAAGCCAAATCTTCCGATCATTTGCGCACTCTGCTAGAGCTGACCATTTGCATACTTTTATCACTTCATGATGAAGCTGAAATTTCAGTCAATGATTAAATGCAGAACAATGAAAGTTTAAAACAAATCACTGTGTAGCGTCTGGAGTCTTTCTGAAGTCGCAAGAAGTCATAGCGGTATAGCAGAAAAGATGGTACTGATGGTACGGAAGAGCTGAGACCGTTTTCACGGCCTGGAGGCCATGCCGTTGAAAAAAAGTACAATTTGCAGATCCTTAAGTGCCCGCCCAATTATATTCAGAGTTGATCAAGCATTACAATTTAACCCTGTAGTTGTGATTTGTGGTAGAATTTACTGTAGGCTTCTTTGTAGCAAATTGACATTGTGGACGCTTTGGCCGCATTATTCATCTCTGAACACATGCGCTCTTTAACAGTCGTATCTTTTTGAAAATGCACTGCCTTCACCTTTTTTTGCGGACGACTGACTCAGCATGGCAGGAACCATTCATCCATTATTAATTGACTTTCAATAAGACTTTTGGGACTAGGATCGCCAAAACACCCCCTTCGCGAGCTTATTTTGTTAATGCTCTTCATTTCAATAAAATTAATTTTTATTTGATCTTGTGCAAGTGCGTTGATTCAGGCCCAAGAGTGCTTAAAGGCATTCAGTTTGAAAGACTTTGCAACTGTTGCATTATTTGCTGATTGTCAACAAAATCCGACTATTTCTGGCCCACCTAGGCATAACGGGCTCCCAAAGAGCTACCAAACGTAAATTTTCTCATTTTGAGCATTTCTACTTTTAGGTTCCAGAGAGTCTGATTGGTCGAATCTCCGGACCTCATGGCCGCCTGTTATTGGACCTTCAGACACAGACTAACACGCTTATTCAAGTCTCTCCAAAGTGTGTCTTTGTCTCCGGCCTGCAAAGCCGGGTGGTTTCCATCTCCGGTGACCAAATGAACGCCAATTATGCGGCCGCAGTGATTGAGAATACAATCACAATAGAGCAGCTCAATCAACATGCAGGTGCGCTCCATGCACCACTGCGTAGGCCCTATGAAGAATCGGGCGCTGGCTACATAAACCAAACCCCTGGAAAATCGAACGGCGTCGTTGCTTCTGACATTAGTGGAGGTGGTGGTGGTGACTATGGCCCTATTGAGGGCGTGACTTCCACGGGTACTTCTTGTCCAACGCAGCCGTCGCAACCGCTTCCTAAGCAACCTGCATTTTAGTTTCCTTGATCTTATTTTTTCTTCAACGAAGCTCGAAGCCAAAAACTGAAAACGTTCTATTGATACCTCCTTCTCCTCCTCCTGTTTGTATTGGACTGGGAGATCATCCGTCCATTCAAACACAGCCGGTTACACAGGGAGACGACTAATGGAGTTTGTAAAGCTAATTAGTCAACAAAATTGTTGCTTTTTTACGTAATCTCGTAGAGGTTTACATGCATATATATACTCTCTTCTATTTTTTTCTTCGTTTACAACGGCGCAAATGTCCGCAACTATACCGAAAAGCAACATGGTGCCCCTGATACGGAGTGGGTGACAGCTTTTATAATTTCTACTAACTAATTTTCAATAGCATTTTTGTTTTCGGATAAATTACTAGACTTTTGGAGATCGGTCAAAGTTGTTTATCTCGTGCGTTTTTTGTGTGAGCCTCCTTTTTTGTTTCTTCCTGATTAACAAAGGACTATTGTGACTCAGAAAAAAAAGTTTAAGACGGTATTGAAGTCCCAGCCAAATTTGTTGCATTTTGTTTTCTCGCCCCCTTGTTTGCTCCAAGACCATACTTTCCCACTTCCTCTACCTACCCTATTCTCTATTCCCCAACCCAACTTCGAACACGAGAATGAAGTGTCCCGCAAATTTAACCAAAGTACTATTCTTAATAAATTTTGTGAATGCCTGCGTTTGATTTTGCTCGTTAGTGAGAGATCAGTAAATGTTATGGAAGTATGGGATAGTCGTTCACTTGGGTGGGTTGTATATGTGGCAATTCATAAATGCACCTGCGATCCACCCCATTCATTAAGTTTGCGCTAAGCAGTCAATTTTAGACCACAGTTTAGTAGTTCACAGGAGATGGCAGAGATACGCATTTTAAGCGATCAGAGAGGGTGTGTGCTTGACGTATAACTCAAAGACTACTCGACATAAGATCAAAAATATTAAAGAATGAGACACACTTGCGGGCAAATTAAGTGAGCCAAAGTATTGCAAAATAAGTGACGTTCTAGAAAATACGAATATACGTTACAAATTTATAAGGTTCAAAGCGACAAGTATTGTTCATTCTTTTAGAATACGTTAGACGTTTGTTTAATGGTCAGTTCTGGTAAAGGATTGCGTTGTCTTTGCCATTGTACATTTTCTGGCTATGCTGGCCTCCAAGGCATGTAGGTAGCCCTAATGCCTTCAGTAAGTACAAAATGAATTGGTTTTATTTGTTTAGCGGTCGGTTTGTTTAAAGAGCCACTTTTGACTACACCATTGTACCTTGTTCGATTCATGTGCCCGCCCCCTCTCTGAAAGGAAACACGCAAACAATATATGTATTACAATATATTCTGCCCTAGCATTGTGTCTATTTCCGCCTTCTCAGAAGTTCTGAAGTGTTGCACCTTTTATAAGCAGAAGTTTTATTACAATCTCAAATGCAAGCATTTTTACTAATGTGGGATTTACAGATTTTTAATACTCAACCAAACTACGCAATAGAGCATACAAATAGATTACGCAGACCCATATGAAGGATTACATAAATTGATTTACCATCTGGTAACAAAACATTAAATCAAGTCTCCCTGTTCAATGTGTTAGACATGAACTATAAGCTAAATGAACATTTCTTAGATGGCTTAAATTGTTTTAACCTTCAATTTCACAATGCCATTTCAAAGCTGGTTGGGCGGCGGGCCATCACCAATGCTTGTTGTGTTCTATTATTTTCATACATTAGAATTCATCTGGTACCTGCTGAGCGCTTTTCACAAAGATTGCATGCTATAGTGGTCGCATTATTGTACTTGTATCCCATGATTTTCATCCCTGGCTTAATGGATGTGAACCCCGCGGCGTAAATCATGCCTAATGTGTACATGCTTTTGTTATTTTATATACTGAGTAGATATAAGTGAGTTATAGTGCTTTAACTCTGAGCACGATTGTTGTTTCGTGCAATTTTAGTGCGGGTCTTTAGGCCAGTGTTTTACTAATTCCAAACTGTCATCAACATTGATCATCGAGTTGTATGAGAGCAAAGCGCATACGCGTCGTACTGGTTTCGTACTCATGATTCTCTTATTGATATGTTGGTTGCAATGTAACATTTTCCGGATTCGTCGTTGGCAAAAGCCAAACATGAGCTTGTTAATTCCTTGCACCCACTTCCGACCAACATTTGTCAAAATAAGTTGTGTGGGTTACTAAGGTAGTTTGTCATATAAATTTTTACCTCGAAAAGTGGAGCTTGATTTGTATATTACTTATTTGAGGGCTCCTAGTCGTACCAAATGGATCTTATTGTCCTCCATTTCGGCGCACAATCCGTAATAAAACAATTTCCACCGTAAAAAGATATTTCTTCCCGCATCATGATCATTTATGCCAACTTATTCTATTTTTACGTGTTTATTCCATGGCTGTGAATTTCACTGATCCTTGTCACTGGTAGTCATGTAACTTATGTAGACCTGCACTTTATATTCTCCAAATAATTTGAAGGTATTCCGGGGGTTAAATGCTTTGGTCCTTTTGTAATCTTAGCTCTTTATGGACACTAATGCTCGATCCTTTTCATTTAATGCTTATTCAATTTAATTATATGCACTTTTTTCACATGCAAGCGTACATCTCAGATCGGATGCTGAAGTTGTCTTTTTTATACCCCGCATCAGAATGTCAGAATCTAATGGGCGTTCCTCTCCACGATTGCAAACCAAAGTGAGTCGTCGTCCTGATGGGTCTCGAAGACAAACGTGAGCTTACTTTTCTGCTCGATTTTGTGGTCTAACTCAATGTAACTCTTCACTTCAAACGCACATTCGGGGCTGCCTTCCTTTAATATCTGTTTGCATTTTAGCCCAGAAAAAAGGCGCTTTGATGAGGATATGTCTCCAGTGTCTCCCCGTGAGTCTCCAACCCCATCCTCCTCCGAGCGTTCACCTTCTGCTCGCCACAGTCGGCACCGCCATAGTCACCACCTCAGTCACAAATATGTCCGGCGCAGGGACCGTGAGATGGCTAGTTTTGGCAGGTCTGGGCGGGTGCGCGAAGAGAAACATCACTCGGAGCGTAAGCGTCGCCGTCTGGCATGCGAGGTGGTGGTGGCGGAGGGAGTGGCAGTAGACAGTGTTGACACCGATGAAGCTGGTGAGTATTCGTTACGCCGTGGCAGTGATTACAAGCCGGAGGGGAGAGTTAAGAATGAGATAGTGGCTGCGGAGGAGGAGGGGGAACGTCAAGAAAAGGAACGATACCGGAGGGATCATCGGAGGCGATCATTGGAAGGGGAGGAGGAAGAGGTAATGGTAGCGGAAAGGAGATCTTTTAATCGAAAATATGTCGATGAGCGAGGAAGTCGTCGTCGTTCAAATCGAAGCCAAGAAAAGAGGTCCAAGCGAGCCAGGGTACTTTATCATACACCACGAATCTATAATACATTACTTTTTGTTTTGGGATGTTTTCTCTTGTTTCACTTTAGCGCCGAAGTGAGTCTCAACACTCCCAATCACTGGTCACTCTATCTTACGGTGAGAATAGATCGTCGTCATCTGTTAAACAGCATTTAAACCCTTTCGTGAGCACCCTTCTGGAACCATTACTCAAAGAGGCGACTTCAGACACAGAGTTGGAGGAGGTGCTCCCAGTAAGTATCCTGTCCGGTGAAATGGCAAAACGGTCGATGCTTTTGCCGGCTGACCAAAAGAATAAATTAACCACATCTCAGCTACAACAGTCACAGTCACAAAACCAAGTTCAAAAATCGCAGGAACAGCAGCTTAAATTACAACGGTCTCCTGATCATGTAAAGACGACCACAGCTACCTTGCAGACAGATGGCAGCAATAAGATACAAAAGTCCGTTGAAGAAGGGGATAGTCGTTTCGATAGGTTTCTTTCTAACCTCTCGGAGCGTTTACAAGAGAGGGAGCAAGAGCTGGAGACCTGGGGTGAGAGGGAGATCGATTTCTCGGATATTCTGACAGAGGACAGCGGTGCGCTTCACCTGGCTGTGTCCTCCGCTGCACTCAAACCAAAGCAGTTGTTGGAATCAAGTCTTTCCACGCAGTGGCAAAGGATCACGGAGAATAGTCCAGATGAAGTAGAAACAATTAAAATTGAAACGGTGAGTTGTTAATTTAGTCGACTGTGAATGTGATTACCTAAATCACTCCTCGTATTCTATGGTTTTGATCGCTAACCCCGATCAGTTATTGAGTCAAATTTCCGAAGCAATAGTGCTCTGGAATTACCTAATAATGGTTTTTTAGGAGATCACCGAAGATAAGGAGGATCCTCTCAATCTGGCGACGCTTCTGTCTTCAAGCGTTAGTCGACGTTTTCTGGGTGACCATCTGGTTAGAGAACTGGAGGAACGAGGTGTGTCTCTTCCGCCGACACCGACGAGAGACATTCTTGCTGGTTCAAAGGAGTCCCGATTGGGGATGGTCCCAACAATTTTTGAGGAAGTTTCCTGGCGTCAGAGCCTACTAGGTGTCATTTACACCTGATTGGCACGCCGTCTTTCTCTGTGACTGCATTGTAGATAAACGTTGTGTGTATTTCGGACTTTGATTGACATTTTCTTAACATTTGAAAAGTATTTTATACTTTTTCGATAGATACTTGGTAAGCTTTGGTACATCTAGTGTTTTACTCGTCATTTGACATCTTTCCAAATCACGGTCATACCTGTTATTATTCGTAAGCATTCGCTTCTTCTTGTAGGCTGCCATTGCGATATTTTACTTTAGTCTCGGAGAGATATTTAACTCCCGACAATGTTTAAAACTATTTTTTTGAAACTTTAGAACAGTATATTTTAGTACACAATGACTCACCACTTAGTGAAGTGTATTCTTTTTAACTCACGCTCACTGAGTTGTATAAGGTTTTGTGTTCATCAAGTGTCCCTGTTGCCATTCCTTGCGAAGAAGCACGAATGAATATTCTTTGTTATCTCTTAATACATGTTGTACCTTGAAGTGGTTAGTTTGTCGCTTGCTTATGAGAAATCTTCACTTTTTTGGCGTAGATGCCGTTGCTCCCCGTCTAGTGTTTGTTGTTTTCTGAATCATCAAATGATGTTAGCAACTTTTTAGCATCAGCGGCATCTATGTGTTTACTGATTTCTATCAATCTTCATTAAGAACAAGGGAGAATATTTTCTTCTTACTACATTAAATCTGTGATCTTGTTGCTTTCGCCTTTAAGCTGGTTCATTCATCATATCCATAGCTAGATAGGAAGTTTCGAATTCGTACATTTGTCTTTTTGTAAAAGATGTCAAACCAACTGCAGCATTTCAACATCTGTACTAAAAATTGCTCCAATAAAAGAGTGAGATATGTTCTTTGTGTGAACGGAGAAAAGCTTGAAATTGTTATAGCTCGTGAGGCTTTTATAACATCCAGATGAGGTCAGGGAGGAAGAAGAAACGATTGGGACGGAAACGGTGAACTGTTAATTCAGTCGATTGTGAAATCGGAGTTTTTATGGCGCATGGGGCTTTCGGAACATCCGCCTCATTCGGAGGGCCAATTTGGTGTGAAAAGAGCACCTCCAGCAGAGCGCCAGGAGCGCGGCAGTCACGGCTGCAAGCACAAACACTGCCTGGAGAGCGTGTTCCCGAATTTCAAAGTACTGGATTAGGGTTACACCTTCCTCAGCTGAAGAAAGATGGAATATTCATAGCTCTTTTTAGGACCGTTGGTCGTTGGGTAATTAAAATAGAACTCAAATCTTGGCGTTAACTTTTGTAACCACTTAGAGGGCAAACTGATTTTTGTATTGAGAGTAAAGACCAATCTGCGGTTATATTTGTAAGGTCAGGGCGATTAAATATGTTTGGTGGTTGAATGCTGAAACAGTACATTGTAAAGCTTTAAAATCGCGAAGATTTCTGGTGAAGCAGCTATCTTTGTGAGTGTACCAAGGTCGCCAAGTCTTGACAGTGTATAAGCAAGCTGAGAATAGGTGCTCATCACGAGTCATAGGTACAAACTCATGTGAACCAAGTTAATGAGGGTAGTTCACGATGTGAAATCGGTTTTTTAAGAGCTGGTACGTCTATAAAATCATTGGACCGAAGATGAGGCTAGATAGTCTAATGCACCAATTCATGGTATCCCCCCAAGTACCAGCCGCTCAATCACAGATGACCTACGAGCACAGGAGTGGGGATCACAGAGGGTAAATTCGGCGCTGGGCCCGCGGCAATCAATGTGCTCGGAATTCGCGCCAAAGCGCTCTGCTACAAGGCAGCGTCGGGTGCGAATGGCCCAGCGCTCCACACCGCAGGCTGGCAGACAGCGGCCCCAGGGCGTCCATGTGCTCCACACACCCGTCCACGTCGCGCACATTGGTGAATCGTAGCCCTCCTTGCACACACACACCGCCTTCATTCGAAGAGAAATGAAGAGGTTTGGATAATGAGGTAGCAGTAACCGACAGCTAAGAAGTCTGAAGCATGAAAATGAGAAAATAAAGTGAAAAAAAGCTTGTCGAAGATTTTGGAAGTTGATTCGACGGCCGAAGGACAGTTATAGATTCATGGGTTTGGTAGAATGGGTGAGAGTGGGTTTTCAAGTGCAGTGGGTAGATTATGCACAATTTGGTCAATGCCTTCGGCGGATGGAACAATTGCTGAAATCTAGAAGCTGACACATGCAAATACTTTCACTGCTGAGACTAATCTCCTTCGGTAGTCTGAGGTCATTCCTTTTGAAGTATAAGGCTCCCACTTAGTATAGGCCAAGTATTCTTGTCCCAAGAACTGATTCGAAAAGTTGTTCACACTAAATTTCGGTTTCAAAATGTTACACAGATTAACAGTTATGATGGTGCTCTTAGGAATATGGATGAAATTTTCATCTCCGTCGTTGGATTGCAGAAATCCAGACTCTGTGAGATGTTGATAGCTGATGAAATACAGCCACGTTCTTACTTTGGCTAAAAGTTTCCTTGAATGCTCTGAGAGTGTTTTTGAAGTAGCGAAGCAATACTCTGGCAAGGGTGAGGAATCAGGAAAAATCTACGAATTGGTATTTTTTTTCAGGAATGGTCGGTGTTAGTCAGAATGTATGTATTGCCAAGTCTCAAACGTCTTTGGCCAAGGCTTCCAATGCGACAGTCTCAAATCAATCTTGTGCAAACACTAGACATAATTTCTGCAGACCTCGTAGACATCACCGTTAGGATAAAGCTGCTAGGAATTAAAACGAGTTAGGGAATTCATCTCCGCGAGAACTTAAACTGTCAAAATGTTAGTCCTTCAAGACTGAGCATCCTAATGCAGAATGGACAACAAATTCGATCTTCTAGGCAAAACTTCAGTAGGAATAACCGAAGGTTCATCACTGCTTTTATAATAATCTGGAAACCTTCTTTGTGCGTCTCATATCAAGCGTTCCTGTAACGAATTCAATAGTGGCAAAACATTCACATGCATAAGAATTTTATCTCATTGAATCAGTAATGATTATAAAAAGTCAATCAGAGGTAGTCACCTTGGAAGCCGCACGTAGAGATAAAGAGCCAGTATAGGGAATTAACTTGGCACTGCAGTGTTAGACACTGTAAAATTGCAATAACTTACTGTTGAGCCATTGCAGTAGAGGATTCTCCTACCGACGTTCAGAAATTTATAGGCAATGACAGTGGTGAAATGTTCATCGAACAAGCACAAGTTGCGCCTATTAACCGCCTAATACAGAGGTATTGGCTCCTTACTCATTTGAACGTAGTTTCCTTTAACTGAGCTAAGACGTCTTGAAAGGCCACAACACCATCTATGATCAAGAATGCTAGTAACTCCGGAGAAAGAGAAACCAGAGCAGTTTTGGAAGCAAGAAGATTCAAAGGAACTGTAACTTCACGCTGTGAAGATGTGAATATGTAGATCGAAAAACTGATTTGTTAGCTCAGCACAGTAGAGGATGCAACGAGGATAGTATCGAAGAGAGTTCATCGAGTGCAAAATGCAATGAAAGTTTTTGGAAAGAGAATTTTAAAGAGTGAGGAAAGGCGACCAAGATCTGACTTCTAGCCGTTTTCATCTATAAAAAACTCAGAACACAAAATCTTCGAGGCGCTATTAATGTGCTTTGATGTGTTGAGTCAAAAGCAATGCACAGAGTCGCGAATCATTAGGTTGCATGGTAGAGGCATGAACACCAAAAGTATCTTGATCAATGGCAACTTCTTCCAAATTGGTAGTGAAAAATTTCACCACATTCTGAAAGGTGGCGGGTAAATCATTTGAGTCAAAAGAGAAAAAATTCCAGTAAAAGAGTCTAAATGGAGTGGTAATCGTAATTTGAGCTCTCAAAGCAACAGCAAGTGGGATTTGTAGCTAAGCACTTTTTAAGCCAAGCTAAGAGGAAAAAAGCAAATCGTGTGGTTGTCACAGAGTACCTTTTAGCTCAACTCCGACAACTTCGTCATGGCAGGAACTTGTTGAGGATTGTGCTATAAACAGCAAAACCGACTAGCCTTTTTGACATTTTTAGGCAGAGTGACAATAACCGTTGTCGAAAGTGATGATTGGGCAGCTGTAATTATACCTCCCTTCACTAGTAAATCCATTACTTTTTCAAGGGGTTTGTAGAAACTCTACCGAATAAAATCTTCTTTTCATAAATAACTAAGAACCATACATTAGCCCCACCAGGTGCCTTTAATAAACTAAAAAGTTTGAGTTTAATAGCAGCAGAAAATGGGGAGATAGAAATTTTCAAAAGTTCTGTACACTTCAAATCAGTGATCGAGTGACTATGATCAACACTCGAATACTGACAATAGCTAGTTTTAAGGTAGAAGTCAGTAAAAAGTTCGTGAGAGCCCCAAATTTTCAAAGACTGTACCGTACTGTCTCTCATAGAAGCGGCAGAGTCTAATATCTACAACAGATTTGAGGCATTTAGTAATGTTAAAGAAACGGGAAAATCAATGCTGCCTGTTAATTGGGCAGTTCTGCGCAGTGTGGCCGGATGGATAAGCGAAGTCAGTAGTAAACACAAGTGAAATTGGAGTCAGAAATTCGAGTTTCTTGTTCAGCATCCTTTTGTGACAGAGCATATTCCCTAGTCCATTGTATTTATGACATGTCGAAACCGACTGAATAAGTAGGAACGCTTCAAAACAAATTACTTCGTTTTGTTACATTTAGATCTGCTGCCTCTTTGTCAAGATTGGTTCCACTTTTTAACTCCCACTTCCGTTCGCATTCCAGCCTTTTCGAGTAGATGTGTAAAATCACCAGTTCAACTGTTCCAGTGACCTTTATGTCCTGATGCCATTCACAGAGCATTTAAAGTTATTGATAATTAGGATTTGCAGCAAATCTTGAGAATTTTTCACAGACACAAGTCGATCTCAGAGTTGAGTCTGCAATGGGAACCAAAAGTGTAACGAATTGCTTGGGTCTAACATTTGAAGTAGATAGTATCTGAACTCCCGAGTCCCTCCCCTTCTCACGAGTACATGGAACTTAGCTGGTTCAACTGCCTCGAAATTCATAGGCTGCACATAAATCAGTAGAGTTTCCTTCAGGTTTTCAAACGGATGTAGAGCGGGGGATCTTGCAACGGCAAAATCTACATTAGTATTTAAACACCTTTTCCGTTCACTGTAAGATAGAAAGCCGTTCGTTTCTCTGCCTTAAAGTCCTTATAAGTTGGACACTAAGGCTCACAAGACTCAAGATAGCCCCCATTCTCCTTTGCAAACGTGATAATGGTCAAAATTTTGAATTAACCGGGATCCATTTTAAAATTCCAAACTTTGCAAAATCAAGTGAAACATTTTTGTGTGGTAATATTACGGAGTACGAGAGCCCCAAACCCAGGACTAGTTTAATACAATAGTAATAAGAGCTCAAAATGACCGACACTTAAATGTAAACCATGCAAGAAGAGTAATCAAAGAAATCAGAAAAGTATTCAAGTTGGGAGAATCACAATTATTCACTTACGAAATTTGGTATCAATCAGACAAATGTTTTATTAAAACTAACAAAACGGCTAAAATATGCCAGTCACATTTCTATCCATACCAAACTGAAATGATTTTATTAGTATTTTGTCATCGTAGGCTAACCTCCTTGCCATCACGGCTATCAACACATTCTCCCTTAATGCAGATGATCTGATCACACTTGGTCACCTTCTTCAGACAGTTGTCGTAGCCCAGACTGATATCCCCAGTCCATCGGCCCGCCGCACAGACGCAGGAGTAGATGGGGCCCAGATCAGGATCAAGTGCAGGCAAGCAACGATTACCATCGTTGTTGACGTTGCAGGCTCGATTACCCGCGGCTAGGAGTCCCCCGTTTGGCAGCAAAGGATTGCGAATTAAATCCTCACAGGCATTGGCGGGAGTTGAACAGTTCTCGCCCATGTACTCGGGGCTGCAGAGGCAGGATACCTCCTGGGTGGTAATGTATAAGAGTAGAGAATGTGATTGATTGAGGCATTCATGCATGGTAGGCGTGAATATTTTTCTCCAAAAAGCATGAAACCATGATTTTATTGGTGCAACCATATGCATATTTTAACTGAGCGATATGTTCGAAATACCAACTAAAGCATTGGACAAACTGAACCTTTTGCTGTTTTGTTTTCAAACTGCAAATACAAGCTTAATTGATAGAAATGAAGACGACTTTAAATGTGCCATTACTCACATTCAAGTCAGGGTCATATGAACACAACAACGTTCCGTTCGGATGGCACACCGGTGCCTCTTGTCTTTCACAAGGATTGTCTGGTATGCAGCCCTGCACGGCAGGAATCCAGACATAATTCTTCTTGCAATCGCATTGGTACTGGTGCGAAAAAAAGCCTTCCTCAGTCATCCGACATGTCCCATAGACGTCTCCCGTCCCCGAACAAACCTTGGCCTGATTACAGGGGTTCGGACACATCTCCAGCATCATTGGACGTATCTCAGTGGGCAGACGCAAAATCGCATGACACCAATAGACGCAACGGATCAATAGTGTTCGCCTGATCATTACCAGCGTCGCGTTCCTGAAATCGTAGAGCTTTGGACTGCCCCACTTCTTACCACGCACCTTTTTCACCAGGTGATTTGATATCTGTGGAAATTCGTAGAGAGGAAAGAGCCTTTCCATTGCCTCCGTAAAGGTGCTTTCGCACTCGGGCAGGTCGTCAAAGAGACAGTCAGACACATCAGGGGTGGCCAGTGCTTCCAAGAGGTTATTCATCCATTTGCCAGAAACATTCGCCCAGAATGGTGTTAAAACCTCATCGGGGTAGTTATTATGCAGAGCGACGGGGAAGAGGGGACTGCCGTATATATCGAAGGGGATTCCGTTGGCAACCTCTTCAGGGCAAACATAGGTGTTAAAGGAGGCAGTTCTTTGTACCAATAGAGTAGTAAGTAAAAATATCAAATACATCCCATAGGCGTTTAACATAGCACTTGACTGGATGCAGGGTGAATTGGCGACTCGGCCGCTTTATAAAATGATTAGTTTATCCGATATCAATCGATCAGACTGCTAACCAATCAGACTGTCAATTGGCCGGACTACTGACCAATCAGGTGAGAGGGTCGGAGTAGAGTGTTATGCAGGCGGTGAGTCAATGAGCTCCTGAGATACGCCTAACGAAGTGCCGACAAAACGCCTAATGGAGTGTAATCTAGTCGGAGATCTAGTGGGAAGTTTACTAACTGCCTAGATGAGGGAGACACCGATGAACAGACTCCCAGCACTAGTGAATGTGCCCCGAGTAAAAAGGCATTTGTATAATGCCGATAGGTCGGAATTAGACGCTCCCTTGTGTAATCAAGGTATCTATGGGGCGAGTTCCCCCAAAAACATACCCACCACACCGACAGGTCTACTCAATTTAATAGGCAGTTGACTTACTAAAGGAACATGGTGGCCATTCGTAAAACCAAATGGCAAGAATTCGGTCTGATCTGAGTATTTAAGCATTTGGGTGTCAAAAAGGCCCTATCAAGTTTCAGTGCAGCAATGCTCTAGTATGATGTAAGATAGTCGAATTAGAACTTGGCCTAAGTAGGTAAATGTCAAAGAAAAGCATCAGGCATCCGTCAAGTAGGTAATCAAAAATATTTGTACAATCAAATCCATTCCACATGATTAAACAAACAAGTATATTTGGCAGCTATTTCAATCACGCTACCGTGGTTGAATGGTAGATATGCATTTTTCACATGTACTCTTATCACAAAATTCGTGAGACAAATTCCCCAAAAAACTATTCGAATCAATCCCCAAAAGCGTTCAAAATGGACATTTAATTACAGATTAGAAAATACACGTTTTGGAGTCAAAAGTCCATATCCGAGTATTCCAACAGAGTAGAATCAATTCTCGAAAGTTCTTCATCAATGCTGGTATCGTCGAGAGCAGATTGGCTCTGATTCGTCAGCTGAGAGTCATTTAATGGAACCTTCATGGCGCGCCACTTCGTACCGTTGGTGCGCTGATTAGCGGCTCCTGACTCTCCACTTGATGACAGCGGAATCCCCTTGCTGGCCTTCTGAGCCAACTCGTAGAATTGATTTGGGTGGTTAATCACCACAGAAGCTGCGTCTTCTGGTGATAACTCTGGATGCATGGCCTACAGCATGACTACGTGATTTTTTGATCGACTGTTTCATCAAAAAGACTCAAGTTCTAGCATCTCGACATACTGACACTCGATTATATCGAATTAAATAGTATGTTAAAGACAAGGTACCTTAAAGAACTCTCTGCAAGCCAGTTGGTACTGATTGTCCTTGGCTCGTTTGACGACCGCCTCAACTTGATCAGAGGTCAATTTGCCACCGATAGATAGACGTTGATTCAGTAAATCCAAATCCAAGTGACGGAATGGACAACCGTGGAATTCTCCCACACCTGGCTGACTAAAGGAAATGATCTGCAAAACAGAAGAGATGATACAAGAGGTGAGCTTTTCGGACCTGATACATCTCACACGGACGGAACTACCAATATTGATAAACAAAAAAATTGCGCTACTTTTTTTCTAACTTGCCTTCATACAGGAGTAGGGAGTATAGTCAGCTCGCTTTCCCTCCTTGCCATAGTTGTGGCGTATGCTGTAGGAGTACTGCTTTGCGAATTGGTCCGAATCTACCTTCGGTGCAAACGAGCTTCGCCAAAATTTCAGCGCTTCATCCACTGATAAACCCAGTCCCTGAAAATAATTGTCAACAACAAGTAACAAGTTAACACCAGTATCAAACGATGGATACGTTAGCCTCTCAAGTTCAATGAACAAAAAGCTACTCTTCCCTTCATTCAGGTATTCTCTCATTACAATTCATAAAACTATGTTTATAATCCAGCAACATGTAAGGAAATTCAACAGAGCGATTGAACGGGGATACTAATTTAACCGCAGTGTTCTATGGGACCAACAGCAAGCTCTTCTAAAAAAACATATTGATTGGTGGTACCCCATTTTAGCTCCACGAAAAGAGCTTCATGATCACTGATAGTTACCGTCCTCAAAGGAAGAAACAATAAAAGGATTCCCTTTTCATAAAAATATCACTTAAAGCAACCAAATCACATTCGAAATTTTATTGAAAATATTATCAAATCAACTGTCTTATTCCGATGAACAACTAAAGACTTTCTTCGCCGTGCATTTCCACTGGTGATTACTTTTATTACAGCTAAAGTACCTTAGAACGATTACAAAACAGAGGTTGAGGCTCACTGTCCCTCCTTTCAAAGAAGCATAAAGATTACTAATATTCTCTCAATGTTATATATGCAAAAGACCTTATGAACAACACATTAAATTTTAGAAAGTACTTACTTCATCCATTTAAACTACTTATTGTGGTACCTAGAATTTCTCGAAGTAGCTACAACACAGTAATCAAGGAGCAGCTAAATTAATGTCCATACCTCGCCGAAAAACTAGCGATTACATTTCTTCAATAAATCACTTCAATGAGTAAAATTACAACTAGTTTTACAAAAAAAGAATCATAAGACCATGTATGGACCCAGACCTTGAAGAACCAACTTATTCCTGCTTAGTATTATTTATTTGTATGATCTAATACTCCGCTTAAAGCAGTTGGAATAGTTTCAATATTTTAGCCCCTAATGCCAATGCTAGTCTAAAAAAGATCATTCGCCCATTATCGAAAAGTCGAGAAAGCATTATTTTCCATTTTCTGGTACTACCTTGCATGACCTAGTACCACACCGAGCAACCACAACACTAAATTTGAAGCAAGGGATAATAAAATTCGTTCTTCGATTTTACTGAACTTGTAAACATACTTTTAGAAAGAGGCCGTACTGCATACGACCCCAGTGACGAAGATGATGATTGGCAGCCAAAGCGTTATGCAGACACGACATGCAGGGTGGAAAAAGACCGGGTACTCGAGCCAACTCGTTCACCTGGCTGGCAGAGACGGTGCCAAACACAGGCTTCATCCCGAAGTCGTCCTCTCCGAGGTAGCGTTTGGAGAGACTTGTAAGGAGAGGTAACAGTCGTGCGCCCTCGTCTGCCAGGCGGGGAACAAGAGCAAGACCCAGACGAGAGAGACTGTGGGAGAGAGAGGCGCGGAAGCGAGTCACTACAAGGGTAACCAACTCAACGTCTGGGACGTAGGCGTAGCCGGATTTGAGGAAGACCTGGCGTCTACGAACAAGGTCTAGAACCTCAGTGAAGTGGACCTGAACAAAGAATTATCAACACAGAAATCACCTTAGAATGACAAAAAAACCTTTGGAAAAGCATACTTTATAGAAAGTAGAATGCTCTGCGCTGACACCATAGATGGCGGTCCCAGCATCCAGTTGGTCTCGAAGACGCAACGACTCTTCTGAACTGACAGATGCAAAATGAAGGTTGTTGGCACAAAGAAACGCGCTGAGGGCTTCGGAAGTATGGCCTGATGAGGATCGTTCTAGATTGAACCGGTAACGAAAGAGGTCCGACTCCTGTTGAATGAACCATCGGCGCACTGTTTCGCTGCGGCAGTAAGCAATCTGACAGTAATTAAAAGTTGTTTCAGTAAGTTCGAGAATCAATATCATGGAGAAAAGTTTACCATACAAGTCTTAAGGTAAAAGACATTGCCGGAGGCTTAAGACACAAATACCCCATCCTGAATATGCTGTGTAATGTCCGACAGCTAACTCAGTGTGGAAATAAGGACAGTGATACACTAAACAAAAACGCAGAAATAAACAGCCATTTATAACGCATTAGTGCAAACCTGAAGTATAAAATGCGATGCTACATCTCTGTGAATATCCTCTTCAATATTTTTAAGCTGATTTGAAGTAAAAGTGAAGGACTTCCCCAAAGAGCCGAGCTTAGATAGTTCAGCTGACAACCTCTCATCGTATTCTTTGCTACTACGACTAAAGTCCTGACCAACAGCCTCAACGCATTTCAGAACTTTGAGGCGCTCAATAGCAAGCTGCTCTAGCTGTTCTAATTCTATCGTATCTGTGGGAGGCTCGGTGTAAAACTGAATACGAGGAACAAACTGCCGATTCGGAGCAGATCTAGCAAAATCCATCCCGGCAGAATACCGCGCCTCAGGGTCATGAATGAGTTATGGACAGCTTAAAACAAAGCCTGTTAAATTAGAAGAAGGTCTTTGCCTTTAGTAGCCCCCAAAACACAAGAGTGTACAGGCAAAAAAGGCATAATACGGTATCAGTAAAGTAGTGAAGTAACAATTCGGCCTATTATTTGGGGGTGTAAAAGTCTTAATAAATTATTTTTAGGAAATTTATGGACCACATACTACCATAGACTAAAGCACCGACCACCAATTCTTTGTAATGCATTTACCTGCCTATTAAAGGTTCTCTGAAACATGCATGAACTGCCTAGTCCAGAGCTTACTCCCTTTAAGTTATGCAGACCCCCCTCCCCACGGAGCCCAAACCAAATCGGCAACCCGACTTCAACCACCCCAACCCCCTGCAGCGGCACCACCGGTACCCCACACAAAGCCAGCACCTAGAATGCACCGCCTAGTGGACAAGAAGGAAGAAACGCGTACACTCAACCATTATTCGATAGACACCATCCTGGAGATGATAATATTTACAGTATGTCAATGAGGGCAAATGTCGTTGCTTTAGTGACGATAGCGCAGATCACCCGCCATTCTTCCCCTGGAGTCATCGTCCTCATCATCATCATAATAGAAGCGAGAACGCGAGTGACCACGCCTGCGATAGTAGTAACCACGGCCATCCCTACCGTCTTCGTCACCACCATACCGTCTGCTGCCCCCGTAGGAGCGTTGCCGACTGCGCCGACTGCAGCGACGGCGGTGGTGACGTTCAACTGAGGATGAACGGCTGCGCGAATCCTCTTCGTATTCACCATATCCGTCATTTGAACGCTGGGAGTCCGCTATTGTAAACGTGTTACGCAAGAAGGCGTTCACGCTTTCATTAAACTACGAGGCCAAAAAAGATGACATGCACCAAGTGTAGCTCATCTTAAAGTGTCAAAAACATAAGTACTAGCACTAATTGTTTAATTTAAGGTTAAGAAAGAGCCTAGAAATATCCACGACTATCAACCCGCATGGTTGATGCGACCGAACTGTGTAGACGAGCAAATAAATCCAGGTAGCGACGTAAACTCTGAACAGCTGGAACGGAATTTGTCAATCTGATTTATGAAAAAAGGGCTTAATATTTAATAGCAAAACTGAAAATTTGGGTGAGATAAGCACAGTGAAACCTAGCTTATAAGGCCTCCTAACTTCAGTCTCTTAAACCTTATAGGTAATTACTTTCCCTGCTCGAAAAGCGAATTCCCCATTTCAAACCTTCATGACACTGAGATGAGTCCACTGTTCAGACTTAAGAGAAGCTCAAATGGGTAAACAGAGAGTCAGTACCAAGAAAACACCGACGAAAAATGACAAATCTACCCACCACAATGGCTGAAGGAAAGGAACTTCTAGCTCACCTGCCTATCTGCGTCAGATCCAGTTTGCTGGCGGGGTTGAATACTGCCATTAATCTATGACAGAAATAGTGCAAGGAACATTGGCAGAAACAAGTGGTCCAGCACATTAAGTGATGCCGAACTTACAAGAGAATTGAGATTCGGATTGAGTCCACGCCGAACTTCCTGAAGGTAATCCTCGTAGTTCTGCACGAAAATAGGTGATAAGCTGACGAAACGAACAAGAAATCGGCTCAAACTATGCGTTACGTGTCATACAATCTCATTGGATTGAATTCATCAACCTCATCCCGCTACCAGACAACCATAATGAACAGGCTACCTGGGCAGATTTGAGAACTAAAAAACCGCAGTGACCAAAAGGATAATCTGGGAACTACTTATAAACAAAACACCCACACTTACCCAGTGGATGAATGCGTTAGCCCTGGATGGTGAAATGGAACGATCACGACTTCGTCTGGATTCCCGACGACCTGCAAATGAGTGCCTCTTGTAAACAAGTCCAGAAATCAACATCGACCACTAATGCGTGTCTCCAATACATGAGAGCTAGCACCGTTCGTTCTTTTTTGGATAAAGAAACTGGAAATGAGGAATTTACATCTGGAGGTAAAATTCAATTGATCGGAAATCAGTAATAAGACCCTAAGGTCAGATTAGAGAGTGATGAGACTGATCGATAAGCAAATTTTTTATCTGTAGTCTGGGAAATAGCATCAATTGCGGGAATATGTTTTCAAAGGATCGCAGTATTAGATCTCCAGTCGAACTTACCCTCCCTGTGGCGCCGTCCGCGCGAACCCTCTCGAGAATGCCTATCGAAGCGTCAGCAGAACGGAAAGTTCATCATTAATGGAGCCCACCAAGTACCCTACCGCTCAGCTCACCCACTAACATCGACATATAAAGTTGTTATGAGTATATAAAAACATTACAGGTTTCATTCAGTGATAAGCAGCGGTTAATTAAACAAACATGTACTGTTAGTAACCTGAAAAGTCACAGGTAGTGAAAGACAGTTCAAGGCAGAAATGGTACACACAGAGGCAGCAATAATAAATGATACGCGAATTACATAATGATAATAATAATGACTACTGCCGCAGGGTAAGCTATTACTAATAACGGCAATGTTCATCACATTTTTCCATATGTACACTCCACGCTCCAACAGCAAGAGCCCAGAGACCGGGAAAAATAAAACCATAACTGTCAACAACAGAGAATTGTCTTTAGTATCGCCGACACCTAACCTCGAACGATAACGATAAGATGACTCCTCAGACTGACGATAATTACGACGCTCGTGGCGATTACGACGGTAGTCTGAATCACTACGGTGTCCAGCGGAGCTGCAATTACTGCTGGGTGATCGATGTCGTTCGCGACTACGTTGTCTTTTCGGTGAAACACCGTCCTGTTGGAAAATCCTGTTAATAGCGGGTGCGTGAGAAGAGTAGAGGGCAGAAAGCGTCACTGGATCTGTGGCAACAGCCTGAGGTAAGAGATGGGAAAGAATGCTCGCATTGGGCGTGATGAATCGAGAGATATCCGCAGTGGGAAGCAGAGAGCCTCGAGACTGGTTTGATTTCATCGCTGCCATAGCAGCGACAGTTGACATGGCCGCAGTGGCGAGATTCACTGAGGACATTAAAGGAGGGATTGTGGAACGCGATGAGGTAGTGGCAGCGCCAAGAAGACCGACAGAATTTGGATTGTTAAAGCCCAAGTCTTTGGATCGCCGAGAGGATGAAGAACTGTGGGATTGAGAGGTGCCAAGACGATCCGTGACATTGCGTCGTCGAGATGAGTCATTAGACTTAGGTTTCTTCGGCTCGATTTTACGAACAATTGCAGGAATGGACTCCAGAGAATCTAATGGAAAGTGGCGACACAGCGCTTGGCCACAAACAGGCTCTATCTCCTAGAGATTGAAGTAAATTACTCAAGGAAATGCGCTAACCTGACCGTCCCGACCTATTTTAACTTGTTTTCCATCATTCCAGGAGTTCGTTAAATGAGAAACACTACTGAAAGGAAGTTCTTGTCTAAAGAGGGGAGGGGGTGTATATGTTAATGTCCACTAACTTGGTAACCCAATCTAGCTTAAAAGGACTGCTTAACACATTCATTGACATCCTAGATGAAGGAAGAACCCAATCTATATGCAAACGAGGATCAGATGGCGAAGCAAGACGAGCAAAGCCCTGAAATTTTCCACTTTCACGAACCGAGAAAATTAAGATGACGTTATTCGAGTCGTAATATGCCCTGTTGAGTCGACTCTCATTCCCGATAGGGGTCGACCAGGCGTTCTTTTTCTTAGCGATTTCAACATTTTCATAATTGTTACTTTTGATGAGGAAATACTTTGTATTTATGAAAAGTTGATCATAATCTGTTAGGATATCTGGATCCATAATCTCAGCTGACATCCCGCCATTACTTTCACTACTCAACTCCGATTTAAGTGGATTTCTTTGTGATTGTTCTTCCTCAGCCTCTTTTGAAAATTCGTTCTCCGGAGCATCAACACGAACCGCATCCTTCTCACTATTTCGATCCCAACAGATGGGAGATATACACTTCTCTGCTGCGCTTGATTCTTCGAAAACGCCTTCAGTCTTTAAGGATTGGTCGGGGTCGCTAGTAATTGGAGACACAGACTTCTGTCCTGTTAGGATGTCGATTGGTGCATCTGAATGATCCGACTGTTGAAGGTGGGGGAAAAGGTATAACTCATCCAACTCATCGACAGTATCCTGTTGGGAATTCCTTGATTTTTTCTCAAAGCCTGAAAGATCCTCTTAACAAAAGATAAACGAATGCGAGAAACATGCCCAAGACAGACACCCGATCATCAGCTGCCGACATAATTAGCAACTTCGAATCAGGTACCGAAATGGCAGAAGGAGGAGGAGTCGAACAAACGAAAAAAGCAAAGGCCAAATAAATAAAAAAACTCAGAAACTATGGCCTTTCAAAAATTGTTCTGAATAGAACTTTTTAGGTACTACTTTACGTTATTAAACCAGGTCACAAACCTCTGAAAACAACAATTTTAGGTCTAAACTCATGTGCCTTAACAAATAGGTGTTTTTAATAAGTCATTTTTGTGTTCATAAGATAAGCCCTAAAAATATTGCAAGACACACCCAGCCTTTGCTTCGGTTGCAAAATTCTAGTTTTACGACTTTACATATATAAGTAAATCATAGAAAAGTAGGGCGAGACCCACAGGTCTCCTCTTCCCTGTTCCTAATGTTCTTAAAACAACTCGGTTTGTTTAATTTTGACACATTTATTAGGGGAAAATTATTGGGAGGGTAAGTACAACGTTTAGGGAGGGGAGGGACCGTAATCACACCTTGGCACGGAAGGCGACGACCCTCTCACCAGATTCGAATTGCCATCCTGCCTCCTCCCCCAAAAATACACTAATGCACCGCCCCCAGTGCTACCACTTATGAGCTCCACCCGAGGATTCCAACCGGTGATCTCTTGTCTTCGGTCAGGGCATAAACCTCATCTTCATAACCAACCGGCGGTGGCCCTTTGTAGGGTCTCATCCTGTTGTGATGAATGGTTGCCGGTTGAGTACGCAGTTGTGCGTTGCAAACGAAGTAGTTTGTTGGTGGGAGCACCTTCACCACCCAAAATGAGTCCCTGCTCCGTGGGTGATGGAACTTGTGGTGTGTTCCAGGTGGGGGATCGGTCTGTAAATTTGCACTAAGTCGCATTCTCGGTAGACGTTTGTCCGGCTATATCGGTCATGACATTTCTTCTGCCTGATATAAGACAGCCGTAAATGTTTGCGTGCGATGTTAAAAGTTCTTTTTATACCTTCTTTCAGGCGCAGTATATACTCTGGAACATTGCTGGCTGGTTCGTCGGTGTTTGGAAGGAAGATGTCGGAAGGCAATCTCATTTTACGACCTGTGAGCATCTTGAACGAAGAAACACCCTTTGACGTATGCACCTTGGCTCTGTATGCGAGAAAACGCGCCCTAGACTTAAATCCCAGTCACCTGGTTGCGCGTCTTTAGTGAAGGCCTTAAGTAGTCCAATCAGGGTGCATTTCGTTCTTTCCACCTGGCCGTTGCCTTGTGGATGTGCAGGTGTTGTGCGTGTCTTTGAGATCTGGCACATCTTACATAACTCAACGAAGAGTCGGCTCTCGAAGTTAGGGCCTTGATCGCTATGAACGGATTCGGGCACTCCATGCTGGCAAATCCACCAATTGAAGAAAACTGAAGCAACCATTTCAGCATCTTGTGACTTCATGGATTCTACCCTAGCCACTTTCGTGAAGTAATCTACCATAACCAAAATATATCGGTTTCCTCTCTTGGTAAGCCATAATGTCTATACCTACTCCTTCCCCTGGGAAACCGGTGGGCATGGCTTGTAAAGGTGCAATGGCTGTGGGTTGGGGCTTTTAAAACCGCTGTAAGTGGTACAGGCTCGGCAGAAATCCCGGACATCTAGGGTGAGCGAAGGCTACCAGTATATTTTGCTCGAGGCATCATCCATCTTCTTTTCACCCACGTGACCGAGTTGCTCGTGTAACTCTTGCAGAACTGTTTGTACTAGTGATTCAGGAACCACTAGAAGCTGGAGAGACTAAACACCTTCTTGGTACCATAAAATCAAATCCTCCAGAGAGAGTTCTGACCACACTTGCCAAATCCGTCTAGCCGCCTTACCGGCCGACGTTATCTCTTCCGATGCAGGCTTATGCGAGGATGTCAGGAATTTCTCAGATATCAGAGCTGTGTCAGGGTCAGTGCTCTGTGTATTTCTCCAATGATGCCTGGTAGGATCACTCAAAAATACGGTGTGCACTATAACGTCACCTGTATCTGCTGGAGTCGGTCTGCGGGATAGTGCATCCGCATAACCATGCTCTTTTCCTTTTCGGTACTGGACTGTAAAGTCGTACTGCTGCAGTTCTTCGTACCAAAGTGCAACTGAACGATCGATCTCCTGCATTGTTTTTAACCAGGTGAGTGCCTGATGGTCGGTTCTTACAATGAACTTCCTCGCTATCAGGTAATGTCTGAAGTGTCGAACCATTGAGTAGATAGCGAACAGCTCACGTTGCGTCGCACTTTTCTGTCTCATTTTTTTACTGAGCCTTGTACTTGCGTAGGCAATGACATGTTCTCTGCCTTTTATGTCCTTTTGTGAGAGTACACCGCCCATAGCCGCGTCTCTCACATCCGTATCCAGTACAAACGGTGGGGCGTTCGATTCGAAGCTCGGCAATGCTAGGATCGGAGCGGAGCAGGGCATTCGCTTCAATTCTTTAAACGCCTCATCGTGCTCCTTCTCCCATTTAAAATTCTTCTTTGCTTGCTTTTTGGTTAATTTATGTAGTGGGCTGGCGATTTTAGCAAAGCCCTTTACGAAACACCGGTAATAATTTGCCAGACCTAGGAAACGGCGGAGCTCTGTCTGGTTGGTTGGTGTAGGCCATGTCCTCACTTGTTGTACACGGTCGTCGGTGACGGCTATTCCATTCAACGAGACTGTATGTCCCAGGAAGGTGACCGAGCGTTGCAGGAAACGACACTTCTTCCGGTTCAGGGTTAACTCTGCATCCCATAGGCGGTCCAACACTAGTTTCAGGTTGTCATTGTGCTCTTAAATATCTCCACCAAAAAAGAGAATATCGTCAAGATAGATAATGCAATGCTTTGGAAGTAGGCCGATTAGAGCTGTTTGCATGAGGCGTTGGATGGTGGCTGCTGTATTGCAGAGTCCAAAGGGCATCGTTTGAAATTCATAAAGCCCGTTTGGCAAAATAACAGCTGTCTTTTCCCGGTCTGCTTCTGAAACCTCCACTTGTCAATATCCCGACTTCAGATCTAAGGTAGAGAACCACTGGGATCCATGTAGTGAGTCTAGTGAGTCATTTATGTGGGGAAGGGGAAAGCATCCTTCTTGGTTACAGCATTCAACTTCCTATAGTCGATGCATAACCGCAGATTGCCGTCATTCTTCTTTACCAGCGCGATAGAAGAGGCCCATGGTGACTTAGATGGCTTTATGACCTCATCTCGGAGCATCTCTTCAACCGGACGGTTTATTTCTTCCAGCAAAGGAGGTGGAATACGTCTGGGCGGTTGCCAGATGGGCCTAGCTTCACCAGTACCAATCTTATGCTTGACGATATTTGTTCGTCCCAGTCTTGCACCTTGCCATGAAAAGATGTTCACATGCTTAAGTAGGAGCTGACGGAGTTCTTTTCTCTCGTAGTTAAAAATGTGAGTCAGTTGCGCACAAAGATCATCCAGATTTTTCATGGAAATGGCTGCAACTTCAAAAAGGGCATTGCAGATATCATCTGCGTCATCTTTCGGTAGCGAAGTATCTGTGCTAGCCCCGGTGGCTCGATGAGTGGAAAAGGTTCATTCTGCAAAATTTAGGACAGCTTTGGTGTAGCGTAGAAAATCGGCACCAAGTATCACGTTTCAGGCAAGTTCTGGACGCGATGAATTTTACTGTCCAGGTCTCCCTCCCTATGCAGACTTTTAATGATGCTTCTCCTTCAACTAGCACCTCCCATCCTTCTGCTGAACGCAATTTTGTAGGAGGGGAGAGGGTCTTAACCCTGTTACAAGGGGTAGGGAAAGCTGGAGGATCACAATTGACTTAGCTGCACCGGAGTCGAGAAGAAAACTACAGGAATGCCCTTCAAGTTTACCAGAAACCCTCATGTAAGAATGGGAGCCATTTGGGAGTAAACAGGAAAGGGAAAAGGAGGGCTCACCCGGTCTAGGGGTATAGCGCGGAGAAGCGCGATGCAAGGATGTTGAAATTGACAAGTTTTGAGGCTTTCGGAAAATTGGGAGAACCCGGAGTTCCTGCCGCTTCTTGGTTGCTAGCTTGACCAATTGGTCGAGCGAATTAGTCTTTGCTTCGCAGAGCTTCTCAGCCAAAGCGGAAGGTCGGACTCTGCGTCTAAACTAAACTGTTACCCGATTGGCGATTTTGTTAGGGGGGCAGCCACGAAAAGCGCGTTTGGGCAGAAGTTAAAGGTTCCTGGAGTACTCTTTGTCGGCTTTATCAGCTTTTTGGAAACGCTCTTCACAATCCATGACGAGTTGAGCCAATGTATCCCAGCACTGGTCGACGTCGGTGTCGTGGGTGATGCCAACTCCGACAGCGGCCACAAATAAAGCATGGGGAAGGGCGCGGAGAATAAGAGGTATTCTTTGACAATGAGGGTAGAGAGGGAGGTTGAATTTGGCAGTCAGGAGCCAATCTTCGAAATTCATATCTTCTCCGAAGGGAGGTATGTCTACCGGTGCTGCCACCAGTGTAGGGCGAAGACTCATAGGTCTCCTCTCCCCTGTTCCTAGTGTTCTTAGAACAACTCGGTTTGTCTAATTTTGACATATTTATTAGGAAGAAATGATTGGGAGGATAAGCATAACGTTTAGAGAGGGGAGGGACCGCAATTACACCTCGGCACGGAAGGCGACGACCCTCTCACGAGATTCGAATTGCCAACCTTGCCTCCTCCCTGAAAGGTACATTAAAACAACATAAGCATTATAGAAGAGTTATATGGCTCTCAGCATGACTTGATAACCATGTACAATCTTCTCTCAAGTAGTCCAGCACACAGTTAAACGATGCATCGATTCACTTTAATCACACGTAAATGCCGTGCATTAGTCGGGTATGTTATAAGGATATAAAATGCATGAATAGTGCATTTTAGGTTGAAATTACAATAAAACAAATACCAAGTGACTACGTTTCGTCCTTTCTTGCGCCCACTTTCTATTAGCCGCATGTCTTAGTGTAGACTGCATTCAGCGACGATACACATTAAAAACGAATTTAATACAATGGTTGTTTAACTCATGGTTTCGTGAAGAGTTACTTTTTGGTTTGGCTTTTGTACCGTGCTGTGTGAGCTGGCCTTTGGGCAATGCCAGCAGTGCCAATACCTTCTGGAAGTCTCAGGACGCTACATTGATGGCAGCGGAAGGCGAACCCGATCCTAAAGGACATCTTTCCTGGTTTTTGCTGCAGCGTGATGAATCTTAGCGCAGCGGCAGAAGTACATATCCTCAGATGGAAGAATGGTGATGAGCCCAAACAGAGAGGTTGAAATTGACATCCACCTTCGGCATCTATCCCAGTCCCGTGTTTTGAAGTAAAGGTGTTAACACCTGAAGCAGAACTAGCAGTGAACTATCTGAAATAGTTTCATTGCAGAAGTTTCCTACCGTACCTGCATAAAGTTGTCGATAAAGTAATCTCGCGGTATCTCTTCCACTTCTTTACTAGATGAAGAGAGTCCGGATGGATACGACTGGGCAGATCCGAAAAGACGTGAAACTCTCCCCCCAATAAGCCTGTGTTAAATCTTAAACTTCCTTACATAAGTCTTCTTTAGGCCAGTAATCCTACATCTACCTATAGATACGCCTTATCGTCAGCACAATTTCCCATTCCTGAACTGAACTGCAGATCCAATTAAGTTGCCAAGAGGGATCAGAGACGCTGAGGTCAAGTGTCTGCTCGCTTGCATAACAACGTGATGACTGGCACAGATGGGTCGTGAATATTTCCTTAGGCACCGACTACGTTGTGATAGCTGACGCATGAGGTTGATAAAGGAAAGCGTCTGGGACGAAGCTCCGAAGAGGAGAGTGGCTAGGTAATACGTTGTATGTTAAACTCACGGTTTTGGTGAAGGAGCCGATTCCGCGGGCCACTAATTTAATTTCACCGGGTGAACTGGCCTTTAAGCCATGCCAGTAGCCTTTGATCCCTTTCTGCAGTTTAAATATATACTCCGTTTTGGTGTCATGACTTATCTCGTCCCTAGAGAAGTCTCTGGGTATTGCACTTAAGCTGTAACCGTGATGAAAGAGGAACCGCTTATGATATTACTCGTGGAAAAAACTCATTTTTTCCGGCTTCATTTAATGCACATAAATTTAGGATGGCCTGCGATTACCCTATGCAGGGAAAAGAACAGCGTAAAGACAATTTCATAGACATAGTTCTATGAATCAGAAAACCTCGTGCACTACGAGTCACATAACGTACTATGATGGACGTGGTTGGACATCAAATCATTCCATAGTTAAATAAGCACGGAGTATATTCAACATTCGCGACCTAAAAATACAATTGGTAGTCACAAAGCAGAAATTCTAACACGCATAATGCCCTAACTTAGGGTGAGACATGGTTCTTAACCAAGAACATTTCAACGCGTCACTTAGTAAGAAGAAACGTCAACTTTTCATCGAACTGGTATATTAATGCACCACTTAGACACAGCATCAGGCATTCCAATAGAAAGTCAACAAAAACTATTGAACCATGTCTGACCAGGTGTTAGTCACACAACGCAGTTAATATTCGCCTGTTGTAAATGGAGATGATTTCAGCACACATAAATCTGGAGTCGAAATAAACTGCTCAGTCAGGCTGAGCGCTAGATAGGTGGAAGAAAGAACAAAGGTCCAAAGAATATCAGTGGATGAATGGATCGGATAGACAACGCGAACCTCCTCGGGGGTCGATGGCTTTAGCTCAGTTACGTAGTTGACGTGACCTACTCTAAAAGGTATTATCATCCGCGCATGTGTTACACATGTCCTGCCTTGCTACTACAGCTTCTTGCGACTCCAAAGAAGACTGCGTACAATACAGGACGGTCTTATATTCTAGGCTTGAAACGGTGTTTTCTTGCCTTTTAGTAAGTTGACCCTGAAATAACTTGTGACACCAGTCCACTTCAACTGGGTGAAGAGTACTTGGTAGGTTATACCACGGAGGCTCTATTTCCCTGCAAAATGCTATACTAACTCACTGCTTTTTAAGTGTTGAATTCAAATGAGACTACGTGATTTGACCATATATGCAAAGCATGGTGTTCAAACAGCCATAAAGGATTGGCTCTAGATCCAAGGAAGATTCATTTCTTAAGTCAAAAGACCATTTTTCTCAATTTAAATAGGCGACTTGAGAGGGATTATATCATTGCAAATAATTTCACATACACACGTTATAAAACCCAATGATCTTACTCCATACTTACAAGTCCTCTCCAGAAATATATTTTTAGCAGGAAATATCAGTACACTTCTGTGCTAGTAAAGGATGTCATACTTCCACTTCAGTCAGATTACTGTTTCCTTTGATGCTGATGCTGCTACACAGTTGGTAAGGTGCTTTTTGCTTTGGCAATTGTGGCGCTCTTGTCCTGTACACGTCGTCCGTTGATTTCTACGCTCAAGTTAGTGATGTCTACTTTCACCACAAAATGCTTTGGGGAGTCTAACTCCACGGAGTACAGAATGTATTTCTGTAGGTTTCACAGTTATATATCGGAGTCACTGTTCTTGTATTCCCGCAATTGTAATTCTTGGATAATTGTGAGTTCGCTTTGATGGAGCTTACCTGCCTGATTGTTGGAACTGATCGCCTTGGAGATGAGCATTATAATGCTCCGCATTTGGAATTTCTTGTAAAATGCCCAACCGCTTGTTAAAATTGTTCCTCACAATGTTCTGGCACCTTGCACACTTAATTGATATTTTCTAAAGACTACTACTGTGTACTGTCAAGAGGCATTTCACGAGTGTTTATACTTTTAGTTTCCGAACATGGTCCTATTTCGCCTTTCCACGACATTCCTCTCCACCACGATTCTTCAAACACCTTCAACATGGTTGTTGAGATACCGCGATGGACTAACGCCAAGATGGAAATATGCAAAGAGGAGCTCTTAAATCCAATCAAACAAGACGTGAAGAAGGGAAAACTGCGATATGTGAATAATGTTTTCCCACACAAAGGCTACATTTGGAACTATGGTGCTCTTCCACAGACCTACGAGGATCCTGCTTATGTTGATCCCAATACCGAGGCTAAGGGTGACAACGATCCAATTGATGTCTGTGAAATAGGGAATAAAATCATTCCAAGTGGTAGCATTATCCAAGTCAAAGTTCTTGGCATCCTTGCCATGATCGATGAAGGCACGTATCATAAGATTAGTTATCGCCAAGCGTATTTCGAGTACGAATAAAATGGTGCGTTTTACTGTAATTGTGGAATGTTCTGTGCTGTTTTGCAGGTGAAACAGACTGGAAGGTGATCGCCATCAATGTAGAAGATCCGCTCGCGGAGAAGCTCAGTGATATTAAAGATGTGGAGCATCACATGCCTGGTTTCTTGGATGTGAGTCAAGCAATCAACCCTTAGTCTTGCCTTCTTCCGAAATTTTATGTACTCAATTGCGGTTTAGGCTACTAGAGACTGGTTCCGCAACTACAAGGTTCCAACCGGCAAACCTAAGAATTCATTTGCTTTCAATGAGGAGTATAAGGACAAGGTGGGTTGTGCAACTCTGTAGGCTCCTGTTCACTTTTTAGGTGGTCTAATACTTTCTAATCCCTTTGAATCAGGAATTCGCCCTTAAAATGATTGCCGAGACTCATGAACAATGGAAGCATCTCGTGCTTCAGCGTTCTGAGTCATCAGGACTCTTCAGGTATGTTTGCACGTCTCACGAATGCGTTTCGTCACTTCTGTATTTCGTATGCAACTGAACTGATATATTGAGACGGATTTATGTTTGGTTGATTTCCAGGGTTGTGTATTCAATTCCCAGTATAGGTATCTATTCGGATGCATTATAGTCTAATTAATCGAAATGTAGTAGCATGGAATTCCAATTAGCTTGTTCTCGGACAGTGATTGTTGTGCGTGCGAGAGGTGCTAAGCTTATGTATTGCGTCCTAAAAGGGGGTGCCTGGGCTGATAAACCCTTCGTTTATCGCTAATAAGGGAAGGCTTTGCCAAATAAATATGCATGGAGTATAAGTGCATTGTTTGCAAGACTGACTAACTTCCCCTTTTAACAACGTAGGCAGAATGTGACCCACGTGGCCAGTCCCTACCACATTTTGCACGAGGAGGCCAAGGCTGAGGTTGCTAAGCTGCCACCATTCAAACAAGGCAAGGAAGTTGGCGACCCTGCAGGTAAGCATCGTTTTTCGGTTGCTGAACATCCATAATGACCACAATTCGAAAGCATGTTTATTTGCCCCGGCTGATTGGTTGGATCTTGTGGTACCATCCGAGGATCATGGACGTACCAAATTATACTGCATTGTTGTTTATTTTCTGTTTCAGTGGAAGAAATTCACTTTGTACCCGCTTGAAGAGAAACACCACAAGCGCTAGTAGGAGGGTAGTTGGAGCAAATTGTGCTCTGTTAAACTAATAAAATCAAGTGCTTTTCACAAAACAACTTCCCTTTTGGTAGCAATGAAGGTAACGCAGTTAACACCGAGCCTAGAATTGCACTCGGTTCCATGACCATCGAACAACCGTTAGCGAAACGCATAATGCAAATTCCCAAACTGAGGGTTCTTGCTCCGCATTTTTATAAGCCCTTGTCGTAGTTGCCTTTCCGACGAAGAAGACGATCATTCAGAAGAGGAATTTTATTTACATTGCTCAAGAATCAAAAAGATCACAGGTATTGCACCTTGGAAATGAGAGACATGAGATAAAAATCAAAACATGGAAGTGGCATTAAACGTCAGGGCGTCAAGGCGGTGTTAGGGGTGACGATGGGGTCGTCTATTCGTCTTCCTCGGCCCCAAATGGATTTGTTGATTCTTGTACTAGTCGATGTGGTCGAGCCAGAAAAGGCTTAAAAGAACAACGAGACGCAATTTAAGGGAGCGTGAAAACAGAAGAGGTCTACACAGGTAGGGGTTGCTCGGTTTCATTTTAATAATTCAGTAGTTTAGTGGGGAGAGTAGTGTGGTTCATTTGTTGCATGCAGGTCCGAGAAAGTTTGACCGGGCAAGCCGAAGGTTGGGACATGTCTAAGTCGGAATTTTTTCGGTAGTTATTACCTTAGGATAGTAAAAAAAGGAACGCTGAGTTGTTGCCCTAAACTTAGATCGTAATTCCGATTAAGAAATGTCAACAAGAAATACAATTCCAAACGAGAGTTCATTAAGCTTCCAGAAATTCCTCTTTAAACCCGTAATTGTAGGTTTCGCATGGCAAATTGTAAGGGAAACAGCTCGAAAGGCAGTAGATGCAAACTGTTGACTACACTACGCACAGCACGTCCTCGTCTTCGAATTGCATGGATCATCAAAGGCAACAATATTTACTAAGGTGGGTGAATGTGTTGAGAGCACTGGATGCGTTATATTGACAGCTATGTAATGAAAGGCCTGGATACGGAAGCCTTTCAACTTGCGATTCAACTTGCACGGAGCCTTGTTCGCGCTCCCTATGCTATCAGTCCCGATCATTCTGCACGCATGTACTAAGGCACATTTGAGAATCGCACGTCATAGAATATGCAGGGAGAAGATGGATGCCACATTGGTGGGAGCACTGACGAACCCGCCTGTGGAGACTCATAATAGAAAGGCTTTCAGAACTCTTCAAGAACTTTACAGGGCTGACGATGCCTTCTCACATTACAGGAAGTGAAAGATGCCCTAGATAGGCAAACAAAT